TTACGAGTAGCGAGATCTGCGACTCGAGGCATTCTAAGGCAAGAGATCGTTGAGAACAGGCAGTTTGAGACAGTAGACGTTGTTTAATCGATGCTGTTGTAAAGCATTTACAGGTGTGCAAGTGCGCACAGTTTACGCGTTAAGTGGCATTCCTGTAGCGTGATAATCTCGCGTTGTATGAGAGAAATAGAGATAGTTAAGGTGTATTTTAGTGCTATAGACGAAACACATTCCTCATATAAATTACTAGGCGCTAGCATTATAGCGTACTTTTTTAGTACGTTGGGGGCCAAGTAAATTCGGTATTATATCGAATCTTCGGTTTCAGAACGTTTATTCTTTCGTCAAGGAATAGATTTCACGTATTTTACCATCACTGGCGCTGACAGCATGCCCCCATTTCCGAGATGCTCCGTCTCGAAATCAACGACCGGTCTTTTCGAGACACCGACTGACGATAGCGATTGGCTAGGTTCGCCCTCTTAAACCAAGGCCTCCTGGCCTAGTTGGAGAAGACAGCGATCTCGGAGTTTCTCCAACGGTCCCTGCTTTCTATATACTTACTGCTTTCACACCGTCCTTTTCAAGGAGCGACGACGGTTTTTACAGATACCATCTTCGCACCCCTAAAATTGAAGCCGTCTGAACCTCATCCAACTGTCACCATGCCCACAAGACAATGCGTCAATCGGCTATCGCGACAGCTAAGCTTCAAGTCATGGTCAACTATCTCCTCTCAACCTCGGTTATTGCAACAAACGACTTTCAATCATGGAAAAAGGCACTTTTCTGTGACTTGGAAATGCAGGATGATGGAGACAAGCTGTTTCACTGAAGAGCAATTAACGGTGCGCGAGGCTATTCAGAAGATTTGCGCTCAATTTCCGAACGAGTACTGGCAACAGCATGATCAAACTGAGACCGATCCCAAGGAACTGCATGCTGCGTTGGCTGCTGACGGGTGGCTTGGTATCGCGCTTCCCGAAGAATTTGGAGGCGCAGGACTGGGTATCTCAGAGGCGACTATGATGATGCAGACAATATCTCAATCTGGTGCAGGCATGGCAGGGGCTCAGTCCATCCATGGTAACGTCTACGCTGTCAGTTCATTCTCCTATTTTTACGAGTCGGGAGAATTGATTTGCTAACAAGGCTAAAGACGCAACCACTTGCCAAGTTTGGAAATAAAGAACAGCTGCAGTCTACGATACCGAACATCATCAGTGGCAAATGGAGAGTATGCTTCGGTGTGACTGAACCGAACACAGGGTTAGACACTTTGAGGCTAAGGACCACCGCCACACGGAAAGGAGACAAATACATCATCACTGGTAAGTAGCCCAAGATGTTCTTCCACTGGAAGGGATGCTTACAGCCGGGTTGCAGGACAAAAGATTTGGATTACGTGTGCACAAGTCGCTTCGAAGATGATTCTCCTAGCTCGAACTACACCTTTGGAAAACGTGAAGAAGCCAAGCGAAGGGCTGTCTATGTTCTGTATTGATATTGACAGATCCAACCCTGCCTTGGAGCTCAAAAGAATCAAGAAAATGGGCGGCAGGGCCGTCGATGCCAATGAAGTCTTCTTCGATCATTATGAGGTGCCAGAGAACACTCTCGTCGGAGAAGAGGGTCAAGGCTTTAAGATAATCTTGCATGGAATGAACGCTGAAAGATGTCTCCTAGCTGGAGAAGCGCTCGGCCTTGGCTATGCAGCAGTCGAAAAGGCCGCGCAGTATGCCAGGGAGAGGGTCGTCTTTGGCAGACCCATTGGGAAGAACCAAGCCATTGCGCATCCGTTGGCTGACGCCTACATGAACCTGGAAGCCGCCAAGTTAGCTGCTTATCATGCAGCTCGGTTATACGATCGAAGCAGAACGGATCCCACCATCAGCGCCCACGCGGTGGGCGTCGCATGCAACAGTGCGAAATACCTAGCGGCGGAGGCAGCATTCAAGGCTTGTGAGAGGGCGGTCATGAGTCACGGTGGCATGGGATATGCCATGGAATATGATGTCGAGAGATATATGAGGGAGATCTTTGTCCCCAGGATCGCCCCAATCAGCCGAGAAATGATTCTCAACTTTGTGAGCGAAAAGGTGCTGGAGCTGCCTAGGAGTTATTGAGAATATGTAACCATATATAAATCTCTGTGTCGGTTCAGGCAATTGTTAGGTTCAGACAGCGGTATTAGAGAGCTGGCAGAATGATTTTTATTTCCGAGATCCCATCTTGTTTTCCCCGCACCAATATTTCTGCCTACTCAAAACAGAGTAGACATATCTCTTTCACTCCCTTTATGACCGCGACCTATTGTCCCGTGAACGATCATGTCGCGGATAGAAGAACTTCCAGATGATTTCGATGAACGAATCGATCTCAATCATGCGCCGAAAGATGTACCCTCAATCGAGGAGTTGTACGACCAGCACATCTCAGCTTCTGGCCCCTCGCAAAACCAGATGTCCTCCAAAAGCTTCGAGGAGATTGTGCAGGACATGAGCAAAACCCCGCTCTTCATGAACAGTCTTGACGAAGCGACTAACGACGGTACGCCCAAACCTACGGCTGCTCAGACAGTTGGCTGAGCAATGGTGCGCAGATGGGGAGAATATAATGCTCGAGGCCATCAAAGCCCTGCAGCACGAGGGCACGAAGGCGGAAGTGGCGCAGGGATTCAAAGAGCGTGGCAACGAAATGGTCGCAGAGAAGAAATGGAAAGACGCAAAAGAGTTTTACACCAAAGGGATCACAGTCCTCGCAGACCAGGACGAGGATAAATGGGACAAGGCTGAGGATCAGACTGCAGAGGAGGAGCTCCGCGTCCTACTTAACGAACAGCTACACCTCAACCGAGCTCGCTGCAACCTAGAGCTGAGTAGGGTGCTCCGGAATTTGCAGTGGATGGTATGCTGACGGTTCAGAAAACTACCGGTCGACCATTCTAGACAGTGCTGCTGCACTACGTATCAACCCTTCAAACATCAAAGCGCATTACAGGTCGGCCTCAGCCCTGTTCGCCCTGGACAAAGTTCTCGAGGCGTTGGATGTGGCATCCCGCGGGTTCAAGCTCGATCCGAACAATACAGCTTTGAAGAAATTGCTGGACCAAATCAGAGGCAGAATGAAAGTTAAAGAGGCAGAAGACCGCCGGCGCTTGGCCGAGCTGAGGAGGAGACAGCAGGAGAAGGAAGCGTTAGAGGCGGCCCTGAAAGAGCGAAAGATTATCGTCCGTGGTTCTAAACAGCCTCCAAACTTGGAAGACGCGACTATTCGATTATCGCCAGATCCTCTATCGCCCACTAGTCTGTTGGAATTCCCGGTGATGTTACTCTATCCGATGCATAACCAGACAGATCTGATCAAGGCCTGGGCCGAGAAAGATGCCATCACCCATCACCTGAGCTACATTTTACCCTTGCCGTGGGACAATAAGAATGAATACAAACTGTCAACGGTAGAGTGCTATATGGATACCATTGCTGGCGGGCTGATGAAGGTTGGCAAGAAGTTGACCTTGCTGGAGGCGCTTGCCAACGGGAAGACGGAAGTGGTGGATGGGCTGGTTAGGATTTATGTGGTGCCTATGTCATTGGCACCTCAATGGATAGAAGAGGTGAAGAAGAAAAGGGGCAAATAGAGAGCATTGTCCCATCAAATTTGGCTGCTCAAGGTAGCTGCATTTCTCCCACCGCCCCGGAATAGCCTACCACGGGCATCATGTGCAAGGCTACCTGGCAGAGCATCGCAGCCCATGTGGCTACTACGATTACGGAGGGCATGTTCCCCTCGCTTCTCACCTCGCTCGCCTTCCTCAATAATCGTCACCACGCAAGCCCACCCACACCTCAACTGGCAGACTTGGTCATCCATCTAGCCAACCGTGCGTCAGCCTTCCGTCACCAGTCCCTTTCCCTTTGGAGCTCCAGTGCCTCATCCCTGTCAAGGCCCCTCTTTGCCACGGACCGAGTGACGCCTGGCGCTGGTTTTTAGCTTGTTTCGGCTTGAGATTTTTGGTGTCGTTGGCGGCGACCAGCCGCTACCCGCTGCAGCGCCACCCTGCCTTAGTTCAAAACGCACACACCGCATCAACCCACGTTTGCTTCAAGGCTACGCTACGCTTCGCATCTTCACGAAATTCATTAGTTAGCTCATGGGCCCAATCAAACGACTGCTAGCACATCCAGAAGAGCCATGAACAACCCCGCCTTACCCGTATATGCTTCCCAGAACCCAGGTCCATACGCTTTCAGCAATCCTCAGCCCAATGTCGGCTACGCCATCCCTCCCGGAACTCCCTTTGACCATGCCCAGACTCCATTTCAGCCGGGCATGATCCCAAACCAGATGCAGCGGCCCTTATCCCACCCTCATCAAGCGCAGCAGCCTCTCTCTCATCATCTCTATCAACAACATCTCGGCCAGATCAGTACGGCGTCGCGGCCGGAGAGCCGATCAAGCTATAGCCCACAGTCCATAGGTTAGTCAGAATCTCTCTGCGATCATGCGCCCAGATATCACTTCATTCGTAAAGACGGATCATGGACTGGCCAGAGTACTCACTACCAAGTAGGGAATCCCTCCAATGGGCAAACTGCAGTGCCCGTCCCTGTAACCCAAGGACCCAATCCAGCGTCGACTCCTACCCAGTTACAGACTGTAACCACTTCTGCTCAGTCTTTACCGCCTACATCTGCAATGCCGCCGCTGGACATGAATATGGCATCAAATATGGCACTTCAAGGGCAATCGAGTTCCACGTTGGCTCATCAGGCCCAGATACACAATGCGACACAAGTGGCGCGTCCCGCTCCCCAGCACCAGCAGCAGCAGCAGCCGCAACAGCAACTGCAACAAACAACAACAACAACAAGCGCTGGTTCGGCGGTCTCAGCACAGTCTGCTGCGAGGGAGCGGGCACGAGTTACGGTGCTATTGGAGATCAATACCCATTTGCTGCAAGAGGTTGTAACATTACAGGCGCAGGGAAAGGCGGGAACTACACCGACTCAAGGACAACAGTCGCCTACTTCGCCCACCTCAGCGACAGATCCGACCAACGCCATTACCAACAGCCCAGGAGAGCCGCCAAAATCGGCGGGGGGAACACCTCAGTCGAAGCCACCATCACAAGAGTATGCAGAGTGCATGCGACGTTTGCAGGCCAACCTATCCTACTTAGCCGCGATTGCGGATGCCAAAAAGAAGGTCAATGGAGCCCTACCCTTGGGTCCAGCAATAATGATTCCTCCGCCTCACTTGCCCCAAGTCAATGAGCTATATAAAAAACTGAATGCCCTTTTTCCGGAAGCAAGTCATTCGGCGATCAACAAAGCAATAGCGCAAGCGGCCGCGCAAAGTCAGAACGCAGGTCCGAAACCGCAAGCGCCCTTTACTTCTGCGCAAGGTTGAATGGGCGTAGTTCAACGCAGACGATACTAGCTAACGTCTCAGGTGACGTTCGACGAAGGTGCTTCCGCCCTAAAACCGCTTGCCTAACGGATCTCCCGTCCACGTACACGTTTCTGAAAGAACAACTGTCGAGTAGATCTTGCCGACTGCGTCTCACGGATAACAGTTTGGTCCTCGGAAAACTGGATAAAATGGGAGAACGGTGGTGGCCTGGCGGTCGCACCACAGTGTTGTCAAACTGGATACATTCGAGGGTTTGACCACCATGTTGCACCATCCATCAACATTCCAATACTCAGCTGCCTGTCGAAGACATATTGAGGTCTCAGCGACACTTCAGCAGATTGATCGCAGCAGCACCTGAGGAATCTCTCGGTCTATACCAGAAGAAAATCCTTGTGGCGTTGAGGACATGCAGAGGATGGGCGAGGAATACGTCGCTATGTAGATTATACGAGGTCGAGATGTAGGACCATTTACTGATTGAATCTAGTATTATGATTTTGGAAGTTCGGTCATAGCCATAGGGCCTAGATTCGTTTCGACTCCTTGGAGTGCTGAAATCTCGAGGATGTTAATGATGACGATGCACAATCTGTTATTAGTTACTCTTCTCGGTACATCTAAACCTGGCGAGCCGGCGAGCGAACTTCAGACACAAAGGGCACAGTTTGACAGAGAATAGAGGCACTCTCTCCGACATGGCTAGAGTGCTCAACAACGACGAGGTGGCCGCCATATCAAATATACCTAATGTTGTCGGTGTGGATGGTGATGGTATGTGTTAAGCGTCGAGCAAATTCCCTTGTGAACGACTCTTACATCTAAGCGAATAATTCAGAGTACCTAGCACATATGAGCCTAGCACCATAGACAACCTCAAAGCTGCAGCCAAAGCGCCGCCACAGACCGCCAAGAGATGAGGGCGGAGGGGAGTTGCAGCATTTGACTCGGCCTCAAGGCTGGTCTCATTTTCAGCGCAACTCAGCCTTGTCACGGCCTGGACCAACCTTGCATTGCCTTGCTAGCGACGTCCAAGTACTTGTTGCTTCTGAGCCTCTGCTCAGCCTTTGTGGACTTTAGTTTCTACTCTGGATGATATCCAGTATCTGCCCCAACCTCTCCAGGGCATCTTCTACTTCTATTCGATTTTGTGATCCTTCTGCATCGAACTTTTCCCCCAGTTTCGGCTTCACAACCCTCCTACGCGCCCGTCGTCTCAGGACCTCCAGCCAACCCTTCATATCCATACACAATCCGCCCAGTCACCACAAACTATCACCGGGGCGTACCGCTGCATGCTTCCGATCTGCAACATTCCTAGTGCATAGCCGCCTTCAAAATCCTCTGGCAACCTCACCACATTCACGCTTTTTCTCTGCCTCTCCTGCTTCCACTATGTCTGCCAATGGCGAACTTCGACTCAAGAGAAGGACAAGCCCGACCTCAGCCCTGGAGAGGCCCAAGAAACAGCTGAAGCCAGAGAATGGAGTTCCTACCCCCGGTGACGCCACTCCCCAAAACGGCTCCGTATACGATATCGAGGCCAACTCGAACTCGGTCCCCATCATCAACCCCGTTCCTGCCGCGGGTGACTCTCCGGAATGGCAGGCTACTATAGAACGAGTGATCAAGAGTGTGGTGTCCATTCACTTCTGCCAAACATGCTCTTTTGATACCGACCTGTCCCTCTCTTCCCAAGCGACCGGGTTCGTGGTTGACGCTGAAAATGGCTACATCATGACCAATCGCCACGTCGTCTGCGCCGGTCCGTTCTGGGGTTATTGCGTGTTTGACAACCATGAAGAAGTGGGTTACCATCTGCCTGCGCCGTGTGCCTGGCATTCTGACAGATTGCTGACAATAATGTAGTGCGACGTGAAACCTGTCTATCGCGACCCTGTCCACGATTTCGGTATCCTACAATTCGACCCTAAAGCTATCAAATATATGAACGTCCAGGCACTCAAACTTCAGCCGGAGTCTGCAAAAGTGGGTGTGGAGATCAGAGTGGTTGGCAATGACGCTGGTGAGAAGCTCAGCATTCTCTCGGGTGTGATCAGTCGACTCGATCGCAATGCCCCCGAGTACGGCGAAGGCTATAGTGATTTCAACACAAACTATATCCAAGCTGCTGCTGCGGCCACAGGGGGGAGCTCCGGCAGTCCGGTGGTTAATCTAAGTGGACATGCGGTTGCCCTACAAGCAGGTGGACGTATCGATGGCGCCGCCACTGATTACTTCCTCCCGCTTGACCGTCCCTTGCGTGCGCTGCAGTGTCTTCAACGAGGAGAGCCAATAACCCGAGGAACAATACAGACGCAGTGGATGCTGAAACCCTTTGACGACTGTCGGCGGTTGGGTTTGACGCCCAATTGGGAATCTGCAGTCCGAAAAGTCCATCCGAAGGAGAACAGCATGCTTGTCGCCGAGATTGTACTACCTGAAGGACCTGCAGACAACAAGATCCAGGAAGGGGATGTTCTGATCAAGGTCAATGGGGAGTTGTTGACATCTTTTGTCAAACTTGATGCCATTCTCGACTCCAGTGTGGGTGGGAAGGTGGACCTCTTGTTCCAGCGTGGTGGAGAGGACCACGAAGTGACACTGGCGGTCGGAGATCTTCATGCCATCACCCCAGACCGATTTGTCACTGTGGCTGGCGGCAGCTTTCACAACCTGTCCTATCAGCAGGCTCGATTATACGCCATTGCCTGCAAAGGATTATATGTGTGTGAAGCTGCTGGGTCATTCAAGTTGGATAGTGCTCTTTCGGGGTGGATAATTGACACAGTGGACCAGAAACCTACCCCCGACCTCGACACCTTCATCGAGGTCATGAAAACCATTCCTGACCGGTCTCGGATCGTCATTTCGTACCGACATATTCGGGATCTTCATACGCGGGCCACCACGATAGTACATATCGATCGGCATTGGCACCCAAAGATGCGGTTGTCGGCGCGAAATGACCAAACAGGTCTGTGGGATTTCAAGGACCTGGGGAAGGCCCTGCCCGCTGTACCACAAGTGCCAAAGTCGGCAGATTTCATCCAGCTGGACGGTGTCAATCTGCCTGCCGCTGCCGAAATCATCCGTTCGTTTCTCAAGATCACCTGTTACATGCCCGTCAAGATTGATGGATACCCTCAAGCACGAAGGACGGGGTTTGGGTTGGTGATCGACGCCGAGAAAGGTCTGGTGGTGGTGTCCCGAGCCACAGTTCCATACGACCTGTGTGACATTACTGTGACGGTTGCCGATTCGATACAAATCGAGGGGAAAGTTGTCTTCCTCCATCCGTTGACTAACTATACCGTGATCCAATATGACCCCTCGTTGGTGCATGCGCCTGTGCAAACCGCGAAGCTATCTACCGAGATGATTAAGCAAGGCGCCGACACGATCTTTGTGGGTTTCAACCAGAACCATAGGGCTGTCGTCGCAAAGACCACGGTCACGGATATTACGGCGGTTGGAATCCCTGCCAATGCGGCAGCTCCCAGATATCGTGCGGTAAATCTCGACGCCATCACCATCGATACGGGTTTATCGTCTCAGTGTGCCTCCGGCGTGCTGATGAGCGCGGATGGCGTAGTGCAAGCTCTGTGGCTCACCTACATGGGCGAGAGAAGTCAAGGCAGCCATCGAGACACGGAATACCATCTGGGCTTGGCTACAAGTATGATCAAGCCGGTGATTGACCAGATTCGGTCTGGTATTATACCGAAGCTTCGGATTTTGAACATGGAGTCTTATGTGGTACAGATGTCGCAGTGTCGAATCATGGGAGTCTCGGAAGAATGGATCTCGAAGGTGGCTAAGGCCAATCCGTCGCGACATCAGCTATTTATTGTCAGGAAAGTGGACTGTGGTCCAGCCAACGGACCCAGTGATGGACAATTACTACAAGAAGGGGACATCATCTTAACGCTGAATGACCAACTTATTACCCGGGTCAGCGATTTCGACATCATGTATGACAAGGAATGGCTGGATGCGCTCGTCGTCCGAAAGGGCAAGGAGATTCGCCTTCGCGTCCCGACTGTCCCTACAGAAGACCTGGAGACTTCACGGGCTGTGATTTTCTGCGGAGCGGTCCTGCAGAAACCACACCATGCCGTGAGACAGCAGATCAGCAAACTTCACTCGGAAATCTACGTCAGTGCGAGAAGTCGAGGATCGCCAGCCTATCAATACGGGTTGGCACCTACCAATTTTGTGACCCATGTTAATGGGGTGAAGACCCCCGACTTGGATGCGTTCGTCAAGGAAGTCAACAAGATTGACGACAACACCTACTTCCGGCTGAGAGCCATGACCTTCGACAACGTGCCGTGGGTGGTGACGATGAAAAAGAATGATCACTATGTAAGTTACTGCGACGAAGTAGTAATCTTGGTCGATACTGACAATCCGAATAGTTCCCAATGTCTGAGTATGTCAAAGACCCTACCAAAGCCAACGGGTGGAAAGTGATCTCTTACGGCTCGCGGGGTCGCAAAACGAAAGGTGAAGATGGAGCTCCCATGACCTCGGATTCAATGAGCGCGGAAGATGACGGCTTAAGCGATGGAGAAGAAGGCCCGGATAGAAGTGAATGTTAGAGAGAAGGGCTCTAGAATCGTCGTAGAACGGCAGGTCGGGAATGAAAAGGTTGGGGATATCATTCTTGTCCCCACGGCATGAAGAACAATCCCAGCGCAAGTCTTGTAGAGAGACAGAGCATAATATCGGCTGATGCGAAAGAGTTGAGCACCGTTGAACGAGGGGGGCATTCACTTCGACAAGCCTGATGCGACGCAAGGCTGAAGGCTATGTGTACAAAATGATGCCAAGCTCTTTGATTATCACATGTCAAAAGCTGCACAATTCTTCAACCCCCGTACTCCGTAGTTGTACTATGTGATCGGATCGTCGGGCCAAAAAAAGCTGAAACCCTCGGTGGTCGGCTGGCATCAACCAAAGGCTTCCACCCTAAATGGCCAAGTCAGGGGTGTCTTGGGAGCGACAGGCGACAGAAGATGAGAGGGAGCTTGTCAAGAAACTCAGGCAGAAGGAATTCCGGGATACCGTGTCGAGGACAGAGTGTCAATGGGTTATGTATTTGGTATGTGCATAGTTGGGAAATACGTATTGTGTCTGCTGTAGATAGGCAGTGGACTGATGTGCGTATCTACAGGGGCAGAGCACGCGACCACCTCGACCACTGGTAACCACTTGCGTCGAGGGTAGTGGAAAGAGCCAGAAAGCAAGGAATTCGCGTCCAAACCCTCCGAGGGCCGCCTGGGACGAATAGTGGCAGGCCCAAAGAGAAAAGGTGCCAGGGCAGTTGCGTCAGAGCGAGTGGGTGGTGCAGGTGGTGCAGGTGGTGCAGGTGCCGCGTCCACCCAACAGGCGGGCGTCAGTGATGCAGGTGCCAGGGATTCCGTCAATCAAAATGAAACCGCCTGCAGCTCCCGCAGGTTTTCCCAGAGATCACCACAACTGACGTCCCACACATCAACCTGTCGACTCTCACAAACGAACACCTCGTCCTCTTCAAAATTCATCCTTTGGCCTGCTCCGAACTGCTTTCTTCCTCGATTCATCAATCCTCCATCTCATCAATCCCTCCCATTGTCCCGATCTTATCCCTTACTCCTGTCCATCCCCAAAAAGTCAGTTGACGTCCCTGTTCCTGGTACCGGCACCCTCAGTTTGCAATCCTGAATCATTACTTCCGACTTCTTCCATCCCACACCTTCCTGACAGATGTCTGCTGAAGGCTACGGCCGATCGTCTGAACTCCCTACACACACCGACATGTCTACCGCCGACGATTCTGCTCCTGCTCCTACCACCAATGGGACCAGTGAGCCGACCTTGAAAGATGCCTTTGTCAACAGTAAGGTGCGCATGCTTCTGCTCTACGTCACATGCTGGTCAAACGAGAAACCATATAGCTAACACCCAATGTCCAGGCTTTAACTTGAACCGATGCTCTCCCTTCTTCCACTGACGGGTTTCTAGACGCGGCCTCGGCCGTCAACACCGTGACAGAACATCCCATCACCCAAAACATCGTTAATGGTATGGTCTCTGGTCCTATTTAAGATGCCCCTTGTTGATACCCTCTCAGGTCCCGTGGCAACCTCTGTTAAGGGCCATGCTGCGTCCACCAAATCTGAATTCAGCGATCTGGCCAGTTCTCGACAACCTCCTTCGTACACAGCTGCCAATGACACCACTTTGACGCGTACGCCAAGGACCTTCCCTGCAATACTGTTTTCTCTAACTTTGGAGCAGACTACCATTCCTTTTTCTACACTTTGTTGAGCGTAAGTCTTTCTATCCTCTTCCAAAGTTGCAAGTGTGACTGACCGCTATTGCAGTGGAAGAACAAGCGAGCTACCGGCATCACCTTTGCCTCCGTCGTTGCCTTTATCTTTGCCTGTCGCTATCTTCCTATCATTCGATACGTGATCAAGATTACCTGGATGACCCTTGGTGGTATGTGCAAAAAATTCGTGCAGACTGGAGGACAATCTCTAACTTTGGAATCAGTGGTCACGCTGGCCGAAGCTTCGAGCAAGGCGTTGATGGGCTCTAGTCTGGCCAGCTCGCTCCGACCACGACGGTACTACAAAATTCCCAAAGAGACCCTTGAGGCTTCTCTCGACGACCTAGAGAACCTCATCAACTTCTTCGTGATTGAGATTCAACGCATTGTCTTTGCCGAGAATGTCCCAGTGACTGCCGCCGTAAGTGGGCTCGATGGAAGAAAATATGATCGCTGGCTGACCATCCTAGGCGTTCTTGACTGCGTTCTTGACCTACTACCTCATCAAAATTGTCCCATTCTGGGGCATGGCCTTGATTGCCAGCTGTGTCGTCTTCCTGGGTCCCTTGATCTACATCGAGAACAAGGAATTCATCGACTCTCAACTTGAACACGCCGGAAATGTCATCGGTCAACAGACGACCCAGATCCGCGACTTGACTGCTCAACACACCAGCAAGGGCCTCGACACAATGAAGCAATACACTGGCACATACGCTGCCAAGGCCCAGGAGATGGTCGGAAGTGCTCGTCAGAGGATCCCTTCTCCTACCACCGGCAAAGCTCCAGTCAAGGAGGGTGATTTCCCCTCGGCGCCCAAGACAGATCTCCCAGATACTTCCGGCGGTGTTCTGCACCGCGACGCCGAACCCATCAGCTCCTAAAGGGTGGGCCGATTGCAACAGCATGACGGTATTGCATAATGCTGCGAGCAATTTTGTTTGGTTAGCAAAATCAAAGTGCACACTGAAAGATGACAACCTCATGTCAATGACAAGCGGAACGAGCGGACGATGAGCACAAACAAATAATTCCCCCTAAGTTGACAATTTGGTACGGTTATGGAGGGCGAATGTCGATGGTCGTTGGCCTGACCTCCGGCGATGCTCTTTGGGAGGGGCTGTATGAGCATAGCAGCCCAGCATGGGGAAGCCAAGGATGATGAAACAAAGGTGACGGGCGTTTCAAGACTCTTTTGTACTGTATGATAGACTCCAAGTATGATTTGGACAATCCCGAATAGCATGCGTATTGATCACGACTTCGTCAGTCTTGCCTCGACCATGAAAACAGTATCTACCTGATGCGTATATAGACATGGATGTTTAGATAGGATATATATACTCGGTACACTGCACGATACTTGACTTCGTCTCAGCCTCTCCGCCGAAGAACTGTCCCTCAATCTCAGTGTGCAGAACTCACGGTCAGCATGGGCATCCGTTAACAACGTCAACTGGACTTCGACGACAAAGACGGACGATCTTGGCCCAGAGTCGCAAAGCACGCGCACCGGACACCACATCGGACATCTCGGTCTTACTCTCAGACGAATCCATCTTATTCCAGATCGCTCGCGCGAGCTGTGTTCATGAGCCGTCCTCGAGATTCATGTCTGGGTGGTTGGCCTTCCACTGGCAAGGCTGGTTCAGCCTTTCTGTAACATACCTCGACCTCTTGAACTGTTCCAAGGTGTAGTGTATCCTTCCACCCACTCGTCTCCATGGCAATGCCTTTGCCTTTTCGATTTCCACACTCCAGATTCTCCCGCAATTGCTTGAGCTGCGCGATGGATGTGTTTGCTTTTGTGACCCCTTTCTCGCAAACTCTGATGGTTTTGGTCTTTGGGTCTTTGGGGTTTTGTGTTTCTTTCTTATAGTCGTGCTCTTTCTCTGTCATCCTTGACAACGACACCTTTCTTCCCGCTCTTGGCCATGTCGCGTAACACTCTCCGGAGAATCTTGCCGCTCGGGCTCTTGGGGATCTCGTCGACAATCTCGATCTCGGTGACCCATTTGTGCCGGACCTTCTTCTCCTGGACGTATTTGATGAGCTTTTTGCCCGTCGCTTGCAGGTCGCCGGATCTCTTGGAGGGTTTGAGCACGATGTAGGCTTTGGGCCGCTCGCCCGAGTAGTCATCCGCAATTCCGAGCACGGCGACATCCTCGACGTCGTCGTGTCCGAGGAGAAGATCCTCGAGCTCGGCGGGGGCGACACCGATCCCCTTGACTTTGATCATCTCCTTCAATCGATCCTGCGACATCCGTCAGCTTTACATCGAACGACATACAGTGTCAAGGAGTTCGCGCGGGACTTACCGTGATCGTGATCAGCCCTTCTTCATCAAGGCTCCCAATGTCGCCGGTGTGCAAGAACCCGTCCTTGTCAAACGTCTCTCTGGTGGCTTTCGGGTTGTTGAGATAGCCCATCACCACCTGCGGGCCTCGCGCCCATATCTCACCCGGTTCATTCAGCCCACATTCCCGTCCCGTGTCGGGGTCGACGATCTTCACCTCCGTGGACGCCACGATGGTACCTACCCGGAACGCGTATTTATAGTCGTACTTCTCTGGAGGGTGGGCAGTGATGCACGAACATGACTCGGTCATGCCGTAGCCTTGCTTGAAGCCGGTCCCCGGGAAGCGTTTCTTGAGGAGCTCGAGAATCTCCGCGCTCAAGGGAGCGGCGCCCGAACTGAAGCGGCGCAGAGAGCTGAGATCGTACTTTGCAAGGGTCTTTTCATCGCGGACCAGGCGGATGAGGATCGGCGGGACAAGGAGCATTTCCTCGAGTTTGTAGTCCTGGACCGTTTGCAGCATGCCATCCATGGTGAATGAGGGCAACATATAGACGTTGGCGTTGAGGAGGATAGGTAGGTGCATTTGGTGCACAAGGCCCGTGATGTGGAAGAGTGGCAACACGGCCAGAATACGTCGTAGGGTGGCTGGCGAGATCTGTTGGATTTGGAGACACTGGGCGATCACATTCGAGTGTGCGATCATAACAGCCTTTGGCAGGCCTGTCGTGCCGGAGCTGAAGGACAGGAAACCACAGACGTCCTTGTTCTTCTTGCCCGGTGGGAGGCGAAACTGTTCGACCTGCCCTCCTTCTCCATGTGAGCGGCCCATCTCAAGCAAGTCCTTCATGGTGGTGAATCCCTCCATCTGCCCCTCCAGGAGGAATACTCTGCTCTGCGGGATGCCTGCGTTTTTGGCCGCCGCGGCCGCCACCTCCATGGAGCTCGGTACCGTAAATAGGAACTTGGCCTCTGCGGTCTTCAAGGCGTAGGTCATTTCTTCGATGTTGTATGCCGGGGAAGCACCGCTTATAACGCCTCCAGCGCGCAAAACGCCAAACATGGCACACGGGTACCATACCGTGTTGGGGGAGAAGAGGGCAACAGTCTGGCCCTGCAGGAGACCATAGTTTTTTGCCAGGGCGGTAGAGAGGTGGGTCGTGTGCTGTTTAAGGTCGACATAGCTGAGGTGCTGTATACGAACAAATTAGCCCATGTGGTGGTAGGATGTCACCGTGGGAGGAAATTCGCCCCATTACCTCTTTTGTCACGGCATTCGTGAAGCCCTGGATGTCTTCCGGCTTGTTGTGTCGCATCGGGCTATATTCAGAATCGAAAAGCCAGGTCCATACAGGTAGATGCCATGGCACTGCGTGCAGAAAGACATGACCGTTAGCACGGGGTCAACCACGTAGTGGAAAAGATGGCAGGGTCTGGATGGACAAACTCTGAATTGGCGGCTGCAACGACTTGAATATAGGCATCTTGACTGTCCTCGCAGGGCCCTTTAGCTTCTATCAATTGAATCGGGCAGATCAGTGTAGTAGGGTGGCAGGGACTTGGAAGACTGGCTGGCCACCGCAAAACTGGCAAAACTAGAAGCAGATGGATGATCAATTTGGAGAAACTGTTCAAGTCAGAGTGAACGATTAGTGTGGGAGACAGAGTTCTCACATTTACACCAACCTTTCGTCCATGGCATTGACCTGACTCGAGCACGAAGCCATCGCAGCCTCGGAGGCATGGAGGGTTGCGAGGCAGATCCTCGGCTATTATCCAAGTGCGGAGAAACGACAGCCTGCGAGCTCTCTAGCCAATAGGCACAGAACATGACATAGCCGGAGCCGGAAGGGTGGAAGGGTGGGGGTTGGACCGGACTAGGTGGGGGTCGGGGGGGGGGGCATGAAGAGGCTGGAGGGAAATAGGGTTGGAGCACGTGAGGCACCGGTGGCTGGCTCGCAGGATTTCTCCTTTACTTCGAACAAGCGCAGAAATCCAAGGTCCAACTGAGCACTGAGCTTTTTGCCAGAGAAATCAATGTGCAGTGTTCATCCAACGAGAGTATATCCACAACCTGAAAGCCCGGATATGCGCCTAGTCCCCATCCCGGGTCTGTACCGAGGACATAACCTATGCCGACCCATCCCCCAAGTTATTTGCTTAGTTCATACCTGGATGTCCAAGACGCCGCCAATATCCAGTAGTATGTCCCGCCCAAGCTCTCTCTAGATGTGTCCATCCGTCCAGCTGATGACCCCTGAACCAAATTCTTTTCACTCGTAATCATTTTTTTGAAATAAACGCAGCGAAAACTCTCAACGACTCCAAGTGAGCCTCCGCCTGAGCCATCAACCACTCGGTAAGCGAAAATTCTCCACTCCCATGGTCGGTGTCTCAACCAGACTGTCTCGTGGAACGCCTTCCTGCTTGCGTCTGCTGTAAAAGCTGCGACACTCGTGCAGCACCTGAGCCCACTCCGCCAGTGATCGTCCGCTGTATCGTGCTGTGCCCATTTCATGCTCCTTGGGCTTTAGAGGCTTCACTTCTGCTGCTCGGGCCCGAGCTCGATCGTCGTTGCTCATCGCGCTTCCTCTACTGCTGCCACTGCCGCGAGCACTGCTGTTACTAGCGCTGCTGCCTGAACTCTCCGAGCTCCGTCGCGCAGTGAGAATGCTTTGCGCATTAGGCGGGAGCTGAGGTGCCGTCAACATCCGGTTCTTGTTCTCTAAATTCGTTCGGCCTTGTAAGAATTCCAGGGAGAACTTGAATGAAAATGCTTGATGGGGAGGTGTAGCCGGCCGCTTTGGTGCAGTGATGGCACTGTTCGGCCCGGGAGCATCACCGGAAGGGGTGACACTGTGATCTTCAGGACTGCCGGGCGGTGTGACTTCTCCTGGCCGGTTGTTGCCTGGGGTGCCAAAAACATTGAGGCCACGGAACAGACTCCATCGCTTCCTATTTCCTTGAGCCGGTGCGTCCGCCGCCGGGATTGTGCTGAGAATTGAAGAATGGTTCTGATAGGGCGAGCTCTGAGTGACGATTGAGGGTGGCAGGTATCTCTCGAAATTTGTCTTTGAGGGTGTCATAATTGGTTGGCTATCAGTCCGGATGATGATGAGGACGCGGCTAGGTGCAGGTAAACAGGGTGCTGATGAAGGTGGCACAACCCCTCGCATCTCTGCTTCCGCAGTGAGATATTGATAATTGGCCCAACATTTATTCAACCTCGTTGCCAATGTCTGCAAGATTTCCCTGCTCCGGGGTTAGTAACGACCCAAGGAAAGTAGCCCAAATCGATCCCGACTTACAAATCCAGGTCCGACACCTGCCCATCGTATCGCGCAACCCTCCAGCAGAGCAGGCGGTAGAAGTAGTGTCGTACCATGGGCGACCAGTGGCAAAAAAGCTTTTCGAATGTGTTCCTGTCCAGCAGCCACTCTAGAACCAATTGGCGCTTCCGTCCTTCATTATGTATTAGAATGGACCAAGTACTATACAAGAATGCGATCGATCGAATCTGGGTTAGGGTGGTTTGACTCTGCAACATCTGCTTGCAGACGTCCAGCCAGAAAGGCCAATCGAGCACTGGGGTATCAATGTATGTCTGGTGGTAACGGAACATGATGGGGAGGACTTCCTCCATAAAATCACAAATCACAAAACATGCGTCGTTATTGTACAGGGAAATTTTGACAGTGGCTGCCTTGGTGACACTGTCGAATGAGGTCAAGAAGAGGGTGCGTAGAAGCGAATGTTCAGGATCGAGGTCACCCATGACATCTCTCAGCAACATAATCAAGCGGTTTTCAGCGATCGAGCGAGTTGCATTCGCGATTGTCATGGGCAGGGGAGCCAAGGCATCGGGGTTGTCCATATGAGATCCAGTACCAGGGGCATAGCTCTCGACTCCAAGTTGGCCGGCTTGTCGGTAGATCGTCGTCTCCAAGATAAGCAACATTTGCGCACAGACCGGAACCAGACCAGGAATAGCGGCGCGGTCTCTCAACGAAATCTCTTCGGTCAGGAACTCGGAGACCAGAACGTGGTATTGCTTGGTAAAGACAAAGAACAAGTCACTATTGTGACCAGACCATCTCGCGACCCATGGTTGAAACCAATTGATCATTTCCGAACCCGGCGGAATTGGCCCTCGTTGCTGAAGCCGGCGCGAAAAGGAAGCTTGAGAGCCTACACAGAGGCTGCGGACTGGTGGCGGGAAATTCCTTGCCAATGCACTTGAGATTAAATCAAGCTTTTCTCCGTTCTCGACACCGAGCTGTCTGAATATGCGTCTCAAGGCGCTCGATGGGAGACACCACAACCGAACCAGCATATCCGCCACGCCAGGACAAAAGAAGAACGCATAGGCGCATGCTTTTCCAGCAAACGTGACCAAACTTTGAGGAGCAGTGCGTAAGGACAAGATACCAGTCACAAACTCCATTTGAGAGAGTAGATTCTGGACGAAGACGTTCCGCACGTTTTGGTGGACCGAATCGACCAAAAAGTCTGCCTCTTCTGATTCGAGAGAATTTGTCGACTTTGATTTGGGTATCGAGTGACGTTGGGGACTTTCTCCTGGAATTGAAGCGAAGCCTGGTATCCTCCACTCTGGCCTGACCATGATCCTGGTAGCGGATTCTAGGAATGCAGGCCTGTCCGTCCCAGAAATCGACTGGTTATTTGCTCCGTGAAGCATCTCCAACAATCCGGTCCACCATTTGTTGAGAATAACGACTCGTCGATCCAGATCCTCGGCTCGGAGAGATTTATGGGACGGATGGTTCTCGTACTTGACAAGAAACGGGATCAGGGTCAATCGAAGTACCTTGGCCTTCTGAAGGCTAGTCTTTGCTTGAAACCCGCTATACTCGCCGTCGAGCGTTCTGAAGGCAGTCCATAGGGGATCCTTTCTACGTGGAACTTCAGTGTTGAGAGCTGCCAAGCGATCCGCGGAGAGGGAGGAGGGCAGAGGAGGGATCTTATTCAGCGAAAGCCTCGATTGAGACCTTTCGTTCGACGCAAAACTCCGCAGAGAAGTTGCTGAAGAGTTCCTTGACATACGTTTGAGATTCGAGTCGCTCTTGTTCTTGATTTGTATGACGGAGAGTGGCCTCTGAACAGGCAAGGAGGCCGTACCACGTTTATCAATACCTGGAGTTTGTATGGCATCCTCTATTTTGGACTCGTCCTCTTCGGGAGACGACCGTAGCGGAGGACTTGACGCCACCGGTTCCGGGACAGCAACTGAGTTTGCAGCATTGACAAGCTTCCGCTTACTGGGTGACCAACTTCTCTTTCTCTCTGGAGTACTGGCTTCTTGGCGAGAGGGAGATGATGGTCTTGACGAGGAGGCGGCCCATGATTTCCGAGCGATGGTCCGAAGCGTCCCAGCGACAGAGCGGCCGAGACTTCTGGATTGTCCGTCCTTGTCACCATTGGTGTTAGTTGGCTCGCGCGGCTGGGGCTCATCATCATCCGGTGACAGCGAGAAGCGAGCACTGGCCAACATTTTCCTCTTTGCTTTTCTAGAAACTCGGCGGAACAGTTCCAGATTTGCTGAATGCATGCTATCATTGACCTTGACTTTGGGGTCAGATGGGAGAGAAATGACGTGTTCGGAGAAGGTACGTTTGATTGTGGAAGGGTCGGAGTGCGCGGTTTCTAACGCAGGTAGGTAGGTGAAGCTGGCTGAGCGGACGAAGTCTCTGGGAGGATCAGGTTGGAAGGACTCCGGAGAAGACATTGTGGTGTCCGAGTGAATTGGTAGAGAACTCAGAGCGTGAATGGGGAGGGCGGGTAGAATCTGCCCGTCGACATGTGCAGCCACGGCCATGATGTCGGCGTGCCAAAACTGCACCAACTGTAGGCCCCGCGTGTCGCTGCGGTTACGCCAAAGCAAGAGATGTGAATTTCTTCCTACTCCTCGCCATCAGGTACAACCCAACAGAGGGAGAGCATCGTTCTGAGACCAGACGGACAACAGGTTCAGCCAGCCGGGGAGAAGCGGATCGGTGGAGGCAATTGAAGGGGTTGGGAGGGAGAGGAAGAGGCACGTCGCTCGTCTCCGATATACAAGAACTTGAAGGCTGAAGAAGTTTAACGAGGGCAAAGAATCAGAAGAGTGGGAAGAACATCAACGAAGGACAATATGAGCAGATTGAAATACAAAGGATGGACAACGAAGCAAGCAAGGAGCAGTAGCAGTATCAGTTCGAACAGTGGAAATCAAGAGTGTGCCAGTCCTTCAGGCTCAGGGCGCACGTTTTGGACGTCGCAGGTGGAGGATTAGAGTCAGTGGAGCGCCTTCAGGGCGTCGGGCGCTTGTGAATGGTCACCCGAGGAGCCTGAAGAGAGACAGTCGGTGTCATCAACCCCCGACGGGGCCTGGACTTCTAGCCAACTGTGGCGGCCTCTTGTGTGGCCTGTTTTCGCTTGCTCTGCGCCTGCCCAGAAACAGCACGGCAAAACTGGGTTATCATTCAGGTTGACGCCAATAGTGCCTATCACATCATCGTCGGAACACGTTCTCTTTTTCTTTTTCCGTCTGATGCATATCCACTCTCTGAAGATCCATGATACCGTTGATCAGGTCCGGACTTTATCCCATCCTGGCCGAAGGGACCACGCCGTAACGGAGAGCGTGAGTGCCCCTGGGACTTGAGGGCCTGGGAGGGTGTCGTGGGCACTCCGTACATTTCCACCTTTTTTGGCATCCATATCGCTTGCCTATTGGTGAACATCTCACTTGCGGAAATGCTTACACTGCAGATGTTCAATCGGTCTACCTTATCGTCCCCGAGGAGGATTACGTAGATATCAGGCAGTCTTTCCCGGCCGCTACTGCACCCGGTACCTTCTGTGAGTGGTCTTGACTCTGGAGTGTCAGATTTTGTGGGGTACAACAGTATGGATTCCTCAGATCATGGCCGGCGGACATGAATGTGATTGAATGCTGGGAGCGGAGGATGAGAGGAATATGGATACTATGCTGGCAATCATTCACCCTGCGGACCTTGGCAATGCATGGTGGACATGGCATATCACGGCAAAATTCTCGTCCTCGGTAGCTGCTGGAAAGTATCCTCTTCACAGTTACGGCCTTGTTTCGCTGCTCAATCAGGCCCCAACGCAGCATAACAGAGATGGAGTCAGTCTGAGAGGCCGGGAGACAGGATTGGCATAGCACAAATCGTCCTCAAAGGAGAGTGCCCATTTCCCTTCTCAACCTGTTTTTGCACGTTGGGGAATCCTTCCGAAGCTCGGGCTCACTTTCAAGATTCTGGAAATGAAATTCTGGCGCAAACGCGGTGGACAAGGCGGGAGGGATTCTGCGTGGTGTCTGCAGCCGTTAATGCAAGAGAACTGAATTGATCACTCCCTTGAAAAACCGAGAAGCACCAAATGTTTTATGTCATGTTCTGACTGATTGTACAACCCATTTCATCTAAGTTCTTCCCGCCGATATCAATGGTGTGCTGGTTCATCCTCCTCTTCAATGTCCTCGAAAAAGTCCTCTTCGGGTTGTGTCTCTCCTGCCGCAGCTTGTCCTTCGATCTCCACAACCTGATCCTCGTATTCCTTCATTTCACTTGCCAGGTTGGTCTCTTCTGGTGACTTGGGCACAGCAGGAGGTGAGAATTTTTGAACGTGTCCCTCGGCGTCGGAGGCTTTCTGTGGTGGAGGCTTGTACGCTCGTAACTCTTTCAGGTACATATCTTGAATCAAGTCCGCTGCGATTTCATGAGTAGGTTTCTTGAAGCAATGAGGAATATGAACTGACGCATCTTTGAGACCGGGGCGGCTACAAAGCTTCGGCGAGAAGCTGGCAGCGTTCTAGAGCTCATCCGAGCAAAGAGACGTGTCTAGATGACTCGTCAACAGCAGTAGATACAGTTGAATGACATACTTACACTGGCTCTGAGAGACTGCGCCATTGCTGCGGTTTGACAAAGATACAACAAGTTCCTCTGGCTGGGTAAAAGAAGCTCTCGTCGACACAATGGAAGGAGTAGCTTCTGCAGAATAAGTAGACTAACTGCATTTGGACTAAGCACTAGATCAGTCCGTTGCACCGTCACGTGTTTGAACCTAGCCGCTCACCAGGCTTACCTTCTGATTTCCAACATGCGCCTCACTTCGAGATTTCTATCACCTTCTCTCCACCATCCCGCCATCTACATATCGCAGAAGCCGTCAAAATCCTGCCTCTGTCACTGTCGCTTCATCACAGAACGCATCTTTGACGTTCTTGCGCAACTTTGAACGATCCGCTGACAACGACTTTTCGTGTTCAGAAAAACCTACGGCTTTTCCTTGACTCACGAGACCTTCACTGGTTGAACGGTCACAGTCAGATCCTCATTTCGTTAACGCCTGCGCTGTACTCAAATACACTGCGATAACTTCTTCCCGTACCCGGCTCGCACACGGCTTCGGCTCCCGCTCAAGAAAGGTACATCACTTTAGATAGTTGACAAGCGCGTCGTTTGGCTTCAGCGTTTGGGTTGTCTCATTCACTTGTTGATGACCTGACTGACAAACTGCCTTATCCAGTGTACGACGATCTTCGACCTCCGCGTCTGCGTCTACACTACCTATCCATTCATTCAAATCCAATAATAAATTAAAAGTCCTGTCTCATCGGTTTCACTGATCACCTTCACTACATTACGCGCGTGACAACAGCAGGCTGAGTGAAAGGAGCCTTACAGCCTGTTGGGACATAATTCGGCCTCACCGGCCTTTACCTTGATTACCGCCAAACTGTATTCCCCGCTGTTCGTCAAGACCTTTGCGAATAACCACAACCTCCGGACGACTTACAAGGGTATCAAGCGACGTCAAACCCAACGCCTGCAAGCGAAGATTGGTGGACGTGTGATAAAGAAATCATCCGGGTCCAAACCAAACAAGATGTCCACTGCGGGCGTCGAGAATCAGCCTCCTGAAGCACCGGCATGGCGAGAAAACCTCAACACACATCTCGTATGTCCCGATTGCAAGCAGATCCCTCCTGATCTGATCGAAGAGAACGCCGATACCATCTGTGCCAACTGTGGAATGGTCCTCGCTGAACGTTTAGTCAGCTACGAGTCCGAGTGGCGAACCTTCAACTCTGATGAAGGCAAAGGCGAGGATCCCAACCGTGTCGGTGAAGCCGACAATGAGTTGTTTCTTACCAACAACGCTGGTACTATGATTGGCGGCGGCGGTCCCAATGTATCGAAGGAGACACGGAAGCTCAAAAAGGCACAGGCAATGCAGCAGGAGAACAAGGCCGACAAGGCTCTGCAGACCGCTTATGCCCAAATCGAGGCCTGGGGGGAAAAAGCCAAGCTCACGGCTACGATCAAGACTACCGCAAAAATGTACTTCAAGCGGGTCTACGAAGCGAACGCCCTCCGTGGTAAGCAAACAGAGGTTATCTTGGCCGGCTGCCTCTTCATTGCGTGCCGTCAACATCAGGCACCTCGTTCTTTCAGTGAGATCTTCGGGTTGACGTCGGTTCCCAAGAAGGAGATCGGACGAGCATATAAAAACCTGGAGAAGTTTCTAACCAAATCATCCAACGAAAATATTCAGGCTATTGAGGAGAGCGGCGGCATTGCGAACCGGAATCTTCTGGGCTTCAAAAGTACGCAGTCAACCAAAGCCGCAGATCTTTGCGATCGGTATTGCAACATGGTTGGACTGCCTTTCCGAGTGTCGACCATTGCTCGAGAGCTTGCACAAAAGATACCTACCGTCGAAGGATTGGCTGGGCGAAGTCCGTTGTCCAACGCAGCTGCATGCACCTATTTTGCCAGTCACTTATTGGGGTTCGGGAAGTCCACGAAACAGATCAGCGAAGTTGCCGGCGTGAGCGATGCAACTATCAAACACGCCTACAGATATCTTCTTCAGGCAAAAGACTCCTTGGTTGAGCCTGGCTGGTTGGGTGAGCAAGGAAATGCCGGCGGGTTCGGCGATCTGAAGAATCTTCCGGGTGCTTGATAGCATTCAATACGCCCGGTTCAAAGCTCTATGTTTGGCGGTTGGATTGATAATCACACAGCATAAGCAAATTGGGTGACGGTCGATTTTGCATGGGCGGCTGTGCCTAAACGGGCACTCACAAAAGTCAGGTGTTCTTATGACGGCGGCAGGGATGAATGGGTGGCTATGGTGCTTGATGGATCAATCATATTGTTCTGATGCTTTTTCTCTGGGCATTTTGCGTGCCAACATGACATAGCATGGCGTTGATCGAGGGACAGATACCCACCACACTGGAGAGCACAGTCGTGCATGTAATGTTAGAGCCAATTGGCAAAATTGCGCACTGGGTAGAGAATACAAAGAATCAACCTTGATGTTTCTGTCGTCACAGGTCGTCAATTTGCCCAATACCTACGTAGTATGTCTGATGTCTGATCGCATCGTATCGTCACAACTTGTTTGGTCGATCTATACGCCCAAACCATACGCTCCCTCCAATCAACAACGATACCTGACCAGATATGACCTGGTAGCTGGCTTCTGATCTCTTGTACCGGTTTCCCACCTTGAAAAGCCCCACAATCGCTCCCAGTAATGACCTTACCTAACCCATCTGCCTCTGGGGCCTTGACACTCGATCGGCAAATAGGGTTACGTTCTACAACGGCGTAAAAGCAAGCCCACAGACACTGTTGCGTGGCGGGTTATCTGTGATCAATAGTATTCTCTGAGAAATGCACCCAGATATAAGGTGATCGATGGGCACCTTGATATGAGTGCTTGCTATCTTGCTTCAGGTTAATCTCAAGTCCTGCGGCATATCGTACACCCTCGTTGTGTCGCGAACCACTCTCGGTCTTCATCCATATAGTCGTCAGCAAAAATGTCCACCCAGTCGAGTCTTACATGCCACTGCGGCCTCGTTTACGAGCCCTCTTCGTTGCTAGCTGATCCAACTATGCCAAATGAACGCATTATGTGCCACTGCAACGTATGCCGACACACCACAGGGTCACTTGGCGCATGGTATTTGGCACTCAATGGCCCGCCCAGTGAGCAATCACTGGCTTGCACGACTGGGTACAAGTCTTCTGAGAAGTTTACCCGTTATTTCTGCCAGAAATGCGGATGCAACGTCTTTGTTCGTTCTGAAACGGACGGGACGTGGTTGGCTTGTGCCGGCATCCTAGAGAGAGGCACGGAGGACAAGGAGGGACTGAGCCAGATGAATGGCCAAGGGAATATCACAAAAGTTATGTGCCACTGGTACCTTGACGATACGAAGGACGGTGGCATGGCGCCATTCCTCACGAAACTGAGCGGGCGGGACGTCCCATGCTATAGGACCCAGCCAGACGTGAAGGATGAAGATCCCTTGGAAGAGAGGGACCTTCTGCAACTCCAGAGAACATCGCTTGATCCACCATCCTCGGCGCCCGAGAGAGGTCGAATGCTGGAAGTCTCTTGCCATTGCGGAGAATGTCAACTCTTAATCGCACCACCGCCTTACACTGCGACCAGCGAAGGATGGTACGTGCCCAAGAAGGACCGCAGCAAATATTACGCTCGCTTCTGCTGTTGTCGATCTTGCCGCCTCACATTGGGCTTCACGCTGCAGCCGTGGGCGTACATTCCTCCATCCCAGTTTTTTACTCTGCAGAACGAACCGGTCGTCTTCGGTCCCCAAACCAAAGAGACGGTTCAAATCGACAAACTCAAACACTACCAGTCCTCGGAGTCTGTAATACGAAGTTTCTGCTCTGTATGCGGGGCTACAATATTCTACCAGAGTTTCGACAGACCCTATATTATCGATCTGAGCGTTGGTGTTGTGAGGTCGAAGATTGGGAATACAATGGCGGGAGAATGGCTGGACTGGGATAGGGAGATTGTGAGCAAAAGGACTGAGGCTGTGGATGAGGAATTGGTGGAAGCGTGGTTGAAGAAATAAAATGTAAGCAGGATTGACATTCTGACAACATTGCAAAACATATACGAAGCCGATAAAACGAGGTTGAAAACGAGATAGTGCTCAGCCTTGTAGCCAGAGACCCAGCGTAAAGGCTGGCGAGGCTGAGCGGCTATGTACCAATAGCTTTCTTGAGGAGGCTCTCGGAACGCTTGGCATTTTTGCAACTGTTGCACTTGGCTACTTCATTACTCGTTGAACGCCCATCTCAAAAACGCTCCCCCAAGTACCTCCTCCGCCCATTGCCATTACGCTCTTCTCTAGCTCTGGTTTTCTCGCAAAAGTAGAGCCCACCCACTTGAATCGCAGAACCAAGTTTTGGGGCAACAATTCTTCACCATGGCTGCCGCTGCGAAGCCGACCAAAAATCAGCTTAAGCGAGCAAAGAAGAAGGCCGAGAAGGAGAAGAAAAAGGTACACGTACTGTTTTGCCATCCATCTTCCGATTCTAACGCCATGCAGTCCGGCACTGAGCCAACCTCAGAAACCACAGTCACAAATGGAACATCCCCCAAACCCGAGCCGGAACAGGAACAATCTGCAGCATCAAATGGCGGAAAGATCAAATTGGAAGATGCGCGCAATGGTGGCGCCCTTGCCGACCCACTCATTGTCGACGAGGAAAATCCTTTGTTTGACATGTACAAAACTGTGATGGAAAAATTCGAGGAGGCAGATAAGGAAGATGCCGCACTGAAAGAACCAGAGAAACCTGAAGTGTACTACGACGATGACGACGACATTCCAGATGAAGACGAAGAAAATGCTGCGCCAAAGATCTCCAAGAAAAAGAAGAAAGAGATGACAAAGTTGTCTGTGGCAGAGCTAAAGGCTCTCGTCAAGAAGCCTGAGATGGTGGAATGGACAGACACCTCAGCGCCCGATCCCAGGTTGTTGGTCCATATCAAGTCCTATCGAAATGTTGTCCCGGTACCGAATCATTGGTCACTAAAGAGAGAGTATCTATCTTCGAAACGAGGAATCGAAAAGCCGCCGTTCGCACTGCCAAAATTCATCCAAGAAACGGGCATCGCAGAAATGCGAGACGCGATTTTGGAGAAGCAAGAAAACGCCACTTTGAAGCAGAAACAACGTGAGCGAGTACAGGGAAAGACGGGCAAACTTGATATTGATTACCAGAAACTTTACGATGCGTTCTTCAGGTTCCAGACCAAACCGGAGCTGACGAGGTATGGCGAGGTCTATTACGAGGGCAAGGAGTTTGAAACAAACCTGCGACACTTGCGACCTGGGGAGTTATCCGACGAATTGAAGGAGGCACTGAATATGCCCCCGGGCGCGCCTCCTCCGTGGTTGATCAATATGCAGAGATACGGGCCGCCTCCGTCGTATCCAGCTCTCAAGGTACCAGGCGTGAATGCGCCTCCTCCCGCCGGCGCAAGCTGGGGGTTTGCACCCGGTCAATGGGGCAAACCCCCTGTGGATGAAGCGACGAACAGACCACTTTATGGCGGCGACATCTTCGGCGTGCTACAGCAGCAACAGAACGCTCAGCAAGGTGAGCCTGTGGAGAAAGAACTGTGGGGCGAATTACAACAACAAGAAGAATCCGAAGAGGAAGAGGAAGAAGAAGAGGAGGAGGAGGAGGAAGACGAAGAGGAAGGCGGAGCTGGATTGGACACTTCAACCGGTCTGGAGACACCCAGCGGCATGACTTCCGCCGTGCCAACTGAAATTGGTGGCACGGAAACCGTCTCTGAATTTGACTTGCGAAAACGCCGAGGAACGGAAACTGAAGAATCGTCTCATCCACGTTCCGCGTACCAAGTCATTCCAGAACGCCAGTCTCGCGTTGAAGGTTTCTTTGGCGGCGACCGCGTCTATGATCTGAAGGCCGCTCAACAGCAATCTGCGGCTAGTGTTCCCATCCTGGGACAAGATGATACTTCCCGCAAACGAAAGAAGCCCGGCGATGTGGATGTGTCAATGGACCCGGATGCTCTTGCAGCACATGATGGGATGGATAAAGAAGAACTGCGACGCGCATACGAACAAGGTCGTAAAGCAGAGCAGAATCCCAATTGGGATTTCCAGGATGACTTGTCCGAGATGATTGCGTCAGAACACAGGAAGCGGCAGAAAAGGGATGAAGAAAGAAGGGGAAAGAGATGATTTGAAAGCACTCACAGCGCCATCGAGACCACATCCAGAGTTGTAACAGTGGAAGCATGACATGATCCTCCAGTGTCATTTGTGGAAAGGTCGTGCGTTTCGCCATACCTTGAAGAAATGACTCCAACCCGTCATCGACCAAGGATTTCGCGTCAGGACGCCTGAGCAAAGCGAGCCTGAAACTCTCTTACCGACGTCGAAGTCCATTCCGGAATCACTGGGTTAATCATCGGATTTCGCGAATCCTTCCCAAGCGCTCTCGAGCCGAAATGTCAACCCAGATGAATTTTGGCACGTTCTAAAAAGGTGCTTGACTGGCCGGTGTCCTTGCAGATATGGCTGAGCAGAATTGCTGGACTTAAGCCCGTGAGGCAACACCGTGCATGAAGAGGCAACAAATACCTCAGCGTTGCATAGAGCTCAAGCTCCGGCCTCTGCAATGGAAGATGATAACAATGCATGCGGTAGCCAATGAATCAGGCGCATGCGGACCTTGGCTGCCCTTCTCAGTTGGAAGCAACTCATCAGTATTCGCTAGAAAACTGCTGTATGTTGGGCCACTTACATCCCACTATCAATTTATGCCTACGAGAAGATTTGGTGAGATTTCCTAACTTCGTTGTTTCCATCTTACAATCTGAATTAATTCTAATTATCATAGTGTCAACCAGGCTATTTTTCGAGCTTGGGCTCTGGCGGATTGTTGGAAGATGGCCACCATTTTGCGCTCCAACCTGATGAAGCATCTTCTTGAATTGGTTCTAAAGCTGACCCTGCGGACTCTTTCAGCTGTGCCAGGTCTTTCATTCTCGTCCTGGCCCGGCTGATGTTCAGCCATTCCTGAAAATCGAGATTCGTCCGTATCCCAATCGGCCAGCAGCGTGATTTACGCCGACGAGGATGAAGATCTGATCAATCTCCTCAAACGGGGCCGCTTTGTTATCATATAACATGTCTTTCCATCCACCACATTCAGATCTCTACCGTTTAGATGTGAGACCGATACAGTGCCAGCATCCCTTTCTTCCTGCTCTATCGCATATTCGCATTACTCGTACTGTATTGATATGTTGGGATTCAGTCAGCCTCAAGTGAGCTCATCACTGGGTCAACCAACTTCTGCCAATATCTCATTCGTTTGGCGCAGCACAAGTACGGCAGATTCTCCCAATCCTTTTGCAAAGGAACAAAGAAAACTTGGAATAAGTTCTTCATCCTTGAATGCGAGTCGCTTTGGCGATATGCTTACCTTGTCTTACATGCAAGATAGTTCCTGTTCGCCAATCGATCCAAGATTGGTTCTATGTTCCCGCACAGTGAGCTGGGGGCTTGCTATTACCAATCCTCAGAGAAGGATGCGCAGACCTTCAAACGCAGCGCAAAAAACGGCGGTCGACAGGTGCCGGACATGGTCAGCCAGCAGTGCGATTTTATTCAACTCTGGAAGAGTCGAGGTTGCTGTCCACATCATTGCTCATGTGGCTCTGCTGCATCCTATACGGGAACGACGAAGCACTTTTCGACGTGAATGATTAGGCTGATCCACACGCCATTGCATCGCCTGTGCTAAGCCTAGTAGGGAGTGTTGGGATGAAAACGTGATAATTAAGCAGTGGTTCCTGAGCAGTGCATCCGTTTCTGAAGCTGGGTGATGACTGGTTTGGACTCTGTAAATCTATTCTAGATTATGGGCTAGGAAATGCTCCTGGGCTCAATTTGTCCCGTCCCTGGTACCGCCTAAGAGTAAAACTGCGCCAGGAAATACTGCCGGAGCCTCGTGCCAGGCGAGGCTGAGGCTTGGCATATAATTTCTGGATCCAGCGAGCCAGCAAAGCATTCAGATGGCGACATCGTCTCGAAGCTCCTTGCGGACCTGTAATGCCACAACTCATCGGGTGGGAAACTATGTCCCGTCAGCTCAAAGTGATATGAACTTCACAAAGCCGGTTTTCACCTCGCCCTGTTGCTGACCTCTCTATTACCCGTCCTCATGGACCGCTACCGGGGGTAAGTTCTCCGCAGTACTGATTTCGTCGAGATGACTGACCCATGCCAGGTCACGGCGATCGCCCGCACCCCGAGATAGGGGACATCGAGAACGAGATTCGCACCCAGACGTCGAGTATTTTGGCGAGGGAGAAAGCTACAGACCGGGTGGCTCAGGAGGCGATAATTCATACAGACCCCCGAATCGTGATCGGGAACGTGACCGCGATCGGTTTACCGCAGACTCGTGGACGGCTGACAGAAGAGATGGCCGGCGCGATGACCGAAGAGATGACATTGACTCATATGTGCCAAATGCGAGTGCAAGGGTGACAAGGCCACGCAGCCGGTCCCCGGCCTTTCGACGACGCTCACGAACCCCGCCGAATAGAAGAGAAGATTTATTTCCCAACAGACGTTCACCCCCTCGCCGCTACTCACCGCGAAGATCGCCACCAAGGAGAAGATCTCGGTCCCCGCCTGGTGGGAGAACTCGAAGTCCACCGGACGCAAAGAGGTTCAGAGAGTTTTCTCCTGACCCTGCGCGACGCTCACCCAAACGCGGACGAATCTCCCCCGACCGGAGCAGATTTGATCGCGAACGGTCACCCATCAGAAATTCACCAAGAGGAGGTGAGAGTTACAGACCCAGGTCTAGAACGCCGCCGCGTCGAAGGCAGCACGACAATTGGGTGAGAAGGTCTCCTTCGCCGAGAGATTCTGGCGCAGCTTCGCACAATACTTCACGAAGGTCATCTCCCCCAATTCATCCAGACCGCATGAGCTTAGCAGGCTCTCTACCGAGGTCACCAGCACATCCCGCTCGAGACTATTATGACAATGCCGACTCCGCCAGCTTTCGAGGCAGATCCCCCGCTGCACCCTCAGTTACAGATGGAGATCAACGTTCTCGGGAAACTGACGTGAGTACACCGCGGGACGAGGTACAGGCGAACGGCGAAACCCGACAGCCGCCCTCTGGTCCCAGCAGTTATCGAAATGGCAACTACGAAAGACCACCACCCACGGGTCCATCACGCAGTTTCAGTCAACCCATTCAGTCTCCACCTACCGGCCCTGCGGCATCGATGTCCATGTCTGCTCACAGTCGTGGCGGAGGCGCCTCTGCACTTAACGCTCCCACCAGACCTCGCGGTTCTGTTGGTAGATTCGACGGTCCGCAATCTCGAGATTTCTCAGGCCCTCCAATGCGTGGCCGAGGAGGCTTACCTTTCAGAGGCCCTGCGCCGTATGGACCGAGAGGAAGCTCTCACGGACGCGGAGGCGACTTTGGCTCCAGCAACCGGGGTGAATATACCGGAGGGTCCAGTTACCGTGGCGGGTTTGGACGAGGCGGGCCTGTCGGAGGCGATGCCACATTCCCGTTCCGAGGCAACAACAGCACTAGCACCACATACCCTCGCTCACAACGCTTCAACTCCGTTCAACAGCATCTGGCGACGAACGAGAAGATCGTCCCTGGTGGTAAACTGCTTCCCTCTGGACTCCCCCTTGACCAGGAAAAGCGGATAAAGATGCTCGAGGCCGAGGCCGAACGAATGCGGACCGAGATCGCAGAGAAGCAGAAGCTCAAGCGCGAAGTGTTGAATGAGTGGGACGTGAGGGAAAGAGAGAGCGAGAGGGAAGCGCTGCGTAGTGACCTCGCAGATCAGCACCTGCAGCAGCTGATGGAAGGGGACGATGGGATTGGAAGAGCGGCATTCTAGTGGAATTTACCGGGTTGCTTGGTCGGTCGATCTACAAAGCAGCTGTGGTGTAGCGGGACTGAGGACAGTCCGGTTGAAGAGGCACAAACACCTGGATGTTTGAGTTTGTCCGGGCGCTGTCTTTTTCCACCTATCGAGCAACTCTTCGTCCCACCCACGAACATTAAGGTCTTGGAGGAAAAAATGGATTCGAGCGGGCGTGAGCGTCATTCAATCATAGCATTGCACCAAAAAAGCATGAGACGGGAAGGGGCATGGATGGGACTCACAGCTCAACAACTCGCACTCGGATGCGATGCCAGCCGTTGCTAGCAAAAAAAAGGGAATTTTTGGAATGAGACATTTGGATAAGAGAAAGCGGCGCAGAGGAGAGAGCTCGCTTGTTCTTGTGGCTTTTCGTTCTCCCACTTGTGCAACCTCTGTCTCCCGGCATCGAGAGGCGGTCTCTACGAAAAGATTGCCGGCATAGGGGCTGTGACAATCGTTGCAAAAACAAAGTCAAAGGCATTGGTTGATACAGACATCTTCCAACTCAAGGTCCCAAATGCCTCGCACCCTTCCACAGTATAATGTGTTGCTCCTCCAATCTCTGTTCGTACACCTCTTCCCCTCCATGCTTGTATCTTTGGGTGCCGACCCCGCAAGCCTACGAGCCAACAGCCCTGCCGCCGTCGACCTCCATATTCACGCCTGTGATAAACTTGCCCTCGTCGCTGGCCAGGAATGCCGCCACGTTCGCCACGTCAGACGGGTCCGTCAGTCTGCCCAGCGGGACGTTGAACAAGAACTTCTTCATGTTTTCCTCGTTGTAAGGAACTCCCACAAAGGACTCGAAGAGGCCGGTGCCAGAGAGCAAGGGGCAAAGGGCGTTCACGCGGATTTGGTCTTTGCCGAATTCGGCGGCAAGACCCTTGGTGGCCTGTTCCAAGATGCCATTAGCCCCAGCGACGGATAGGAAAGGAATATCAAGATGCATATGTGGCAACCAAGTCTAGGTGGAAGGCTGTCATGGAAAACTCACGTTCGCAACGGCGCCCTTGCTCGCATTGTACCATACCAACCCGGGCCTAGGCCTCATGGCCCCTATACTGGCAATGTTGATGATACAGCCACCTCCCCGGTTCTTCAGCGCAGGGACTGCAGCTGGTATGCTCAAAAAGATGCTCTTGACATTCACGGCCATGACCTTGTCGTACTCATCCTCGGTCACTTCCAGCGTGGGCTTGTTCTTGTAAGACGTCCCGGCGTTGTTAACGACGATGTCCAATCCGCCGAATTTCGAGACGGCTATGTCGACCATTTTGCTCCAGTCGCTGGACGAGGTGACGTTGGCGGTAAGAGTCGCAACGTGGCTGTCAGCGGCACTGGCGTAGGCCTTCTGGAGACCTGCCTCGTTCATGTCCGCGGCGACGACTTTGGCGCCTTCGTCGATAAATTTCCGGACGCAAGCGAGACCAAAACCTGAGGCGGCACCTAAGGAGAAGTACGTCAGGCATAGGTCGTGATATCTAGTCACTCTTCGGGACTCTGTGGCAGTTTGCCATGCTCTCAAAGCAGAGTGACGGGCAATCGAGGCTTACTTACCTGTGACAATGGCCACCTTGTTGGCTAACTTGCCGGAGCCTGTTTGGACCTCATGGAGACCTGACATGGTGGAAATCTTTCTATGGAAAGTCAAGGATTCAATCAGATGGGAGCAGTGCACAGTGGGTGGGAGGCAGAAGAAAGTGAGAGAGGGAACGACAGCAACGCGCGCTGCCACCGGAAGTCGAGCGTGAAAGATATATGGGCCATTGGGCCATGTCTATGCCCCGCAGCGATCGAAACCACCTGGGAAGAATTCTGAGGACCATGATGTATGACCAACAGGCACGCAACAGAGGGGTAAGGTCGTCTGGTTGCTAAGGGTTTGCGGAAGAAGCTTGCGGGGAAGAAAGTTGCAGCTGCATGCGGAGATGGTGTCTCGAAACAATGCCCTGACGAATGATAATTGACACAGGCCGGAGCCATCTCGTTCTCGAGAACCGGGGTGCCGGCAATGCCCCGTCTCTTCGAATTCGGGACACACACACAATTTACAAGGGCGCCAAAGAGGGCTGCAAGTCACCAGACATTGTATCGACACCCTCGGCCGATCTCGACCTCCAATCCCGATGATGCCGAGTTCGGTCGCCGGTGGAACGGATCGACGCAAGCTGAGTGCCCTGAAGAGCTCGACCTTTTGCACACAGGCAAGATACGGCGCTATCAGGAGCAGTACAAAGCTTCGCATTGCCCAGGCAGAGAGGTTGAGGATCGACAGCATCGACTGATTGCCGGCAAGGGGAGCTAGGAAGAGTATGAGAATCGCAAACCGAGCGTGCATCAAATTCGTGGTGGGTATCTCAATGTTGATATACAGCAATCCAAGATTGTCTTCACCCAAGATTATCTCCTCTTCTTGTTGGCCCGGCCCTCTGCAGGATATGTTAGTTTCTTGTTGGCTGCTCGAGCCTTTGATGACCGTACCTGCTGCCGACTTCTTCTTCTTGGGCGCACCCTTTCCCCGTAGCTTGGCAAAGGCGACATTCTCCAGTCTGTCGTCCTCTTCTTCGTTGAAACCCTCCAGATCAAACTTTTTGAACTCGTCCAGAACGTCTTCCACGGTGGCTGATCGTCGGGGGTAGTACGATGCCAACGCTGGGCCTCTTAACCGTTGGCGTAGGACTTTGTTGCCTAAACGCTGCTGCATCGGGTTGAAGGTCGTAGAGAAGATTGAGCATTGAAGCTGTGGAAGGTTGACTGATCAGCAGGAGCGCAATATGAAGGGAGCACCAATTGGTGATTGCGCGTTATGGCCAAGGGCAGGCGTGTTGTTGGGGGTCAATCTTACCTGCATCAGCTGTAGTAGCCGACCTCTCGACGGAGAAGCCATTGCAATGCTGTACAGGGGAGAAGTTGGTTGATTGAATGTTCTGGAGAAAGACAAGCAGGTCAAGTTACGAATTGAAACCAAATTGAGGCTACACAGAATTGCGCCCCGGCACCAGTTGCCGCCGGAAGATCCAACTCGCCTCCACTTTCCCCTTTCACAATTTTCACAACCACTTTCATCGTGCCTTCGACCTTCTGCCTATGCATCTGCCCGTCCATCTCTCTCACACGAGAACTGCTACTTCCAGGGTAATAAGAATGCATCAGACATGGTGATCCAGTGCCAGGATCCCCAGATATCTTATCACCCGGATCATGCCGGACTTTGACAGAAAGCGCAAGTTCCAAGGCGACCAGAACCACCGTCCCAAAAAGCCACACAGAGACAACCCGAAACCCCCAAGTCACACCAATGTTGAGACATCAATCAATAATGGACTTCCTCCCCTGCCGCAAATCCACGAGAAATACCGATCCGTCGTCTTCACGCACCCCAGCCAAGCACCCGGTAATGTCCACGCCAGCTACGACAGACTTGAGTTCCTCGGAGATGCTTACCTTGAACTCTTTGCAACCCAATTAATTTTCGACCGATTCCCGAGTCTGGATCCGGGAAAGATGTCTCAGATTCGAGAGTCTCTGGTCAGGAACGAAACCATCGGTCAATATGCCAGCCTCTACGGACTGGACAAGCAAATACAAAGCTACAAGCAATTCCAGAATCAGGCACCTCATGCTTGGCTCAAGATCAAGGGAGATGTTTTCGAGGCCTATGTTGCTGCTGTAATCTTGACTGACGCGGATGAGGGAAGGCAAGCTAAGAAATGGCTTCACCAGCTGTGGGATCCCAAATTGCAGGCCGCCCTCAATGCTAATAATGCCCCCTCAAAGAAAAGCAAGGAGGAGCTGGCCAAGAAGATCCTGGCGAAGGGTGTGAAGATCAATTATGTTGATGAAAAGGAACCCGTTGTCCACTACGGCCAAGGAAAAGAGACCTACTTTATTGGAGTCTATTTGACTGGTTGGGGCTGGGACAACCAGTACCTTGGTAGTGGGAAAGGCTCCAGCAGAGTCGAGGCTGGACAAGCAGCTGCAGCAGCCGCACTCAGCAATCGGCCACTCATTGACGAGATTGCAGCCAAGAAGGCAGAGTCATACGTCCAACGAGACAAAGAACATATTCAGGTGGATGAGATGGAAAATGTCTAACGCTGCCTATGGATTTGTGTTCCTGCGGTACAGGCTGAGGTCTACCCGTTTCTGACAACAACCTCAACGGCGACGGCGTCATGCTATCCGAGGACCATGACAGCCGTGAAGATCAGCAGATTTTGACCTTGAGGTGTATGGCCTATCAATCCTTCTCACCATCGCTGAGGTTCTGATCATCGATGACGTTCGAACACCGAATCTCATTCTCGAATTGTCTGGCCAAGTCCGAACTGCCGTGTTGTGCAAGAAAAAATCCCCAGTTCACGTCCTCATGTGTCGATACACCTGCGGATTTCAGTTAGCCTATACCAACAATGACGAAGGTCTGAAGACAATCATGCCAGAGGAGAAAAGTCATGTCAACTGAGGGAGAACGTACGGTCAGCCTCGAACTCTAATTGCTCCTTAACAGGGCTCTCCGTATGGACTGGCGGCAGCTGGGGTTGAGAAATCCAGGGCTGGCCTTGTTCTGGCGCTAGTCCGCTGCTCTCCTCGAGTTCATCTTCTTTCCCATCGGCCTTTTTGCACTGCAGCCATCCAGATATGCGCCTATTCAGCCTTCGGAAAGCCCCGCGTGCCTTCCTGACCTCTTGTCCCGAAGTTATCATCTCAACGCAGCCAACATCATCACTCAATGCCTTTGTTTCAGTGTCCTGCACGTTTAATACAATGTTTTCCTCGTTCGGATTGTCTTTCTTTGTCTCGACCTGGGCATTGTGATCGGGAGTCTTGTCTGACTCGGTCACAACAGAAGCTGTGGTTGGTCCAGCGACAGCCCAGGAAACAAGGCGATCAACAAAATCCTTTTCTTTGTCTGGCCAAACATAGCGGTAACTGATCGTACCATTGTGACGAACGATCTCAAACTCGCCTCCACTCTGCCCAGCTGCGCGTCGACGTTGTCGACGAGCCTGGACGCTATCGGCTACACCGGCCTCGGACATGATCGAGACTGACGCCAGGTATTATGGAAAATCGCAGAAAATTGGGCTAAGGAACTGCATTAGCGGATCTATGAGGGGGCCAGATACTGGACGGGGACCTATTGCTCTCCTCTTCGATGCCGAAGAGAAGGCTCTTGCGTTTGATAAGTACTTCGCGAAGATGGGATGGCATACTCTGAAGGAGAGGCGCGAAGCCACGGAGATTATCAATGTCGGAATGTCTCTGACCGCGATAGACAGAGGCGTTCACCAAGATCGACTTGAATAGACATATGGCATGTTGAGACGATACATTAAAAAGCTAAACCGTTGCCTTATCGTAGGGGCGCGTTTTCAAATGGTGTTCGCCCGCGATGCGCTTGCCCCGCAGCCTTGTCGTAGAGTGAAGGCAGCAAAGAATACAGCTTGTCTAGGGACGCGAAAGCAAACTCTGCAAGCGTGCAAAAGATGGTCCTTATTTGACTGGCTGGGCCTTTAGCGCTCTATGGGCAGACATGGCCTAATCATCGTAGCAGGTGTCGGGCGTTTGCCGATGATACAAGAGCCCCCTTTTCGAAGTCAGCCTCGTCATGTCCAACTACGCCTTGCAATGACGGCGTCCAGCTAATAATATTAGATTCATGAACAAAGCACACTCATTGTATAAGAACGGTTGACTGAATGGAAAAGCACTACACAGCCCACAAAGAGAACAAAACGACAGCCACGCACAAGACAACAAAGAACCGGGGCATGAGGGGGACAATGCTTCTCTGATGTCTTTATCTGCTGTCCGGTCGCTTGCCCTGCTTGCCCATCTTTGCTCTCGAGAAACGAACCATCGATCAATCGATTCCCAGATCACCACTGAACGAACGCAATCCCCCCTCCCTCAATCACACCTTGGGATCCAGTTGCAACATCAGACAGCTCCAGAAAAGGCAAGACTATCCCCATTACGAACGATGATAATATACCCGCTCATCCTCATCCTCCTCCCCTCCGCCACAAGGTTCACCACGGCCTACCCCTCCCCGGACCCAAAGTACCTGGGCCAGGGCCAATGCACGTACGCGGGCCAGATCGTGTGTGCGTCCGAATCGACGTTTGCAATCTGCGACGCGTCTCTCACGGGCGTCATCCAGCCCCTGGCTGTGGGCGATACACGGTGCGGCGACTTCGGGGGCCCTCCTCCTCCCCCCCCTGCTGCTGCCCCGTCTTCTACCACCCCAGCAGATGCTCAGGGGACACTCGGGTTCATGAAGACGATAGAATCAGCGATAGCCACATCCAGTTACACACCACCACCTGCGCCTCCCAAGTCAGCGGTTACGTCGCCCTCGTCGCCCTCGAAGAAGCCGCCGAAGCACCAAACCGCCTCCACACCCGCTCCACACTTCGCAGGGACAAGCCTCGCGGTGGTTCCCACGAGCATTCCCACCGCGATTGCTACGGCCGGTGGGCTGCCTCCAGCGGCGCCAGCGCCGCCGCCTCGCGACGGGTGTAATCCGGGGAAAAGCACTTGCTCTGGCGGCTCATGAAGGGATCCGTCTACAAATGGATGGGCGGACCAGGCATGGGAACTTTGCAGCTGCGAAGGCTCTTCTCATCTGTGGCGTTCACAGGCAGAAATGTCCCGTAAAGAAAAGGTTGATTCGCGCTTAGATCGACGGTAACGACCTGAATCTGTTACGAACGCTACGGGTTTCCCGTCTAAATACTTGTCTTTTGTCCTTTCCCTGTATTGACACGGTTAGGTATATCCCGTGTAGTAGCCGTTTCGTCGCTTTATTTGATCCCCTTGAAATGTAAGCTGAGCCACCTTACACAGACGCTGAGAAATTCTGAGTGGATTGAGGAACTGAATGAAGGTCTATAAAGTCTCGCAGAGGCTGGTTGCGGACGCCGACTTCATCAATACGAATGATTGTTAATTGAATCTAATAATATTTACATAGTAACCCTCGTGTCAAGCTGTCATAGACTCCGGGCACCTGCAGCCCTCGAGCCTGGAGCCAGCGAACATTTGTATCTCTAAACCCCCTTTTGTTTCCTTTTCATCAGCACCGTCTTGAATGGATTTTTCGTCTTAAACCTTAGGAATGTTACTGTATAAACGACGGCATAGTTGAACACAATGAACCCGATGAAAATACCAAAGTCGCGCCAATGGTGAGAGTAGTAGACAGAAAACCCGTGTCCAAACTGGTCCCCGGTCGCATACTGGCAGAACTCACAGAGGCCATCGGCGCCGACCTGGACGTAGCCGCCAGCTTGTGTAATATATTGTTGAGTATAGGATTGGCAGGTATAGCCTGGTGGGGCACTCTAGAGCGAAGTGTTAAGCCATTGTCCACTTGAAATAATAGCATGGATTGACTCACGAATCGAGCAAACTCGCCTCGGTTGCAACGAACAGGTTGATTATGAATGATTGACTGCAACAATCGTCAGCCCCGCTTGCGAAACATCAGAGGGTTGTCAGAGCTTACCCCTAGCATAGCCTCGAGAAGGTAGTGGAACGGCGTCAGCCAATACATCCTGAGAATTATCAGTAAATGTTTCATTGTCCTTCCGTGTGTGGTAGCAGGAACGGGGGGAAGTCAAAAATTACTAACCAACTCCGCCAGAATGAAGGTAGCTGCTGCGGTGGTACGACTACACCACAGAAGCTGACGACGAATAGGAAGAAGACTGGCACCAGTAGACTCGCGAGCAATTCGTTGGGCGCGAATGACGCGATTGCCTGTCCGAAGCTGATATAGTACAACTCGAAGAGGAGGATACACAGCAACAGGAACCCTGAGGTGAACGACGAGGTTGAAGAACGATAGCCGGCGATTCCAAACCACCAACAACAGTAAAAGACGGCTCCGGCGATCAAGGAGTAGGGGATTTCAGCGAGAACAGCACCCGTCGTCCAGGCAAACCAGCTGTAAATCTTTGCGTTGTTCTCTCGAGACTGAAATATGTTCCGAGAATGAATGAAAACAGGTTGCAGTTGTTGAATGAGGGGCGGAGAGATTGTAAGCACCAGAAAAACAGCAAAGAGACGTGATTGCATGTCGATCGAGGCAAAGCCAAGGTGGTAAAAAGTGAACGTGGTGAACAAGCCGGTCATGATATGCAGGATGAATTTGCCGAGAATATAGTTGGGAGTCCGCTACATGGCTGTCAGTCGAAGAAAATGCAGAGCCCAACACAGACATGATACTCACCCAGTATGCAACGAACGACCTCTTGACGACCGCTGTAGTCTGCGTTGCAAGCGGCATGGCGTATTCCCTATCGTCTCTGACGTTTTTGCTATGCTCCACGTTCTTCCTGCGTTCGATCATCTCGGATATCTCGTCAGATCGTGCTTGGTAGTTGGTGCTTTGCTCCCAAACGTCGCCCCAATCTTTACCTTTATAGTTGGGGTCGCCTGCGCCAATGACTTCAAGCATGTACTCCGCAGGATTTGCATCTGGAGGACACTTTCGCGCTCCATTCTCCTCGAAATAGTGAATGAGTTCTTGCGAGTCGTGACCGAGAGGGCCATGGTATACCACCCGACCACCGGACTTGAGTAAGATGAGCTCATCAAAATGTTCGAATAATACCGCCGACGGCTGATGAATTGTGCAGAGGATAGCTTGACCAGCATCTGCCAATTTCCTCAAAAATCTCACGATGTTGAATGCCGCGCCAGAATCAAGGCCTGAGGTGGGTTCATCCAAGAACATAAGAAGCTCGGGTTTACTGGCTAGCTCAACACCGATAGTCAATCTTTTCCTCTGTTCTTGATTCAGACCCTCGCCAATTGTTCCGATCGTTGCTCCCGCAATGTCTCGCATCTCGAGCAGATCGATGATTGTCTCGCAATACGCATACTTTTCCTCGACGGGCACCTCTTTCGGTTGACGGAGTAGAGCCGAGAATTGAAGAGCTTCTCTCACCGTGGATGTCGGTTCGTGAATATCCATCTGCTCTGCAAATCCCGTAGCTCGCTGGAAAGACTTGGGCAACGGCCGTCCATCGACAAGAAACTCCCCTGTCACAGTGCCAAAGTTGATGCGTTGAGCGAGAGCATTCAACAGCGTCGTCTTCCCTGCACCACTGGCGCCCATCAAGGCGGTGAGTTTACCGGGGCGAACATAGCCTCGGACATTTTGGAGGAGCTTCCGCTGGCCTTTCTCATAGGGAATTGTGTAATTGATGTCCCGGAAGGTGTATATTGTCTCATTCTTGGCCACATGTTCCAGCAGATTGTTGTCCTGCGTCGTGTTCGTGGATTCGTTGCTTTCACTACCTGGAGATATGACCTTCTCCACAAGATCTGCTGGAACCGACCCCCCGGACTCGACGTCGCGTTTAGAGTTCTTGTCTCGGCCACCTGTTTCGATAGTCTGTTCGACTTTCTTGGGAACTTGGCCACGCTTGAAGACGGTAATAGCGCCACCACCTGCGTTAGGCTTCATTCTTTCCATCCCGAAAGCAGCTACTGCGAGGAAGAATGCGAAGAAAGCCCATAAGAAGCCGAAATTGCGCCACAGATGGGAACGAGTGTACCCGAAAGCCTGGTGAATGTAACGAGCTCCATTCACCGTTGTTTGCCCTGGCTCACTGCCGGCCAACGTGCATGATTGATACTGAGGACGTGCATTTGGACCCTGAGGAACCAGAAAGGGAGGCACGCAGTCCATGATGAGACCAGTAAATTCGTTGGCCATCAGACACTCGAATCCATACTGTATCCAGTTGATCCGGCGAAGCCAGCTAAACCAAACACGCATCTGATCGGGTGCTATGAGAGCGTCAGCAATTTCAAGGAGGCTGGAAAGGGTTACCTACGAATAAGATAGCCAGTATACACCACCAATATCTGAATCGAAACGCCGGTAAATCGAGTAGCGTCATCCAGAGTCTTGCAGAGGGCGGAGAGCATGCGGAAGTAAGCGTAGGTGACCATGGTGACGGTCCAGATAATGAAACATGAGATGAAGAATTGAGAAGCAGAAGCGGCAAGCCCAGCCATCCAATATATGATGAGGTTAAACAACAGGACCTGGATCGCTATTAACGGGATGTCGACCACCGTTTGTGCAAGGGCGTATGCCGCAGGACGGTAGAAGGAGAATGATTTGTGCTTCAAGAGGATCGGTTTGGAGGAGAATGCAGCAGTCATTTCTGCCAAAGCAAGCAAAGCATTGAAAAGAAGAACGAAGAAGATGGCACCGCCCCTGGGAAAAGCTCCTGCAGTAGTTGTCGGCATTTGGAAGAACAAACTTCCGACAATCAGCCCCTGTGCCATCGTCAGCAGCAGCTTCAGTCTCCTGTCGGCGCTCGTTGTTTGCACGTACCTGGAATACAATGCCTCCCCACTTCCCAATCAACGAAGCTCGGTCGCCTAGCATGACCAAGAACTGCCGCTGTGTGCATGCGAGCACTTGCTTGTGAAAAGGGATGGCATAGTTCTTTTTCTTGTTCTTTACCATGTTCTGCTCACGGGATTCCCGTTGTTCTTCTAACTGAGCTTCAAAGTCCCTGATGTCTTCAAGGTTGCGTCGATAGGCTTCCGACTTGCGATAAAGAGCAGCGAATTCGTCTGCGTTTCGTGGAATGCGATCCTCCCACCCTTTTCTGACAGACCTGGCGTGCACATCGGTGACAGAGGTCAAGAAATCAGATGTCGTCCAGCGTGGTTTACATTCGAAACCAAGGTCGATGAAGTATTGTTTAGCGTCATCAGCTGATCCGAAGTATAGACACTTTCCTTCATGAATCAACAGGACCTTGTCCACAAGTTGGTATAGTGACTCTCCAGCTTGATACAAGGACACCGCTGTGGAAGTATGCGCCATGTTGGTGAGGGTGCGGATACATTGGACGTATTCGAGTGCCGTACTTGCGTCTAAGCCGCGACTCGAGTTATCCCAGCCTTGAACCGAAGCTCTCGTGATCATTGCTGCTCACTGTCAGTGACCAAATTCACACCTTGGAATCCAAAGCGCACCTTCTGCTATGCTGACTCGTTTCTTTTCGCCCCCGGAGACTCCTCGAACAAATTGATCGCCAACTTTCGTGCCCAAAGTGTGTTCGATCCAGAACAGTTTCGTTACTACCCTCAAAAATTCTCTCTTGTAATCTGCCCGGGATTCGCCTTCTAATCGCGACTCTTTGCCCGGAGTTCGAGTCTTTAACGCAAACATAAGGGTGTGCTTGACTGTCAATGTGGGATAATGAAGGTCATCTTCCGGATTGTAGATGACTTCTCCTCGAAAATCCCTTTTCATAGTCTTTGCGTCCGTGCCACCATACGTAACTTCTCCTTGGACTGCCTCGAACCCCTCTCTCTGGTTGCAAAACGCTTTGAGAAAGGTCGAACAACCCGAACCTGGTCTTCCAAGAACCAGCAGCATCTCCCCGGGTCTAACGCATCCATCGAGATGGCTCAGAAGTTCTCGCACGGGAGGCTTGCCGAATGCCGCCTTTGCACCTTTGGTGACAAGGGTTTTGAGCATCCGCGGCAGGCCGAGGAAAATATCGCCGACGGTTGGTTGAAGGCTGGCGCCCAACCCGACCCCTTTTACGGTCAAGTCGCGAAATATGACACCACTGTGACGGGTTTTCTCTTCTTCGCTGTGCGCCTGTCGCGCCCCGCCGAACATTCGAGACATGAGTCTCTCTATTTCGTCATTCTCCTCCTGAAGCTGGGCTTCGGATTTGCCTGAAGCGCTTGTTCTTCTCCGGGACAAAACATTGAACAAATCGTCCTCTGATTGGATACTCCTTTGCTGTCGAAGCCGCTTGTCTTCAGCTGTGGAGGCGGCTCTGAGTGGTTCGAACTTGGAGTCGGTTCTTCTTCCTGCGGAGCCATCTGATGTATCTGTGACCGACGACGCAGATGACATGCTGTGAGGATAGCCATGTCCGCTTGCGGCTTGGTAGGACGCCTCGATTAGAGAGTTGGTGGCTGTGGCAGTCTCACCAGACGAGGGAGTGTCGTTGTTTCGACGTCCCGTCAAGGTGGCTTCTGGCGAATATGGATGAGGCTCAGGCCGAGAAGGGATTGGCGTGGCCCTCATAGCCTCAGATGGTATAGTGCGTTGACCATTGTCATGATACTCGTGGTCTGGAACGATATGCTCCTCCATCGATAAGTCTATTGGCTGGCTAGGAAAGCGACTTGGCACATCTGGAGTCGGCCGGTCGCCCATGTTTAACGAAGAGTCATGGAGATATTGTAGAGGTATGAATACGCAAGGCAGAGATGGTTGTTGGAGTTAAAACGAGCGACGCAGTGGTGTGACGATAGTCTGTACGGATAGGAAAGCCATGGTGTGATAAAGGCGCGCATGGAGAACATGCGAGTCTAGAGCAATCAAGGTCAATCCGGCTCGGTGATAAGTCATGGATACAGTACCTACTTGCGCTCCAGCTCCATCGAGCAGCGGTAACTCCCAGGAAGGCAATATCGAGGTCTGGAGGGTGGAGCGTGCAGGCGCCATGGTGGAAGCTTTGGTCAAGGTGCGGCGGCATGCAGCTGGATTACGTTGATGTTGCGAATTGACGCAGGCAGGATGCTTGATGGTTGGAGGAATCAACAAATGCAGTTCGACTAGCTTCCAAGGTTCCGTCTCATGACGAGGTTGCGAGGTTGAAGGTTTTGGGTTGGTGGTCTGTATCGGACCTGAAATCTCCCGAATCCGGGAGACGCGGGCACAGCTAGGAGCAGCTCGGCGCCGACTCACGCCTCTCTTTTCTCCTCTGTACAGGCACAGCTTAGCTTCGCCTCTCTCCTTCTGTCTCTGTTTGGCTCCAGCACAAGCTGCAAGTGGTTGCAGTACGTTCACCATTGCCGTCTTCGTCATCATCATCTTCTTCATCTGCGTCGTTGTCTTCATCCCGAAAACTCGGCCGAGAGCGCAGCTAATCATTGAAGACCACCACGATGTCTCCTCCCCGATCAATGACCGCCCCCTCCTGTCCTTAAGTTCAATATGTGGGTAGGGATTTGTGGGTGACCATGCCGCGTTCCTAGAGTGGAGAATGAGAACTGCTTCATAAAGGCGGTTATGAATGTTATCTGGGGAGGAGGGACTCACCGTTGCGCATCGCCACATCTCGATACCCAATCCAGGTGCTTCGGCACCGAACTATACTTGCTTGTCCAGGCCAAGTCAACATGTCTGGCCAGTAGACAAAAGAGCGTGGAAATGTAGGCCTCTAGACTTGCAGGCGATCCGAAACAGTGGTGCTGGATGTGTCCTCGAATTTCTAGCCATCAAGGAACGGTCGTGGCAGGTTTCTTCGCAAAGAAGTCACTCATCTTCTTCATTCCTGAAACATTGACCTTCTTTAGTTCGCGCACTCCTCTTGACTCTCCCAGCTTCCTCTTCCTCTCTTCTTCCTCCTGCTTCCGCTTCTTCTCCACTCTCAACTCCAGCGCTTCATCATCTTCCAATCCCCGCTTCCTGCTGAAATCACTCATCGATCTCGACGCTAGTGCCTCAGCTTTAAGACCATCCAAGTTTCGGAGATGGTCCTTTAAGGCAGCAAAGTTGATCAGAGAATCCCCTGATTCAAATCGAGCTTTCAGGCGGTCCGCGATTGCTTCTGGCAGGTAGGAAGCTAGGATGAAGTCTAAAGTGACCCACTGTTTCTGCAATTCGAACAGCTCTTTAGATGTTGGTTCATCAACGGCAGTGCTAATCGAACTTGTCGTCGAGGCTTCGGAGAAGATCGTAGAGTGCGCCGTGCTCGCCGCAGAGGATTGCGAGTCCAAGCTATCAAGCGCAGAATCATCTTCCTCCACAGACAAGGGCACTGTTTGTGTCGTTGTGACCGTCTCCTCCCGCTTCACGCTAAGTATAGGTGCTTCCAATGCTCTTTTCACAAACTTTTCCAGCACGCTAGCTGGTAGTCCTCTGTTGACAGCATTCTTCACCTTCTGGACGATCATGCGTAATGCTTTTTCTTCGCTAGGTCTGTACATCTGCTCGCCTCCGGCTTCAAGAGTGTCACATATTCTTGACATGGCGTTCTCTACCACGGGCCGTCCACGTTCCAATAGATACCGTAGCTCTTTATCATCCTGTTTTCGCTGTTCAAAGAGATCATCGATCGGCTGAAACAGAGCTTTCGCTGCGGTCGGCTTCGCCGGCAAGATAAGAGGGATAAGTATAAAGGCCACGTCGAATGGCGCTGCCACATAGAAGTCTGCACCTTTGCTTATGTATCCCTTGCTCAATAACCGTTCCGATTGACTCTCATCTTCCGTCGGGTTGGTCTGAAGAGTTTCAGGATCACATGGAGCGAAAAGAAGACTTCGAGGGTCTGCCGTGGGCGCACTGATTCCGCTGAAGTGGAACAGCCCTTTTTCAGGACAGAACAGAAATCTTTGTGTGTTTCCATCGCAGGGATTTTGCAAGAGGAGGAAGCGTGCTTCTGAGGATATATCTTTCGGGAGAATGAAATGCTTCAAGTCTTGACGTTGTGGGTTGGTGGTGGCCTCTGTGGTGTCCGCGGAGCGCTTCTTAACGGGGCTATTCGAGCTTGAACGAGTTGCTACCACCATGTCGACGGTTTAGGAGCTTTATCACTCAAAAGGTTGTGATAGAGATATGGTACACAATCAGCACTAGATACCGGAGTACAGAGTGCTGAACAGAGGTGGTACAAGGGGCCTGGTCGGGATCCCCCGTCAGTCTGTAAGATAATTCACGACGCGTCCTCGGCGCGTCTTCCGCAACCAATCGGAGTCCACCTTCACTCCGCAGTCCAAATGTGTCCTGTGCCTCTGTCGATTTGATATTCTTTCAGAAGGCGGTCGATACTTGGTGTAACCTCAAATTCTATGGCCATTCTGTGTGTCTCGACGTCTGGGGATACTGAAATCCGAAGTAATCCCAACATTGCCATCGCCCACCTCGTCGATGTTCGCAGACTCCTGTGCCTCCACGTCGACTGTTTGCCTGTGATATCGTCCACGATTTGTCGAACAACATGTCCTCGGAGATGACTTGGCCTCCTATTTCGCCTCATGCTGCGCTTATGAGCTCTCCAAGCGGACGCAAGAAGTATGAAGCCTACCAAGACGGCACGTCCCCTATGAAACGATCAGCAACGACACCTAGTCTAGTCGACAGGCTACGAGCGGCGCGCACAGACAATGATTTCAGGGCTCAAGACGGGAGCGCGGAGGAAGAGTCACCAGAAGAAGACGAAGAGACACTACAACTCCAATTGGCTGCAATTGAAGCCAAGTTGAAATTGAAGAAGTTGCAACAGAGTAAAGCTAGAGCTGCAACTCCCGCCAGAGACCTAGCCCGGCCTGCGTCTGCTCATGCGCCGTCCGCTTCCCAGGTCGAGGTGAAAGCCTCTCCAAGTAAACGAATACAAGCTCCGGTGTCAAATTCGCCAACAAGGGTTCTCCTAGGGATCGACAAGGGTGTTCGAGGCGCGGACGTGTCACTTCGCAGAGCCAATACTACAAACGGTAGCCACCGTTCAATACGAACGAATAGTGCACTTCCCAGCAGTGACAGACCCCCTTCTCGATCTTCAGCATTCAACTCAGCGCGATCAGCCACCTCATCCAGGTCTACCGTAAAGAGCGAGTCACGAAAAACATTCAGCGAGCGAATGACAGAGGCCCGTCAACGGGAGACGAACCGCGAACAACGTCGCGCCACAACAATTCAAAACCGCGCCAGAGGGTTCGCCCTCGACCAAACAGAAATAGAGAATTATAGATCGGCGGCGGAGGAATCACGCAATCAAAAACCATCAAAGTCACCTACCCGGCAGTATTTCGAATACAGTCGTGACGAAGTCCTCCATGCTGCGTCGGAAGCAAACGTCGGGAGTCGGCAACTTAAGAAGAGTCGAACCATGCCCAACCTCAGAACATCGCCATCCAGACACAGTACACATCCAGAGACCCAACCGGGAGACCCTGCCCTTTTCGAAGGCTTCTCTGGACTACATTTGTCTTCACGAATCTTGCCACACTCGTTCCTCAAACGCACTCTTCCCGCCGAACAATTTACCATCTTACGTATCCCGGACCTCCTCAAAGCCGTCAAGTCTCCTGCATACGACCTACCTGAGTCTGTGTGTGACTATGTTGTTTTTGCGGTGATTGCTTCCAAATCCTCCCCTATGGACCAAAAAAACTCTAGTTCCGACCATGACACGGTTGGGAGTAAAGATTGGGAACGTCAATGGGAAGACGGGTCGCGCAATCACCGACGGTTCATGGCTCTGACCCTCACAGATTTGAGCTGGACCATTGACTTGTACCTGTTCAGCACAGCCCTCCCTCGCTACCACCGGCTCACACCTGGCACTGTTGTGGCAATCCTCAACCCGGGCATTCTGCCTCCGAAACCAGGGAGAGCTGACACGGGCGCATTCTCTCTGTCCCTCTCCGACGATTCCGATACCGTCCTGGAGATCGGTACAGCTCGAGACTTGGGATATTGTAAGACTCTGAAAAAGGATGGGAAGGAATGTGGCAGTTGGGTCAATGCGGCGAAGACCGAGATTTGCGAATGGCATCTCAATGCGGAAATCAACAGGACACAAGCGAAAAGAATGGGTGTGAACACCGGCGCGAATGGTTTCGGGGAATGGAAGAATCGTCCCAGGACAAGGGATCCAGATGGCCGCAACGGAGCCTTATTGACGAGGGACGGACGACGATATGACAGGACGACGGAAAGTCACTATTACATCGCCAGCACAGGACCCAAAGGTGTCGGGCATGCTCGTCACGCCGGGATGGGACCACACCTTCTGGACGGCGACGATCCATTTCTGCCTGGTCAAGACGGCCAGCTCTCCCGCCCCGGCGACCGGGACGCCCGCCTGAGGAAACGTCTCGCCGCGCAGGCGAAAGAGCGGGAGATCGCGCAGAGACTCGGCTCAAGAGCGCACGGTGGGCTCGGATTCGGGTTCGAGAGCGCCGGGGCGGAGTACATGCGCCAGAAGACAAAGACGAGGACGGGCGACGACGACCCAGCAAAAGACAAACAGGCCACAAGGGCCCAGGCCGTGGACGAGACGGAGACCCGGCGCTCGGGTCCTATTTCCGGGAGTATCTTGACCAGCACGAACAGCGCCACGAAAGAGAACAGAAAGCGCACCGCCGCCGATGTGCGCCTCTCGCCCGTGAAGAAAACACGCTTTGTCACCGAAAAGGGCATCAGAGAGGCTGGCAGAGAGTCCCTTGGGGCCGCGGGTGGTCCTGGTCCCGGTCCTGGCCCAGGTGTTGGGGGTGAGAGTGAGAGCGAGGATGAATTGGAAATTGTTTGAGCGCTGCTGGCGTCTCGCTTGATATGAGAGAGAACTTTGGCATGAATGCTGCTGTTGTGACCAAGACTGTATAACCACTATGACCTAGAGGCTTCTTGTCTCTGTAACGTTTTATGAAATCTGCAAGAAAAGCTTCATGAATGAACCCAGGGTGCTTCCTTTGGCTGAGCGTACCCTCATAAAACCAACACGCAAAAAACATTCCGGGTGTCTCAACCTTGTCATCGAGACAGTTTCTATCAGATCATGCGCCCCTTTCCAATAGTTTCCTGACAAGAATACTATCTCCAACCTTCGTAATTTGGGACTGTCCCACCTCCACCAATGGTCAGTCATTCCGATCAATGAGCTCAGAGACTGCGATCTTCCTCTCCTTCGTGGTGCGGGTTGGCATCAGAAACCGAGTCATGTGCTAGATCGCCGCATGTCAGCCCCGAGTAAGAAAAACGCGGCGGAAAAAGGGAGACCACTCACTGGATGGGCCGAAAGTTCTCAAGCGTCGCAACGTGGTCATGGTGTCTTGGAGCACTTTCAACTTCTTGTTCAGCTTTTCCCGTTCGGCAAGCGACTCCAGTGATTCACCCGCGATCCTGGTGACCATGGCATCATCTAACGTGAAGACGATTTCTGGCTTGAAGATTTCAGGTAGTTCGTTAAGAAGGCATTGTTCCACCGCGTACACCCCGAAGGAGTCGATGACGGACTTCAGTGCAACCTATCAATGTCAGTCTTAGAGCCCTTAGGAATTAAATGATGCAACTCACCTTGTAATAAGCTTCCATGGCGTTCGTCGCTTCAATGCACGCAAACTTGGTCATATCGAGCTCTGTATCCTGAAGTAGGGCAGCCAGAAGAGCGCCTGTGTCTATAGAACCCTGGTATAGTCTCCGATTACGAAGCTCCGAAGTGGGATCTAAAGCTGGAAAAAACTGTCGGATTTTCTCTGCCATTTCTTCTCGCTCCGCGTCTCGGCGCTTCTTCTGCAGATTTTCGGTGAAGTAGTGATTGTAGGTGATGGCATGGCCCTTCATGTGTGGCTTGAGTACCTCCTCCACCTTTTGATGCAACTTGGTGACAATGATCTCCAAGTTGGGGCGGATGAGGAATCTCATAATGCCATCCCCAGTGACAGAATCAGAAATATGCTCTACCACAAGCTCGAGGGTTGTTCTTGCTGCAGAGACTAGTCTCTCCTCTGTTTCGTGAAGCAGGTGCTTCCATGGTCTGCATTGATCAAAGAACAACTCGTCCACAATTGATGGGTTGAATAGACCAGGGAGTTCACGTCCTCGGTTGCGACGCATGCGAGCCTCGACGGTGTCAAGATACACCTGGCGGGAAACGAATTGTGGACCGGACTTTCTCTCTGGCTGCCCATCTTTTTCTTTGTCGTCGATCTCCTGAGCGTGACCTTCAACACGCATTCTCGCGGCGAAGGCAGTCAGGGTGTGTTGAACGATAGCACGGAGACGTTTGTTGTAGCCTTTGTCGGTATCTGCGCTTCCAAAGAATGGATCTTCATATGTACCACGAACGGAAGACTTGGTGAGATCAACGAACTGCTGACTTGCATGGAAAAGGTAAGTGCGTTGTTCAAGCAGCGACCCTCGGGGAGCACCGAGCGCGCCCAACCTGCTCTGACAGACATCCAATTCCCTCTCGACATCTCGTACCAGAGAGGGAAGTTCAGCGAGAATTTGACCGAGTAAGACACGACTGAGCCGGGGACGGAGGTTGTCAATTCCAAGTTGACTGCTTGGCAGCGCTGATGACCACACGCGAGTTTGGAAGAATTCCTTCTCAGCAGCATCTCGCTCCGCAGAAGTCGTGTCTTTGGTATCGTAGTCACGGTTCTTGAGAACGTGCCACCCCAGCTTGAAGTAGACATCCTCGTTTTTCGCCAACTCCACAAAGGCAGCCTCACTGTCAGACCCGGCAAACAGCAGATCTGGCTTGGTGATAATACCCAGGGTTCGCTGGCCCTTGGGGTCGATCTCACGCGCGAGCTTGGTGATGATTTGATTTGCCAAATCGTTTTTCGCTGAAACGACTGCCAAGATGATGCTTCTCTTACTCTGCATGTAGGACTTGACCAAGGATTGCACTAGTTCAGCGTCATTGTCTGACTGGGCACGGTTACCAGCCCAGAAGATGCCGGGAAGGTCAACAAGGGTCAAGTTTGGCTGATGCGGACCACAAAGTTCGACTCTGAGAATATCCTTTGCGAAGACGGTGTAGTCATTGTCTAACCCCATATCTTTCTCCGCGGATTTGACGATTTCCGCAAAGTCGGCAATCGAAGTCGAAGGAGGAGAGAAGTTTGAGAGGCGTTCAGCATCTTGCTCTGTACGATCGGCACTTGGAATGATAGTGACAACAACTTTGGGAACAGGGCCCCGTCGAAGGATGAGTTCCGTCGCGAACCGGGTACAGAGGTTGTCTTTCGTGGGAAAGCGGAGGCCCGAGATTGCTTCCAGCACACTGGATTTACCCGAGCTTTGGTCGCCGCAGACAATGACCTGAGGCAAGTCAACGTAGCGACTGATCCCCTGGAATCGTAAAGTGTCGATGAGGTTCAGAATCTCTTCATGCTCGGCGGTCTGAAGGCCGATTTGTGCCATCTTGAAGGGTTCGTCGTCGCTGAAGGTAGTAGCAAAGTCTAGTCAGGAGCTGGTGCGGCTGAGGGTGAAGGTGGAACGAAATTTGAAGAGGGACAATCCCATCTTAAATAGAGAGGCTGCAGGTTCCTGTTTGCTCGTTCTGATTGTGAAGGTGAGGCAGAGTTGTCAAGGGTCACCACCGAGGTCAAAGGCGCAGCATGTCCTTTGTCCATGGCCTCCACCCGCGCCTCTTTGCAGCTTTATCACGTTGGCAAGTTTGACTTGACGGCTGCCTGTTCTGCGGATGTCAATGACCTCTTTGAGAGCCATTGCGTAGAGGAGAATCCTGCCATGCTTTGCCTGTTCTCCTGGTGGTGCAGTCCCAGCTCGGGATCCAGCGACTGGAGGGTGCAGGAAGCAAGCCACGCATCATTGATACAACCATTACTGCCCGTTCAGCATACAGCAATGCTCAACAGTTTTATTGTTCGACGGAGGTGCACTCGGTACTCATCATACTGCAGGGGTGAGAGACGGGGCTGGGTTGGCGATTTTGGAGCTCAATCAACGGTGCAGAGGCGGAGAGGAATTCAGCCTTGGCGGCAGCCCCTGTCAGCCTCGCCAAGCAAGTCAAGAGACCGATACAAGCATGCAGCCGGGGAAAAGAGGGGCTGTTTACGACACTATTAGTTCCCACTGGGCGTGTGAAGGCCTCACTGAGTCCTGGCAAATAAACATTACTCTGCTACTTGTGTGTACATGTGCACGTCACATCAAGGTCGACGCTTCTAACACACTGTCTTCCAGATCTTCTTCCACCATGGCCAAGTGGCTTGAATCCTGCGCTCCTCCTCTAGAATCTCTCTGAGATTGTGGATTTCTCTTCGCCCGCTCGTAATGTCAATCTCACTGATCTTCCGGATCTTGGTCCTCTTCACCAGCTTATAGCCAATATACATGGCAAGGACGATAGGTGCTGCGAGGTAGACTTCAAAGAAATTCTCCACCAACTCTGAAGCAGACATGTCGGCATAGCCAACGGGTGCAAAGCCGGTCCAGAATTGCGCCACGAGAATCAGAATATTCATGATCAGGCCGATCCACGAGCCATACACAGTAGCTTGTGATTTGAAGGCGAGTTCGTCCAAGGACCGGCCGGCAAGGCGCCAGGCGCTGCGGAAGCGGATGTGGCATAGACAGATAGTGCCCCTTGGTTACTCAGGTTAGTCGGAACACTGGGTATTTTTGGAGGTCAACGTCACTTACCAAGTGAAAATCGAAGCAAGACCACTGATAGCAATCATCCAATTGAAAGCTTGAGTGGTGGTGTCGGGGCCAGCCGCGACAATGTAACACAGAAATCCGAGGAGGGAAGATACAATGATGGCAACCAAGGGACGGCCCTCACGGTCGATATAGCCCAATATCTTAGGGGCCTGTCCCATGTCCGCGAGAGCAGCGAGCGTACGGCTGGAGCCGTAGACGGACGAGTTCCCAACGGAAAGAACCGCAATGAGGATGACGACGTTCATGATAGAAGGAACGGCATCGATACCGGCGTTGCGGACGGCAATGACGAATGGAGAAGCGTTGGCGTCCGATGAGGAGCTGCCGTTCAGAAGTTGTGGGTCGTTGTAGGGAACGAGGACGCCAACGATGGTGAGCGAGACCATGTAAAACAGGGCAATTCGCCAGAAGACTTGTTTCACGGCCGTAGGGAGCGCGATGCGAGGGTTCTCAGTCTCAGCAGCAGCCAGCCCGACCAACTCAGTTCCACTGAAGGAGAAGGCGGCGGTGACAAACACGGAGCACAAGCCCTTGAATCCGTGATTCTGAGAGGAGATTAGTGACTGTAGTACAATACGTAAAACGGTGCATAGCTTACAAAAGCGCCCGGGTCATACCAGTAGTGGGCACCAATATAGCCTCGATGATCTCCCGGGACACCACCGGTATTGATAATGATGCCCAGGATGACGAAGCCGATAACAGCAATCACTTTGATGATCGAAAAGACGAACTCAGCTTCGCCGTAGCCTTTAACGCCGAAGAAGTTGATCAGGATAATGGCCACGAGGAATATAGTGACCCAAGCCGCCCCATTGACATCGCGACTGCCAGGCCAGAATTCGAGTGTAAGAGACGCAGCGACAATCTCTAGCGGAAGAGTGACGAGCCATTGGAGTGCGTAGCTGGAGAAATGGTCAGTCTCGACAAAGATCCGCTATCAACGGCACGATACTCACTTCCAGCCCATTGCGAAGCCCCAGGCCTCGTCCACGAATCTACTCGCGTAAACGGAGAAAGCACCAGCGACAGGGTATTGCACTGCGAGTTCACCAAGAGCGTGGGTGGTGCAGTACAAAGTGATGCCTATGAGGCCGTAGGCAATAATCAATGATGCAGGACCTCCATTGGCAAGAGCAGAACCAGAACCCACGAAGAGGCCAGTCCCAATGGAACCGCCAATCGCAATCATCTGGAGATGGCGCTCCTTCAGCTTCATCGCCAAAGCTGGCTCGGCAGGAGGCTGGTCTGGCAGCACTCTGCCATTGGCATCGATAGCCTGGGTCGTCACCCGGGCATGGGGATTCCGTTTGAAACCGTCCACGAAGCGACCGAAAGCGGTGGGTGCGGGAGGAAATTCAACCTTTCCTTGGGATAAGTCGGAGCTGCCACTAGGGCTAGCCGACATTGCTTCGATGTCCTTCTCCATTGTAAATCGCTATGGGGGACCGATAGCACAGGGGAAATCTCTTGACAAGGGAAAGCTGGTATTCCGAGAGCAGCAGGAGGCAGCCACAGCTGAGGGAGACAATGATATTAAAATACACGAAAGAGTCGGCATGATGCGTCGATTGTCGGCAACATGCGATGAGATTTGATGACGGGCAGCGAATGGAAACAACGACAAAATACAACCGAAGCGGAGTATGTGAAAATTTTGTGGATTGGTAAATGTCGCATATTGAAGGCATTGGGGGCAGCGCAGGGATATGCCACAAGGCTACCCTACCACCTGGGCATGCCACCTAGATGCCACTGTTCCACTTTCAGTAAGCAAAATCGGTGACTGGCACCAATGGCACACCACAAGCACACAATCGGCGCCCCGAGCATCAATCCAATTTTTACAATAGGACGGTCATCGTGAAGTGGAGCTGGGGATCGTTTGCCGAAGGGCGTGAGGTTGCAACAAGATCGCCTTCAACCCGGGTGGGTGTGGACGACAGGAGCTGAGCAAGACCGGACGTGAGAAACTCCAGCTAAAGGGAGACATGGCCGCTCTCAGCAGACACAACACGTCCATGTATTGGTTGCAGTCAAAGTGGTGGAATACGAAGAGGCAATTAATTTAGAAAGAGAGAAAACTCTTCATCGGCAAGGCTGCGTCAGCCAAGCCAAAGTTTCCCCGCGAGGCCGGAACAAGGTCGGAAACTGGAAAAACTCTGTTCCGCAGCGCTGAAAATTCTCCTCCAGCCTTGCATGAAGGAACATCGCTTTCTCCCAAACCATGCACAATTTCGAGTATCTACCTCGTCCTGCCCCCCATCCTTCTAACGGATATGGGAACGCCTTCATCCCTTCAGCATGGACCGGTGGTCCCCGGGATATTGAGCGGGATCGACCCTTGGCCTGTTGCACCTCTTGCATAGCTGCTCTTCTGCAATTCGGCACTACGAGCCATTACCGACGATAGCTGCTCGACTCTTCTTCCGACGCATCGCGCTGTCTGCTGATTGTTCTTGAGAACCTGGCGCGTTGACGTGGTGGACAGGCAGCAACAGCCCCTTAACCGATCGCCATTGGGAAGGACGGCCCTAAAGGTGGGAGCATCGTATTGTTGCATACGAACTGTGTTATACTTCCTCTCTGTCAACGTTAAGGGTTTATATCTTCGAACCCTTTAACTCGAGACAATCGAGCCTCCCCCGTCCCTTAATCACCCGGTGTAGATCAAGGTGGAAAGAAGATGGGTAATCTTCTGCTAGAAGGGAACCTGGCACCTATGCAGCATTTCGAGTATGCTGATGGCAATTACCTTGGCGTTTACATCGTGAACAAGGAGTGAGATGGCAATGAAGGGACGGTTGAGGCCAAACCGATATGACTGCCAATGTTGGCCTCACGCAGGCCTTGCTTGACCACAATCAGCTTGCCACCAGCGGCCAGGACTTTTAGTTGTGTACAAAACTGGTACAAGGCAGAAAGCACCGGATATGTCATGCAATCCTTTCACGTCGTAGCCAGTCAAATAGGATACGTTCCGGCTGGAATATGGAGCATCGAACGTATGCCAGCCACAATAATTATCCATCTTACTTTCCATAAAGCTCAGACCAAGCATGAAGAGCGTTTTCGCCCCACAACTAGAAAGTATGATGGGGTATTCAGTACGAGGTATCGGCACCATATTCGTAGGCGGACCGAAGAAGAACTATACTGAAGGTCGGGCGAATGGAAGAGCTAGAACGCGAAATCCACGAACTATTCTAGACAATAATGTCAGTGAGTGAGTGAATGTCCAAAAGCAAAATGATCCTTCACGAGTCCATCGAACAGCGTTAGAGGAGTGCAACTCAGCACACTCAGTCCTTCTGGTGGGCTTCATTGGCCGAGTTGAGACGAGTGCCAAGTGACATAGGACGAGTACGAGGGACTGAGTTGCGATTGATCTTGACTAGTGAATCGGAGGAGATGGAGGAGGAAGTGGTGGTTGGTTGGTTGGTTGGCGCAGGTGGCGGGGGGAGGAAGAGGGCGCGAAGGGGGATGTGGGAGTGCAGGCAGTAGGTCACGTTGTGACAGAGTGGCTCGTGCCTCGCCTTGCGGGCGAGCGCTAGGTACATACCAGTGCTGCTACCTACTACCGCCCTAGGCAGGTACCTAGGCGGGTACTCAGGACTTGCACCCCGTACCAAGGCAGGGCTTGTAGGCCTCGACCGTGCCGTTAGGTGACCGAGGTCTGGGTACGAGGTACTTAGGCACAGTTAGGTACCCAGGTAACGAGGTTGGCTTGAGAGAGGTGTGCTGATCAACACCTCATTTTGCTGATCATATTTCGTTCGAGGATAATAGCACTCCACCCCCCCTCCAGCATCGTCGTCATCTTTCTCACCGGGCTACCATGGTAATTTCTTCTGAGACTCGGTAAGCGAGAGCCCTCGAGTCCTTGAACAAAGTTCCCTCTGCACCTTTTAGCTGCAGGTCCCGACCGAGGGGATGGGCCTCGACGCTTCCGCGCCTATCAAGGCCCATCGGATGCACCTGAGATTGGCCCGCCCTCACCCGTAATGAGTGTCTGTGTACTAGCCCGCTCCTCTGTCCTCGCGTGGCAGCTGAGCTTCAGCACCTTTAACTCCCCCCCAAGCCTCAAAACGGGCTGGGCCACTGTGACCTGTGGCCTGGAAGGCACCTGCAGGTGGCCAACCAAAGCTGCCGCCTTCTGTACTTTTCCCTCTTTTGCTGTTTTTCACGCTTTCTCCTTCACACCTGCGCCCTCCTCCACCAAACACTACTCACTCCCAAGTACCGCTACCAAACATCCGCTCCCTCGACTTCCCTTCTCACTCTCTCTACTGACCTTTGGAACCCGTCATTCCTTCTTGCGATCGTCCTTCCGTCCCAGCTCTTTCGTCTTATGCCCGGTACTTTTTCACTCTCAGCCAAAAGAGCTGCAGATCCATATCCACATCCTATACAAACGGGCCTTTGTCGCGTCGCAAATGAGACCTAATTCCCAACCTCGAGTCCACCGATTTGCCGAGCAGCTCAATTGCGCGTAATATCCCGTCACACAATACCCAGCCAACTGTCCTTTTCATTGTCGTCGTTGATGCCATGAATTCATTGCCTGTTGCTGGTACACGCAAACCTGAGCTTGGGGCAGCTTGCGCATGACCATGATCCTCGATATCCGACGTGGAATTCCTCGCTGATGCAATGGCTACCGCCATGGTCGCCTCCGAATCCTCCCTCAGCAGTCGTGTTTCCCTGATCTCCCTCGACCCGGCGGTCGCTAGTCACATCACCGGCACTACAAGGACTACCACCGTCCCTTCAGCGTCGCAATATGGTTCCAGTCCGAGGAAAAGCACAAAAACACCCGATACTGACGTCTCCCGCGGTCACAATAGAAATAATTCTGCTCCCAGTGTTTCAGACAAGAAGGGGCCGATGTCGCTGAGGCGTGTCAAGGATAGTACAGAGGTCTTGAGACAGCGCTCCACAAGATCATCTAAGAAGCCAAAACAGTCGCTTGAGAGTGTCCCCGACAATGTCCACGGTCGCAATTTCACCGTTGGCAATGTGGGAACCGGTGGCATTCTTTACCTGACGCCATCAACGCATCAAACAGGCATTGCATCTCCACACTCCGTTGTCTTACCAGCGCATTTACCATCGACCGCTCCAGCGGTGCTAAGTAATGGCGAGCAACGGCCTCCAGTGAACGAAAAGGTGCCAACCACCCGGTCGGTATCCTCGTCTCAATCTCAACAGACGACTTCTTCGAAACGGTCCATTAGACCCTCGCCGAGGTCCAAGGTCTTCACTAGTCACGGCCGGTCACAGTCCTTCTCTACCGTTGAAGAGCATCGCCAATCTTTGTTGGCCCCACAGTCGCGGACATTGAGGATTGTAATCAATCGTCCCGAGACCGCGAGACCAAAGACAGCCCAAGAATCCACCGAAGAACCGACTTTGGACTTCAGTCCGACTCTCGAAGTTCCTATTCCACATTATCGTATTGGTACTTTTCGCCTCAGTTCCAATGGGACCCCAATGCTGAGGGGATCGTCATTCACAAGGGTGTCTATCACTCCGTCAGATGCCACCCCTACTCAAGCAATCATGCAGGCAGAGGGCTTTTTTACGGCACCTCCACCTGCTAGCCTCAAAGCTTTGGCAAAACTCGAAGCGACAGAGACAAACGTCGAGGACGAGCCAACACCCACCACACCTCCCATGCCGCTGCTCTCCAAGGCCATGTCCATCACCACTTCCAGCTTGCCCAGCATCGTCCAACCACAAGTATTTGATCACTTGACCGAGATGTATGATGACCCCTCTGTTGTCCGCTATTGCCAGAACGTGAGGGAAATCACCGCGGCCACCCCTGCTCGGATCATTGCTCAAATCTCCTCGGACTCTTTCATGGACTATGAACTAGTCTCCGACTTTTTCCTCACATTTCGGTCCTATATGTCAACTTATCAAGTGCTTGATCTTTTGCTGGCAAGATTAAGGTGGGCCATTGGTCGCTTGGAAGACGACGGCAGAATTATTCGTGTACGCACATTTGCCGCCCTTCGCCATTGGGTTCTGAACTATTTCATGGATGACTTTTTTGTTGACCACCGCCTTCGGGTACGTTTCTGTAACGAGGTCAACAAACTGTATAATGATGTTAAGGCGAATCCAGAGAATGGGTTTAGCGACCTCAAACTCTTGCGCGACCTGAAGCGGTGCTGGAATGGCCGTTGCTCTTTATGCTGGGGGCCGGAGAACTTTGATCTGGACGGCGAACAGGAAGAAGACATTCAACCTGGAGGAATGGCTGAGATGGACCGTACACCAAGGCCACGATTCGGCGTTCAGGTTGCCCAAGAACAGTATGACCCCCCTCATACCGCAGTCCTTCGGGGGCCGCAACAAAGTTGGTTCGAAGCAGATACTGCTATCAGACCGAGCCATGATCGTCAGCCTTCGGCCAATTCTGGTCTCCTGAGCGACGGCAGCGTCCAAGCAACTTCTTGCTTCGTTCCCAAGCACCTTCTGCGCCCTGGTGGCAGTGGGGGTGAAAGCCAATCAAAAGCTCCTCATCCAGTCTCTGTTCAACTGAGGCGAAAGAATGCGCCTGCGAACTTGCACGTCGTCACTCAGCCCACACCAGCTCAAAAGGCCATCGGTCACAGGAGAGGAGCAAGCTCTATCGATAGCAACAGAGAGTCTACCCCTCGCAAACTACGACCTGAGCCTTCTGCCCAGATTGTGGAGGACGGAAGCATCATCCGCGGACTTCTTTACAGCCCAAGCACTCCTTTTGTCCAGATTGTGTCTTCCCACTCCACTCAGTCGCTGGACAGACACGAAATTGGCCCCTCCCGAGGAGGACCCAGGAGAGAGCATGGTACACAATCGGCGACTCCGCCTGTTGCGAGGAACATCTTTGGTTCTTTACGAAAAGTCCTCGGCAGTAAGCACGGTCATATTGACATGACTCTTCTCACGGTTTCTCAGTCCGCTCAAGAGGTACCGGTACGAGGCCAGACAGCACATTTGCCTCTCAATGTGTCAAAATCTCATGATGAGCTACGTAACAAACCGGGAGCGGTCATGCCTAGAAAGGGCGAAATGCGCATTGATCTCCTCTCGGCTGCGGCATGCCAAAATTACGAAACAAGATTTCCTTCGAAACATCGGATCAGTTACGCACCCTTCTTTGCCATCAACCGTCCTCTTCAGCCTGCTACATCTGCTGGAGACGAGCAGGAGCCACAGCGGATGCCAAGCCATGCCACTCGCCAAAGTGGTTCAATTTTGATAGTCGACGACACGGGCCCAGATTTTCCCTCGATGTCTGGCGCGCTTCCAGTACCGGAGAATGACTTCGATTATACGGAAGCCGCTCCGTTGCCAATGCTCAGCGTTCATGATTCTACAATGTTGGACGATCGAAAAACGAGTTTTGACGCGGTTGCGACGCAAAGGAGCTCAAACGTTCTTCCACATGATATGGATCTGCCACCAGCACAAGAGAGCAATGGCAGTTTGGAACGAATCACAACAGACCCAATCGAGCCGGATGACATATTCGAGGCCCAGGCTCAGAGCTCGGCTGCGATCGAAAGAGCACATTCTCCTACAACGGCCAGCTCTAGAACTGTACGGGAAGACATCAAGCCAGTCGATACTCCCATCGCTGCCGATCTGGTCGTCGAGCCTGAAGAAACTCCTGTCGCAGAAAACATGCAGGATGGAGATGTCAATCCTTATCAGTCGGATTCGGAGGTCAGATTGCCACCGCAGACTCTTAGACGAAGGCCAGGTGGAGACTTGCGTCGGGTTGAAAATGTGCAAGACTTGGATCATACATTTCATCATGCTTCGCTGGATACGGCCAGTGCAGTGTCTGAATCACCTCATGAGTCGTTACTTATCATGAAAACAGGCACTGTCCAACGTGTTCCTGCTGCGGAAGGCCCACCGCCCAACAAGCCTATTTCTCTCATCAATACACATTCGTCACAACACCTGCGGCCTTCTTTTGAGGCAGCTGTTGCCGGTTTCTCTGCCATTCCCGACGACGAAGATGGCGGACTCGAGGCAACCTTAATGAAACTTGAGGGCCGATACGAGAAGAGATCACCACCCATGGAACAGCATCCTCTGGATACTGTCACGAGGCGGCGATCACTTCCAGAGCTGAGTCGGATGTCTCAGCCAGAACCTGACAATTCCGTACAGGCATCCATTCATTCTGTGCACCCGCCAGTGCCGGCTCCTGCTCTATCCAGCAATGTTCGTACAACAGTTGATGAAGTCGCCTCGGAACACTCGGCTGACGAACCCCTTACCCCAGAGCCCCTGGTGGTGGAAATGAAGCCAACTTCCTCTCGTCGATCTTCCATCTATGGACTTCCAACGGAAAGTGTCGCCGATTCTGATGAGTCTTATGGATCTCTGCCATTGTTGAAACGCGATGCAGGCCATGAAAGCACAGCTGAACCTCTGCCTATTAAACCAGCCGCAGATTTGCCTATGATTGCGCCGGGTTATTTTCCGCAGGACCCCCCTCAGCTATTTCACCTACCCAAAGGACCTCCGCCAAGTGGAAACAAGCATAGAGTTAGCATTCCACGACCCGAAACCGCCAACGACAGTACGCGATCCTTCCTTCTAGATGAAGATGAGAACCTCTCGGACCTGTCTTCGGAGATCTCTGTGGATATCATCAATTATTCAGAGGTCGCGGGCCGCTCTATTTCGCCCATGCTTGCTGCCCCAGGAACAGCTATATCTGGACTGGAGATACCAGCACACCCATTGACCTATGCGTCAGTGGTGAATTTGCGTATCCCAACTCCACCAGAGCGAGCCTCTGATCCCATCCCACAGATCAAGACAGCGCAATTCAATATGCCTGCCCACCACAATCAGCCCGCGGTCAAACAGCAAGACCTATCATCTACTCAGCCGCTAGCACGTCTGCCAGCAGGCCCGGCGCATATGCCCTTTATTCTAGCTTGTGATTCGCAAGTCCTCGCCCAACAAATGACACTGGTAGAAAAGTCGGCGTTATCTGAGGTGGAGTGGTCGGATCTGGTCGAGATGCGGTGGGATAACAAGACAGCTGAAGTTTTGGATTGGGTTGAGTGCGTGTCGAGTGGCAACGTTCGAGGAATCGATCTCGTCAGCACGCGCTTCAACCTGGTTGTCAAGTGGACCTTGTCCGAAATTGTCTTGACACAGGACATTCATGAAAGAGCTCGAGTCATGACCAAATATATCCATGTTGCTGCACATGCTCGTCGATTGCACAACTACGCAACAATGCTGCAACTCACGCTTGCGCTCACCTCTACCGACTGTACGCGACTCGTGAAGACTTGGGACTTGGTGCCAAGCCCGGACAAGTCGCTATTGAAGAACATGGAGGCCCTCGCACAACCTTTACGCAATTTCCATGATCTTAGGATGGAAATGGAATCGTCCGATCTCAGCGGCGGCTGTATTCCGTTTCTAGGTTGGTGGTCTCTGTCACTTGTCGAGATGCACAGGCTAACTCTTATACAGGATTGTATATTCGGGACCTGACATATAATGCACAGAAGCCCTCCCACGTTGCAGGGGCTCACGGGACCGAGTCGTTGATCAACTTTGAGCGTTACCGGAGCACGGCTATTATTGTCAAAGGCCTTCTACGGCTAATTGATGCCAGTTCAAGGTACAACTTCGAACCGATGCAGGGAATAATTGAGCGGTGTCTCTGGCTGGCCGCTCTCAGTGACGATCGAATACGCAGCGCAAGCAAAACATTGGAAAACTAATCGATGGACATATTGGATATCAAGAGAAGCATAATGGCTGGGTCGGCTTTGGTCTGGATGAGCTGCCAGTCAGCCGGTGCAGGTTTATTACCACAATATCGATTTCCAGCATTTTAGCGACAGTCGTTGTCAGTGTCAAGCTAGCAGGCGTGCCTCTGTTTATTGAGTTGTCTGGACCTTTTTGCATTTGGGAAGTCGCTCGAGATATTGGATTGTTAGTCACCGAGCAGGATAGCTGGACTCTAGCAAGGTGTTGGAGGGAAGCCATGGGACAAGTAGAAAAGATGGGCGGATCAAGTCTGAAGCAATTCAGCAGTAGGTTGTGTATCACACGAATATAATTGGGGAACTCACGAGATGGATCGACTCGTATCGTGAGCGACTGGTATCACCGTATCTGGATATGGCCTAGATATTTATTTATCTACAGGAATGTTTGAAACGTCTGAGGTGACGGCGTCGTTTAGGTCTAAGCTAGGCGAGCGTCAGGCTTCCACTTCCTCCGCACCGCCAAGTGGCTGTCAACGAGTCAAACAGGAGGTGGAAGAGACTGTCGAGCTTAAGAACTCGAAACACTGACTTCATCTCCCCACAGACGGGATCAGGAGTTCACAACGCGCCTCCTATGCCTATCTATATTTATCAAGCAAGCTCTTCAACCAGTGGCCACACAGCAAGGTTCCCGTCGTCGCTAGCAGCTGCTAAGCTAGAAGGGCCATTCTTCCCTCTCGCCAGCGACTCAGAAAGGACCCTTCCCTGTGAGAGAATGCCATTCAGCCAGGCTATAACAGACGGTCGGACGCCGAGGTATCTATCTTATTGAAGCGCTGTCCGTCTTGTTATGGCGGCAAATACCATGGCCGGTGGCCGCCTCAAGGAGACACGCCGTCTCCCAATGGTCCCCTTCCGAATTTACTCGCTTTTCTGCATTGAACAGGTACATTTCTTGCACTGTCTACTGAGATCCTCTAACTCCGACCCGAGATTTTGGTCAATCACTAGTCTGGAGGACACAAAATACCGATCCTTCTCGGTTGGCTCTGACTCTATGTTGGCCGTCGATGGCATCATCTGGCTATACCGATGGCATCATTTTTGATATGCAACTACAACCCAATGAGGTGTCTGGAAACAACAGACGACTCCGCATCTCGTCGGAGAAGTCCCTCTTCATTCCAAAGAAATGGTAAGCAATGGGGGAGCATTCCGATGTTTCCATCGAGTACAAAGAGCATGAGCTGGCCAGGAGCTGGTTCAGAGGTTTGGGACCAAGCCTTGTTCCAACATCCAAGCTTCTCCAAGTTTCTTGGGAAACTATGGCGCAAAAGCTTTCTGTCTCAGATGACAAGGGACGTTCAAGCACCCCTGTGGTCTCAGAGGCGCGAGGGGCCACCACGATTCATGTCGTGCCTCGTGGTGAAGAGGTTGCAGATGACTCCTCACTCGAGAACGAGATCGTCGGCTACGATGCCGAGCGCATGAAAGCTCGCACTCTCTTGACCGAGGCTGAAGAGAGGAAACTTATGCGAAGAGTCGATTGGCATCTCATGCCATTGTGCAGTATCATGTTCTTACTCAAGAATATGGACTATCAGAACGTACCGGCTCCTTCCCCGTGCACTTCTGATCGTCAAATGCAGATACTGATCCAAAGCCCACAGGCGGCCAATGCTCGAATCATGAACAAGGGAACTCATCAAAACATCCTAACCCAACTACATATGAGCTCGAACGATTACAACTTCATCTCTACCATTTACTATGTGAGTGAGTCACGGCCAAGGCTCCGTCTGAATGCTCATCCGGCATAGATACCCTATATCATCTTCGAGGCCCCGAGCAACTTATTTATTAAAAAGATGCTTCCTTCTAGATGGCAGTCGCGGATTGTGGTAATTGATGGGTCACTCTCGCAGTCTCTCGCAGAATGTTGACTATGCCGCAGGTCTCTTGGGGTATTGCGATCGCCTGCCACGCTGCGGTTACCAGCAAGGGTGGACTCTATACTGCTCGCTTCTTCCTCGGAATGTGTGAAGCAGGCATGTTTCCTGGTGTATTACTGCAAATGGTTTACTGGTACCGACCCGACGAGATGTCGATCCGCCTACTCTACTTTTATGCCTTGGGAAACTTCTCCAATGTCATCAGTGGCGTGTTGGCGTATGCCTTCGACACAATCTCTGGGAGGGATGGGCTCTCTGGTTGGCAATGGTTAGTTTCAGCGAAGCCGCCTTTCAAGGGAAACAGAAAAGTCGACTTACGAACATTTCTGCTAGGCTATTCCTCGTCGAGGGAGTCATCACAATTGCGTTCGGCATCTTGCTGTTCTTCCTCTTGCCAGACTGTGAGGACTGAGAAACCCTCCATCAGGGATGCCGCCGGCTGACTAGTTGAATAGTCCCGAAACAAGCTAAATGGCTTAGTGACAAGGAGAAGGCATTCATCCAAGCACGTTTACCCGCAAACGCCCCGCGAGCAGAAGAACTAAATTTCAGCTTCCGCGAAATTGTCACCGCCTTGAAGGACAAGAGGATGTGGTTGTTTACGCTCGTCTGGGCAACGATGACTGTTGGCACGACGGGTCTGACGTTCTATCAGCCGACTGTCATTGCGAACTTGGGATTCACGTAAGTACCACCAAGCTTGTTGAAACGCCAGGGTACCTTCATCTATGATGCTCACTCTCCTTGCCCCACAGGTCAATTGCGAAAAGCCAGCTCCTGAATATACCTACCTCATTCCTCTCCATCATGATAATTGCTATCTCAGGCTACTTCGCGGACAGTGCGTGGTTGCCTCGCCCTATAATCCCGCTGGGGTTCCTCGTATCCATCTTAGCATGCTACAGCGTACTGTATACGTTTCCCAACAACGGTGGCGTCTATGCAGCGACCGTCCTGGCCAACTCCTTTGCGCAGAGCTGGTACCCATTGATGTGGCCGTGGCGGGTTCAAACCACCTCTCGTGCAACGGGGTCCGCGTTCGCCATTGGGTTTGTCAACAGCTATGGCCAGATTGGTGGAGCAATTGGGCCACAAATCTTCCAGTCCAAATACGCACCACACTACACTGTGTCATTTGCTATTGCTATGGCGGTCATCGGCGCCTGTATCCTGGTCACCAGCGTTACGTGGTGGATTACTAGGGAGACCGAACGGCAGACGAGGAGGATCAAGAAGTTGCGTATGAAAGCTGCCAAGAGGGGAGAGTCGGTGTTGGATGATGTGGATGCGAATGCCGATGTAAAGAGAAAGGAAGAGATGCGCGAAGCAGCTTAACCCAGCAGCTCATGGGGGCCAGCGTGGGACTCTTACCTAGAGATGTCGCTGGTAGTATACATAGTCGACGCCATAAAGCAATAGAGAAGAAAGATAGAGCAAAGCCCAATGCACGGCAGCCACCCCCTTGCAGAATCCGCATAGTGCCGAGGAGACTTATTGAAGTCTGGACTACCACTATTTCAATAGTGATATTATTAGGTGCAAGAACTCACATTTACAGAGGTCATGGTGGTCACTGATCACCTTCCATTTAATAGTAGGAAATTCTCTGCCGTGTCATTAAATCTGCTTAAGCCACACCTGGGCGCCAACAATGTGTACCCTTTTTCTTCGGGGCGCTGTCAAACCCCCCACTTCTCCGAGTAAGTCTGAGCCTAGCCCAATAGTAAACCCCCCAAACAAATTTGGTTCATAGATTAGAATGCCTGAAATTAAGCAGAAATGAGTGTCGACAGGGCGCATAGCTCAGGGGTAGAGCGCTCGCTTTGCATCGTTGAGAGGCAACCAAAACTCAAGCATATAGCATGCGAGAGGTCGTGGGTTCGAATCCCACTGTGTCCATTGTTTTTGTTTCTTTTGGGGTGGAAATTGATTTTTTGATTTCTCCTGTTGTGTTTCTTTTGCACTGCTGATAATTCCATTGAAAGGAGCCCCAGATCTGAGGCCGTCATAGCAGACGCTTGTGAAAGCAGCACCAACACCGCTCAGCTAGACTTCTATCACGTGTCACCATTCCCGGTCTGGCAGCATTCGCAGGCATAGGGCCAAAACTTTATTTTTATTTTTGTTTAGGCCTGCACTAATATTCGTCTCAACGGCTTGCATACCAACACATCACATCATTGACTGCTAGACGGTTCGTTTCTGGTCTTCAGTGCTAGCAGTCATGAACGGCACAAAGGTTGGCCCCTCCGTGGCCGATATGGCCATTATGTCGACCGAAGAGAGAATGGCAGGCATGGAACACTCAGAAGTCCGCTACTTTACGAGGTTGGTTCCGCCAGAAAAAAAGTGACAATGGCGTCAAGTAACCTAAGAACAGTTACGATCACCATGGAATCCACGAAGAGATGCTGGTACAGTTTCAAACCCGTTTGTGTTGGACTGCAAGCTGATCCGATCGCAGAAAGATGAAGTCCGAACTCGGTCGTACCGAGATGCCATCTACCAAAACCAGCACATCTTCAAAGACAAGGTCGTCCTCGATGTCGGCTGTGGCACAGGCATCCTCAGCATGTATGCGTAGTCCTTCCCCGCGATCGCAGAGAGAAGAGTTGACCCGGCCAGGTTTGCCGCAAGGGCGGGGGCGAGACACGTAATTGGCGTCGACATGTCCAGCATTATCAACAAGGCAAAACTCATTGTGGAGGCCAACGGGTTGTCGAAAAAGATCACGTTGCTGCAAGGCAAAATGGAAGAGGTGGAACTACCTGCTCAACATCTTAACAATGGCAAAGTCGACATCATAATATCCGAGTGGATGGGCTACTTTCTGCTGTACGAGAGCATGCTCGACACGGTTCTCTATGCCCGCGATAAGTATTTAGGACAAGGCGGCAAAATCTTCCCGGACAGGGCCACGATCTACATGGCGGGCATCGAAGACGGAGAGTACAAAGAGGACAAGATCGGATGTAAGTGCTGCAAAAGAGCTGATCGGGACGCAGGCTGACTTCCTTCACAGTCTGGGATAATGTCTATGGGTTTGATTTCACGCCCATGAAAGAGAGCGCTCTTAGTGAGCCTCTGGTCGACACGGTAGAGCTCAAAGCGCTGGTCACCGATCCATGCCCGGTCTTCACCATTGATCTCAACACGGTCAAACCTGCCCAGCTGGCGTTCTCAGAGCCGTTCCAGCTCCGGTGTCAAAGAAACGACTTCATCCACGCTCTCATTGCCTGGTTCGATATTGATTTCACGGCATGTCACAAGCCGATCAGGTTCTCGACCGGGCCGCACACCAAATACACGCACTGGAAACAGACCGTCTTCTATCTGCGACAGATCCTGACGGTCGAGGAGGGAGAAACCGTCCAGGGCTTCCTCTCCAATAAACCCAACAGCAAGAACAGACGAGATCTCGACATCAAGATCGACTATGAACTCGAAACAGCGGATCCCACTCGATCCGCACGCGGGACGTGCGAGTACCGGATGTAAGTCATCTTGTTCACTTGAACAGAAGCGGGTTACTGATCATTTGCAGGTGCTGATCCCAGGTAACGGCCGCCACGACATCCGTCCTTCGCATATTGTTCGGCTCGATCACGAGGCCTACGTCCTTCCTGCATAGCACCTTGGAGAGCCTATAGCATTGACCTGCGAAGGGGACGTTAACACATGGATGAGATACCTCGTTTACGATGAAAAAGGTGGCCGCGATGAATGCGCCGGAACGAACCCCAAGCTCCTCGTTATTTGTCTAAGATACCCCACGAGTTGATGCTGATTTTGATAAACGTAAACAAATCATAATGCACCTGGTCGTAGATGTGATGGCGACATCCAGCTGAGATCTTTGCATTGCATTTTGTGGTTGCGTTGATGAAGCTGACCCTGGAAGAGGGTCTTGATTACTTTCGTGGCCTTCGCCGGCTATCAGCGATCGAGGCATAACGAGTACCTCGGCACGCGGCTCCCCACGTTTCCTACTGCACCACCCCCGACCCCGAACTTGAAGCTGACCAGTCCGCGGTAATCTATTTACTCTCCTGCTTTATCTGCATGATTCGGAGCTGTCCAAGTTGCTGTCCAAGCCCAATTTTCTGTTTCCAAGTTCTCTAAAGACCGAGTCAAAATGTCGGGTCCCGGTGTTGGCTTCGAATATCCTCGAACAGACGTGTCGTGGTTGAAGAGAGATGTCCTGCTCTTCGCCGTGAGCATTGGCTGCACGGTCGATGAGCTGCACTTCATCTACGTGAGTGCCTAATAGATGAACGCCTCAAGTACACCTTGCAGCTCTTATTGACCATTCTCTAGGAACTCCATCCCAAGTTTGCCGTGTTTCCCACGTACTCCATCATCCTCCGTTAGTTGCATCCTCGTCCATCTTGTTCACCGCACTCCCAAACTCACAAACACCGTAGCATTCAAGAAAACCACGCAAGAAGTCATCGACTTCTATGCTTCTCAAGCCAGCAACCCAATTCCCGGCGTCCCAAAACTGGACGCAAGGCGTGTCGTCGACGGCCAGCGCCTCATCCAGTTCCTTAAGCCTCTGCCTCCCACATCCGAGGGCCGAAAATTCGAGCTGCGGTCCAAAGTTATTGGAGTTTACGACAAAGGCAAGCCGGGCACAGTGGTCGAGACCGAGCAGACCATTGTGGACAAAGAGAGCGGCGAGGTGTATACTCGGGCGGTCGGCTCTGGCTTCTTTGTCGGCCAGGGAGGATGGGGCGGCCCTAAAGGCCCTTCGACGGTCAACTATCCACCACCAAAGGGCCGAGAGAACAGCCCCGATGTGGTCAGCGAGAAACAGCTGACCCTGGAGAGCGCGCATCTGTACAGGTAAGCAGCTCCAGCCTGGGGCAAGACGAGGCGCTGACATCGATCGACTGCAGACTCAATGGCGACTATAACCCACTGCACGCTACACCCGAACCCGGTCAGAAGATGGGCTTCGGTGGCGCCATCATGCACGGCCTGTCGACCTGGAACTTTGCGGCGCACGCACTCTTGAAAGAACTGGGCGGAAGCGATCCAGCCAACATCAAGGAGTTCCAAGCTCGCTTCGCCGCGCCGGTGAAGCCCGGTCAGAAGCTTGTGACCAAGATCTGGAGGACTGGCGACATCAAGGACGGGTGGGAAGAGGTCCGATTTGTCACTGAAGTCGATGGCAAGGTGGTTTTGAGCAACGGCCGGGCGTTGATGAAGTGCGTGGGGGGAAAGAGCAAGCTGTGAGTAGCTGCTGGGAGCCAGATGCAGAGCCGGATAAACATGAAACCAAAACTCCCTTGACTGTGAAGGATTCCCCGTCTCCTTGGTCTCAACGCATCCTTCCCAGCTTCGTGGCGTTTGATAAGTTGGGCCGAGGCTCGCCTAAAAGCGCATCTGTATCCATTATTCCAACCTACGGCCCATTCCTTTCTCCAATCCCTTCCTCGTTGCGGCCTACACGCCCCGAGACATGACGGCGTCGCTCAGGGCTATTCTTGTAGAGCGGGAGGTCTCGAAACAGAAATTTCTGCAGGAGGAGAAATGCTCGGCACGGTGTCGAACGGCGCCAGGTCCGACGCGCTGGAACTCTTGAAAGTTTCTTTCATTTCTTTGAGCGTCAGGATCGCTGTCCTCCGCTCCAGAGTCGGATGAAAACGGCGCCAGACACAACAAAGGAATATCGGTTGTTGAGAGAAAAAAGCGGAGGGACGTAACGACGGGGCAAATCTGGGGAGACGGGAAGAGGAGCGAGTGGCGCGTCGGCTTTTGATACAACAAATCAACGGGCGCGAGGCGGCGTTCGACCTTGACCTGACCATGTGCTGAGGATGCTGGCGATGCTGGGCGATGCTGGGGACCTTTTCCTCGACATGCAGCTGGACTTCCATCTCCGCTCCGTGTCGCCCCGGGTTGGTCGTAATGCTTGCAAGCCAAGGACTTTTCTTCGCTTTCTTTCGCCCCGACCGGAAGCATTCCTCGATCGGTTTGTCCCGTCGTGCCTGTCTTGCTGTCTTAGCCATGCTGCATCCCGCTTCAACTATGCCATCGCTGCTGTCGCATGACGGTGTGTATCTTGGCAGCTGGTCGGATCGACAGCTCATCTCCCTTTCCGCCTCTGCTACTCCCTCTGTCAATGGAAATGCTGTTACATCGAGCTGACAAGGCTTCTCCTGATAGGCTGCCCAGCTCCTGTCACCTCCCTTGCTCGGGCGCTCCTCCAGAGAACATGTCGCATCATGTTGCACCCGACCCCCGCAAGTTGAACGTCTTGTGCTGCACAACGAGAATCTAACCCCTTGGCGTCCGCTCGGTTTTCTCCGTGGATTTGCCAGATCTGGCATCAGGGAGGGCGTCGCCATGGCGCCGCGACGAAGGGCTTCAGTGTCAGCAAGGTTTTCTGAAGCAATTCCAAGCCAGTACCCGACCCGTCGGATGAAGGGGCCAGTGTCTTGGTGGACGGGCTTGGTATATTTAAGATGGACAGACTCGCCCATCGTCCTCGACCGGATCGGTCAAGCCAGTGCGATCTCACGAATCCATTGCTATTTCTCCTCGAAGTACCTCTCGATTTACCGCTTGAACCTGCCGGAATATTGCCAACATGGGTGGTGGTGGAGGTAAACCTTTGAATATCTTCCGCATGGGGAACTCTCTGGCAGATGAACCCAAGGAAGTTCTAAATTGGAGGCTTTGGTTTGCTGTTGTCTCGTTTGGCATTATGGGTGCTGCTCGTGGCGTGTAAGTTACAACCTCTACCGTCGGAGCCTTGAAACTCCGTGGCTAACAGTGACTCGCAGAGATGAAGGGCTGATCAGCGGTAAGAGAGATGATGTTGAAGTTGGTCGGGTTGGACTTTGCTGACCGTGTCTCACCAGGTACCTTTAACACGGATGATTTCCAGCAGCTTCTGGGCTTCGACAAACTTGATAAAGATCAATATGCAAATGTCAAGGGCAACGTCTCTGCAATGGTCCAGATTGGGAGTGTGGGTGGTGCCCTGTTGGCCTTTGTTCTCGCGGACCGTATCGGTCGTCTCTGGGCTACGCGACAATTGTGAGCCTTGCCTTCTTCTAATGTCGGATGCCTCTGTGCTAAGTATTGCAGGTGTATTCTCTGGATTCTTGGAATCGTCATCTTCATGACCAACAACGGGCGATTGGGACAAGTATATGCTGGCCGCTTCATCGCGGGACTCGGAATCGGCCAGACCACTGTCATTGCACCTGTCTACCTTTCCGAAATTTCACCCAGGGCCGTGCGAGGCCTCTGCACTTGCGTCTTCTCAGGCTCGGTATACATTGGCATCATGGTGAGATCGATATTTCTCTAGCTTCTGCTCAGTGGACTAACCTGCTACAGCTTGCATATTTCTCGACTTGGGGAAGCAGCCTCCACATCGATCAAAACAAGCCCAGCTCCTGGATGGTGCCGACATCCCTTCACCTCATGTTTGCCGGTCTCATCTTCATCCTATCGTGGTTCAACAACGAGTCACCTCGGTTCCTGATCAAGAAAGGCCAAATAGACCATGCAGTAGCCAATCTGGCCAAGATTCGAGGCCTCGCCGCCGACGATGAATATATCACGGCAGAGATCAACGGGATCAAGCATCAACTGAATGAAGAGCAGGAAGCAACTATGGGACAGGGCTTTTTAGGCATCCTTCGAGAGATGTTCTGCATGCCCAACAACTTTTACCGCATCTATCTGGGCCTTGGAACCCAGTTGCTAGGTCAATGGTCAGGTGCTCAAAGTATCACTATGTATGTGTTTATCCCCTTCTTCTATACCAGCTCAACACTTGCGCCAGATCACGGTTTTGCTTCGGGCTGTTGCTGACATTGGATTCTTGTACAGATATGCTCCGGATGTAGGTCGCCCATCCTCGAACCCCATCTCCGTCTGGAGGAACCCACGTTCATTAAATGGCCTTCAATTCGATATGTACTGACAACTATTTGCAGATGTTTGCGCTCCTCGGCACCAAGGGCGACAATGAAAAGGTAAGTCTGATGCTATAGCCTCATTTCATCTACACCATGACTGATTGGAAAATAGCTGTACGCCACGGCCATCTTGTGAGTTCTTTTTTCTCTTCCAAACATCATACTATATGTGTGCCATCCATTGACCGCGTTTTCGACATACAGTGGGGTAGTAAAGTTCGTCGCATCGATCTTCTGTGCCTTGTTCCTGGTCGACGTTATTGGCCGAAAGAGATCGTTGTCCGTCGGCATCACCCTTCAGGCAATTTCGATGTGCTACATTGCAGCCTTCTTGACCGCTGTGCCCAACATCGACGATGACACAGTCTTTACCGCTTCTCAGAAACATGCTTCCACAGGCGGTATTGTCATGATATATATTTCGGGTGTCGGTTGGGCGCTCGGCTGGAATAGCATTCAGTACTTGCTGAATGCTGAGATCTATCCTCTCAGAATTCGTGCCGTCAGCAGCTCACTCGTAATGTGCTTTCACTTTGGTAAGCTCCCTTGTCGCATATTCTGGACCTGAACCAGGCGTCCGCTAACAATGCTTGCGAATAGTCAACCAATATGGCAATTCGCGCGCGGTGCCCAACATGCTCCTCGATCTCAGCCCTAAGGGAACATTCTGGTTCTTCACAGCGATCACAATCCTCGGTGGCATCTGGGCTTGGTTCTTCATCCCAGAGACGAGTGGTCGGAGTCTCGAAGGCATGGATGCGTTGTTCCGCCTTCCTTGGTACAAGATTGGAAGATATGGACAACGGGAAGCTGATGTTAGTGATCAATTGGCGCGAGAGAGGGTGTTGGAAGAGAAGGCGGCCGTTGGGGGAAGTGCAGCGGAGGTGGAGGTGGTTCAGCAGGAAAAGGTGTAAAACCGCTTTCGGAAGAAAGCTCAGTGGTATCAACAGAAGAATGGTCCTTCGGCAGCAAGATGTCTATGAGCTGCATTTAGAGATTTGCCTGCTTGTGATCGTCTGATTCTGTGAGGGAGAAATTGGTACTGTGGTTGGTAGTTCGAGTACGAGCATTGGATGCTGGCTGAGTCTTTTGAGTGAGAGAGCGTGGTGAATACGAATGAAATTTGCGGAACCATGATAGGTTTTGACTGCTGGCTGTCATCAACTCATTAGTCCATGAGGGAATTTATCGGATACACTGGCATTCTGTCCGTGCCTCATGTTTGTTTGTGAAAGGAGGCCAAGTCTGAGCGTGTCCGAAAACGCAGGGATGCTTAAGTCGCCTGCGCCTTGCTCTCTCCATCCCACTTACTTACACCAATTATGGCCGAGCCGACCAAAAAAGAAAACAACACTCTGACACTCCGATGGACACTGCTGTGGCGAATGACAACTAAATGCTCTCTGCTTAGTATTCGGTAGAGATCAGTCGTCGGTCAGGGGACCAGGTGCCCCTCAATGGCAAGAAGAACACTCTCTGCAAGAAATGACGGTGGCCTCCATCTTCACAATTAAAAACACCTGAATTCGAAGCTGAGGTAGAAAGCCTGTCGAATTGCGCAACCCTTCATCGATTTCGATGAGCTCGCGGTGTACAAGTACAGACGAATGACCAGCAAACAGGTATGTCTGTTCCCCAATACCAGTCCATGGACGACAGCCACCTCAAGCCTCGTAGCGCCTCCGTCATCAAGCTAACGCAGGTACCCGGCAGGCACACCCGCAATGCGCATTAAGGAGCGTTCTAGGCAGCGAGACGGTATTTCCAGTGGCCTATCACGACGGCTCAAGAACGCCGGGTCCTGGTATCCTTAAGAGTATGGAGGGAGCGGGTGCGACACCACAGTATTGTGGCATAGCTGCCCGAAGACGTCTCACGCAACGGTCCACGCAACGGTTTTCTTCTCAGGGATGTCCAGACAACCTTCCGTGACAGCGGTCCAACGGGCCTCGACCTGCTTATATCGGTATCTGGCTACTCGATCGAGATCTGAACCCGTCAGACACAAGACATGGACGAACGATGAAGCAGACACCCAGATCTCAATAAGCCGCAGGCCACCATCTTCTACATCCTCACCACCCTCTTAGCCCACGTCTCGCTTGACTGGCACGGCAGAGTACGAGTCCTCCTTGTCTCAGAGCACCCAGAAAGGAAAAGTCGTACGATCCGAGAAAAAGCCTCCGACCCGCCGGTGACCGAAGATAAGGACGAGAGTGGTCAGAAGAGACAGCATTGGGATCCATTTTCGGCGCGCCACAAACGCCCATCTCATCCCTGAACTAAAGACGTGCTTTTGGCGATTCAACGCGCTGCAGATTTCAAAATGTACCCTTCCACATGTCACTTGCATGCAGAACGTAATCTCCGCCAGACGGATGGGGCTTCGATTCTGACCGATTTTACGTCGATTGCCTCTGTTCTCTCCTATGTGCGGAGGCAGACCCTATCATGAAGATCTATCAACCCCCCTGTCACTCCCCCCTATACGAATTAACGTCTCAATCGATACCCTGATCTATTTCTACCCTTGTCCAGCCTTAAATCGGATTCTTCCGCCATGTTCCCGGTCGGGCAAGACTGGAATCTTATGTTTCTGGGCGCCGCGCCAACCACAGACACCAATTTCACGACTCTCCGTCATCAGCGACCAGGCACGCCAGGCCAGATGAAAATCATATCGATATAACATTCTGGGATTTCCCCGTGGCGTGGTGGCTTCGCCCCCCACTCCCTGGAGCGAAAAGCGCTCCTTCTTCTCGTCTTTCTCTTCCCCTCGCGACGTTGGACCACGAGGAGGAAGAAAGGCAATATGGGGATCCGTCCCGTCCTGGACAGATTTTCTGCTCCAGCAAGAGTACAACGGCTCAGCATCTTCGCCTTAGCGACTATTCTAATTGTTCTCTTTTTCCAAAACACATTGTTGGCTGAGAACCCGGTCATCCATCGACACAAAAAGGTGTGTGGCAGTCTACGCGAAGGTCTTCATTATTTGCTCTGTTCGCTAACGAATCCTAGGTCGACCGATCGAGGTCGGATTACTACCTACAATGGGGACCTTTCGAGCCGCTGCCGATACCGGGGTTTGTGAATACTGGACTGCCGGGCAAGAGATCGTGCGACACTTTGAAATACAACTCGACTGTGGGGGTGCAGAAGAGCTTCTTCCTCGACGATGACATCAAGCAAATAGCCCTGTCCCTCGACTCGCACCCGATGGTCGACTACCCCGACGAGATGATGAACGATCCCAAGATAGAAGCGAATGAGATAATTGACAAGACATGGTCTCGCCTTTCTGGGTCCAGCGTGTGGCTGCCTGAAAAGAAGGTATTCTTGTCCGTGACACGGGTCATCTTCTCCCCCTCCAAGACTCGCTCGGTGCCTAAGATGAGCTTTTTGCGAGGCCAACTCTTCAATCAAGACTGGGAGCATTTGGATGGTCATACAATTACCTGGGCTGGACAACAATTCACATTTCCACTGGTCTTTGACGTCCCCACGCAATGGGAAGAAGACGGAAGCCTGTATGGACCTGAAGATCCCCGGATTATCTTGGAGGACAACGTCGAAGGTGCCGAGCCCGTTATCGTATTCAATATGATCGCGAAACGAACCGAATGGAAGAGAGCAATGTACATCTTCCGACCTTTCTCCAACTACTCCACCGTCCTCACCATCAAGGACACCGACCGAGAACATACCGAAAAGAACTGGGCACCATTCTTCATTCCAAACGAGCAACAACAGAAAGCAGCTAGCAAGAACCCCTCGAAGGCGGTTGCGCCTGTGCGTCAACCCAGCGAGTACATCCATTTCGTTTACAGCTTCAAACCTCTACGGATCCTGAAGTGCCATCTCCGCTGTGGTGACTGCGAGTTCGAGTACGAGCAAGAGGTTCCTGACAACTTCATGACCAAGCATAACGAAGAGGGTGGCAGCTTACGTGGCGGTACCAACTTCGTGCCAGTGCCTCTCCCATCGAGCATGAACATCGACCCTCGAGTAAGAGTATACGCTGCCTTTCCTCGAACCAACATTGAGAAGCAGTGTGACGGCAGTTTTTATCGTCCGGAGTTCGTGGTATTGATCAACATCGGCACACAGTTCCACCTCGCCTTTGCTTCAGAATCGCTTGACTTCGGCACCTCCATACTCGACCTGGGACCTGAAGATGACCGCTGCGACAAAGGGCGCATTCTCATTCCCAACAGCGTCGCTCAGTGGGATACGAGCCATGGCCATGATGTGATGAGTGTGACGTTCAGCGTCAACGACGAGACTGTTCAGGTTGCTCGTGTCCAAGGGCTGTTGGGGTTCGTCCGCAATCTACCTCAATTCAAGACGCTGCTGAAGAAGGATGGTCTTCTGAAGGGTGCTGATTCAGACCTGATGGGCATCTTATCTTCATGGGTCGGGGACGATGTACGTGGCTGTCTTGTGGAGGCCGCTCTCAACTATGCCGCCGCAGCACAGGAGATTACGAACCCGAAAGAGGGAGGGGAAGTGATGGATGTGACAAAGGAGCTAGTGCTCAAGCTCAAACAGGAAGCAGATTCTGCCAAGCAGAAGGATGAAGAAATCTTCAATCACGGTTTTGAACCAGGACATGTGTTTTTGGAACATCCTCCTGATGATGAGGGTATCGATCAACCTTTCCGCTTCGAGATGCTGGGCGAGTTTTCCGACGTCGAAGGCCTGTCAGTCGAGGGCTTGGACGGCGATACCAGCAAGAATGAGGATAAGAAAGAGGAAGGCGACAAAGAAGAGGAAAAGAAGGCAGAGGGGAAGAAGGAGGAGGCCAAGAAGGAGGACGAAAAGGAAGCGGATGAAAAGAAGAACGAGAAGGAGGACACACGAGAGCAGGAGAAGGAGACGACAGAGCAAGGCCAAGAGGACAAGAATCAAGGTGCTCAAGAAGGAGACGACAACGACGAAGGAAAGACGCCGCAAAACAAACCGGAGATCCAGCCCAAACCACAGCACGCTCACCACCGATACCATAACCATCAGAACCATCGCAGAATGTGGTCGTAATTGCTCGACAGAGACACAAACCTACCTTCACCCTCGGTCCACAGATCGCAACATGGAGTCTTCGGGCCTCAGTAAAGGCCAGCATCCTATCTGCTACAGCGTTATCGTGAGCGACAATAACCGGGGACCCCGTGACTACGACCAGCCCGGGCAGCGTCTCCTCTATCACCTTTTCGCGCGGCTTCGCGCACGCTTGACGAGACAAGCAAGGAAAAAGGAATTGGTTTTCTTCCCGAGGACCTTCGTTTCCGCTTCTTCCATGCTCCCTGGGGTTGCACAGACAGCGCTCCAGCTCTTGATTATCTTTTTCTTTCGTGTTCAGTGACGACTATTTCTTATGAAATGGGAGGGGCGGTCTGTTCTGGCCATAGACGGTAGGAAGACAGAACAACAAGGATAGAATCAGGGTATATGGAGGGCGTTCCAAAGGGTGCAGATATTGGATATTCTTGCTCTCAGCGAGGAGTTCCGGAACTTGTTGGAAGAACTTGAAGAGACTAATGACGGGACTAGGGTCTATGCGGGATAATGTGTATGACCAAAGACATGAAGAATGCCTGAGTAAGGGGTCATAGCTCATACGGAACGAAGATGAGGAGCACACCAGGCTCGCGTTAACAGAAATGAAGATCTTGTTGTCATCTCTGTCCCATCCGTCCCTCTCGGATCCTGCGCTGTGAGCCTTGTATGCCGCATCGAGTCTCCGGGGAGATTGCACAAAGCCGGCCAATGCTGCCTTTGGATTTCCTAATCTGCTCGTATTTCTTTCAGGAAAGGGCCTTTAGCCTGTGATTTCGGGTGTGCAATTCCTACCTTGATGGAGCTCGGATGAAGCACCAAAGCCACGTTTTATGCCCCCTTTTTCGTGAGATCCTCGCTCTGTTTTCTTCTTCGACCTCAGCCAGGCCCAACTTGGGTATTGCGCCGTTCATTCACCCGGTCCGAGTCGATACGAGGAAGCACAGCCGCTCATAGGATGTGATCGACCAGGAGGGAATATGAGCGCCGCTCATCTACTGGAGCCAAGCAAGTTGTCCCCGCAAACGACGACTTCCCGACTCCAAGTCCCGACGCGGTGGTGGCTGATAGGCGTTTCTGGGCACGCTAGAGATGTGCAAGGTCGGAGGCGATGGGTGGAAGAGTGCGTTGGACGGGGCGGGAGGCACCCGAGAGAGCTTTTGAGGAGGACTGCTCGGAAGCATTTGCTTCCAGTAAGGGAGAGGGCCAGAGCTCGAACTCGGAGAGACAGCAGGCTACTCGTGAGTGTTGATGACTTTGTCTTCTTCCACGGGATGGGGAGAGTAGGACTGCAGGAGAAAGATATGATGATCGAGTGAGGCAAGGATACCGATCGATCAAGCTTGGTCGAAGAAGCCAAGCATGCGCTATTCCTGCGACAAGAGACACATGCAGAGGGAGAGGGAGCGAGGCAGAGAGAGTGTGAGTGTCGAGAGAGGCGAGGGGAGGGTCCCTTTGCAGAGCATCCCATCAATCAATCACCTGGTGATGGTATGCAGGGCGCAGTCATTGGTCCCCCGCAAAAGCTACGAGTCTACGACGCCCATCATTTGCCATCTTCCCATCCACCTCCCATCGTCATCCTCCTTTCCCCGTCATTTCGTCTCCAGGTCCCGCGGTTCTAGGCCCCTTCCAATCTTCGACGAGCCTTGTTCCCGCTGACCAGGTGCAGCTTCCGGAGGGCCAGGCCAAGACTCCCCGTTGTGACTCTCCCTCAGCCAGCCTGGATCGTTTATTCGTTGCTGACGACTCGATAGACGATGGGCGCGGATGCTGGACCATGCCAATCCGCCAGCCAGACAGGCTGACCGCCGAGATGCCATGGCGACCCAAGACTACTTAGACCCAGCCACCCCTCCTCTCTCGACGGTGCTTTTGTCTCGATATCCCCCAGTATCATCACACTCGTCGACTTGCACAGAATCATCCAGCATGGCATCTAAAGACCACAACGTTGAGGAGCGCCAGGTCGACCAGGCCGTCCGTCAGTCGCTTCAAGATGAGGTCATGAACGAGAAGGCTGCCGCCATGCACACGGAGAACTTTCATGAAGCTGCTGAAAGAGGCCATGCTGCCACCGACAAGTAAGTCGGAACATCCCTCCCAGTGAACCACTGCTAATGCCCACTCTCCTAGGTATGGACACTCCCTTGTTACATTCGACCCTAAGGCCGAGGCACGACTGCGCTGGAAGATTGATCTCTACATTGTGCCCACGGTCTCTTTGCTCTATCTCTTTTGCTTCATTGATCGCGCCAACATCGGTCCGTAGCACCGGTTCCTCCATCGTCATGCCATGCTGACCTCCTGCCAGGTAACGCCAAACTCGCCGGCCTCGAGAAAGACCTTAATCTCAAGGGTAATGATTACAACATTGTTCTCTCCACCTTCTACATCAGCTACATCCTCTTTGAGCTGCCGGCGAACATGGCGTGCAAGTACTTTGGCCCGGGCTGGTTCCTCCCCGCGACCTCGCTTGCGTTTGGAATCTTCTCCATCTGTACAGCCTTCGTGCACCACATATCGTCGGCTTGTGGCGTACGGTTCCTTCTTGGTGTAGCTGAGGCCGGCATGCTTCCAGGTATCGCCTATTATATGTCTCGATGTAAGTCCCCTCTTACCTGCATTTTCCTATGATGACGGGCAGCTTCAAATATGCCCGTGCTTTGTCATTCCAGGCTGACAGATGTTGCAGGGTACCGTCGGAGTGAGTTGGCGTTTCGACTATCGCTGTACATTGTCATGGCTCCTCTCGCCGGGGCTTTCGGAGGTCTCTTAGCTTCGGCCATTCTCAAGCTGAGCCACTTTGGCGGTCTCCATGAGTGGCGGATGATCTTTGCCATCGAAGGCATCATCACCTGTGGCCTTTCGCTTATCGCCTTCTTCACCCTGACCGACCGTCCTCAGACCGCAAGATGGCTGAGTCAAGAAGAGAAAGACCTTGCGATTGCCAGAGTCAAGTCGGAGCGCGTTGGCACGACCGAAGTTCTCGACAAGTTGGACGTGCCCAAGATTCTCCGGGGTATCACGAGCCCGGTCACCCTTGCGACGTCATTCATCTTCCTTCTCGACAACATCACCGTCCAAGGCTTGGCCTTCTTCCTTCCGACCATTGTCAAGACGATCTACCCCAAGAACTCGGTCATATCTCAGCAACTGCATACCGTCCCGCCATATGTCGTGGGGGCTTTCTTCGTCCTTCTATTCCCGCTACTCTCGTGGCGTTTCGATCGTCGCAATATCTTTCTTATTCTTTCCGCGCCGTTGATGATGTGCGGATATATCATGTTCTTGGCCAGCACCAATTCGCACGTCCGTTACGGAGCAACCTTTCTTATCGCAGCCGGGGCATTCCCGTACGGTGCCCTGTGCAATGCCCAAGTTTCCGCAAACGTCGTTTCAGACACCGCCCGCTCAGCGGCTATCGGCACGAACGTCATGTTCGGAAACGTTGGCGGCTTGATTTCGACTTGGTCTTTCCTGCCCTTTGACGCGCCCAACTACCATATCGGCAACGGATTGAATTTGGCTACCTCGTCGACGATCTTGATTCTTTCCATTCTCTTGCTGTTTTGGATGTGGGCGGATAACAAGCGCCGGGAGAAGAAGGATGTTGATACCGAACTGGACGGCTTGTCATTGAAGCAGGTACAGGACCTTGATTGGAAGCATCCTGCCTTCAGGTGGAGGCCATAATTCAGACCGGACTTGTGCAAGAGGCTGTGAAACGGATGGCGCCGAGGCTGTGCGGGCAGGAAAAGGGTTGACGGTTACATGCCGATTCTGCTAGCAAGAAAGCGAGAGGGCCTTTTGGTCTGGTAGTTTAGGCATACATGGTTTAAGAGACACACTTCCCCCTGACCCGGAGACCTTTTTGAATCATGCACTCTTGACTATTCAGTCCCTTGTAGAAACGAAACCGCAAGCCCACACGTAGGTACCTAGGTATATGCTTAACCGCGAGCGGCTCGGGATGGAAGATTGTAAATCCGGCTACCGACCACAGCAGAACCACACAGGACCTTTCACCAAGTACAACATGTTTATGCTCTCTCATCTTTTCCTGACGAGTTGCATATTCCCTCACTCGCATCCTTTGGACATCTTCCCGACTACGAGCCTACGACCCTCGCTCCATGTGAGTCAGACGCAAAGCCCCAATGTTTGATAATGCCAACTTGTCCCGACGCGGGCAGGCTGTTGTCAATTCAGCCTCGCCAGGCAGACATGATAATCCCACCATGTAGTCGGGGTTCCTGCGTGTCACTCTCCATGCTTTGAGGAGACTATATATTGCCCCGTGCCATTGGAGATGTGGTGACATGCCTTGACCTTGTTCTCTTGCATATTTTGAGCCCTGCCGTCCATCCCTTTCCGACGGAGGATTGAGATACACTCTCCCACTCCGCTCCCTCTGCCAAACCGCAACCACTTCCAACGGTTTCAATGCTGTCTCCAGCTCCTCCGCCAATGGCATCGACGCCATTTCCACAGGGCGCACGGGACTCTTCTAATCCGGAAGCTTCCTCACCCCTTCCCCTCAAGGGTCTCGCCTCTCTCCCGCCAGAAGTCCACCACCTCGTGGCCGACTGCCTCCCCTACCCGGACCTGCTGTCGCTGAAACTCACAAACACCTACTTCGCGGCGCTGGTGGAGCCGCGACTCACCATCCGGTCGCGCATCAGCTGGGTGCAGAGCCGATACGCGCAGCACCTGCCCGTGCCGACGAGCACCCGGCTGTCCTTCAAGTCGGACGCGCTGTTCGTCGCCAACCCGGAGGTGAAGACGATCCTGCGGCGTCGCCGGCGCCACCTGGAGTGCGCGGCCCACGAGCGCGGGAGCGCCTTTGTCTTCTCCATGTTCGCGCGCGTCGACGTCCAAGGCCAAGGCCAAGGCCGCCGCGACGGTCCCCACGCGTGGACCAAGGTCTGCCTGGTCACGGGTGACCGCGTGTGTCCCAGGATCCAGGCCCTGGAGGCCAAGATGCAGCGGTACAAGGACAGCGTTGTGGGCAAACTGGCGGTCCTCCCCGTGCTGCGAGCGATCGGGTGGCTGAAGGGGTGGCAGCGCCATTTTTGTGATGCAGTGCCGTGGGTGATGGCGGGAAGGCTGCGCGCCTCGGGGGTTCACCGGGCGTACTTTCTCGCCTTGCTGAAGATCGTCCTTGCGGTCGTCGTGATCTGGATAGCTTGCCAGTTGGCCGGCATCTGGATGGCCCTATGCGGATTCGCAGAGAGGTATTGGTACAGCGCCACGACTTGAGATGGGCGTTCGTCGTGGATTGTGTGCGGGACGCCGCTACATGCATGAGCCTCTGCACCGGGATCTTTCGTCTCACGCTACACAACATACGCTCGAAAGTTATGGCGCCATTCCCAGTCCGCATTATCGACAGCAAAAGAAAGGCCGCCGGGTTCTTGTTTTGCAGCACGATTGAGCATTCGGGTTGGATCCCCTTCGGTGGTTGAGTTTCTCTTCCATGGACCCCACGTATACACTTGTCACGGCCCAGCAACCCGGAACGAGACGTGAGGGGTTCGATCCCCGTCTGGAGGGAGGATTGAAGAGAGATCAATGTCAGAGCGAACAGGTTGGATGCAGCCAGGGACAGTCTATTCAATCCGTGGACCTCGCATCTCGTACCAAACCCTCCTATGTAACACGTAACCGACTGGTCGGCCAAGTCATACATAGGTATAGTATAGTATAGTATAGAGTGGAGGGCCTCCGTCAAGGGACGTTCGCGTCTTTTGTGCATTTGCTAGCCATGCGCGTAGACGGTGGCCACGTTTGGAATGGGAATGCATTCTTTGCATGACGCCGTCTGGCTTCGCCTTCACGGCATCGGGACATGTTTATATTTCTTCTAAGTGATTGATTGATTGGTTGGTTGGTTGGTTGGGTCATTCTTTTTGGTTTCTATCGAGGAACGTTATAATTTCCGTATATCCAGCCAATATCAGTCCAAGGCTACCGTAACTGTGACCATGGTAATACGCACATCGGAACGACATTGATATCTATCCGCACTTCATCGTCATGACCACCGTCGACTCAACACATCGACAGCGGCGGCGGTGACCGCGACGCGCTACTCTCAATCAACCACTCCCGCCGGCAAGACCGAGATATAATCTAGCGGCGCGGGCTCAATGCCGTCGGCCACACCCACGATCTTCAACACATCTCCCTTCCCGACCGTCACGTTGTGGAACGTGATTCTGGCGGCGGAGTGGCCCTGGAGAAAGTGGCTATTAGCTTTTCTGTCTGTCCCAGAACCGACTAACGTCGGAGGCGGATCTCTCCCACCAGGCACACCTTACAAATAGGAAAGCGGGGACACTTACATCGAGATATATACTAGGAGCGTGGCCCAGTCGGTCCTCCAGGTCCCCAACCCACGATCCGATCTGGTGGTTGTTCAGGGATACCGTCCATTGCGACTTGCCGCCAATCAGGTCGTAATAGTTCACGGCAAGGTTATACGTGCCGTTTGGGAAGTTGAGCGTCGTCATCGCCGTTCCCGTGGTAGCGTTGGCAGAGGTCACGATGGCGGTCACATTCGAGGCAGCCTCGAAAGGTGATACCGTGTACGGCTCGTAGCCTTGGAGGGTCATGCTCTCAGCCTCGACACGCCACGGGTGGTTGCCAACACGGTTCTGGCTGTCCGCAATGCCCGAGAGGTTGTGGTAGAAGTTGGTGATTGCGTCGCGCCACACGATTGAATGACCTGCCTGGTAAGTCAACCGGAAGAGAGTCTCATTATACCGCTGCTGGTCGACCTTGCCCTGGAGACCCTCCCACTGCGTGACAAAGGTCTGCGCAGTGTCTGCACCCGCATAGTGGGCGTTGTAGAAGTGCTGGATGACGGTCTCGCCAGAGTGCAATTGCTGTGTGTAGTTAACGTGGTGGAACCAGAGAAGAAGATCATCCGGGGTGGTTGAGATGTTTTCGTACATGGCGGCGACTTCCACAGGGTATTGTCCTGAAAAGCCTGTTCCGTTCGACACGGTCCGGTCCATCCCAATGGTTTTGTGGTCAGCTCGAGTCCATTGTCCCCAAGGGTTATTGTCTTGGGACTGGGGATTGGGTCCGAAATGCGTATATAGAATATCAGTCAGAGTCTGAATGCCGAGGTTGCCCGAGTAGTTTTCGTACGCGGGCCAGGACGACATAGACATGTTCGTAATTGCGGCCACGACCGTCGGATTGGAACCAAACGTGAGCCGAATCCAGTCCTGTAAGATAGCTTCAGGATCACTTGAAAAGTCCCACGCAAGGCGACCATACCCATACAAATTCGACATAGAGAGATGACTTCCCAACCAGGTGTCGTTGGTTCCAACATTAACGACAGCCGCGGCACCACCAAGGGGTCTGTTGAAGCGCTTGCCGGTGACGATATCGCGGACGAGAGACTGGGTATGGTTCGCTCGCATATCAAAGTCCAGAACTGTCTTCCACAACGGAGGTAGATAGACCAGGTGGCACTGCTGTCCCAAATACTCTTGTGTGACCTCGAGCTCGATTGCCGTGCTCGTATTTCGCAGGTAGGCAAAAAGAGGAGATGCAGGCTCGCGTACTTGGAAATCAATGGGGCCATATTTGATCTGCACGACCGCATTCTCCGCAAACTTGCCGTCAAGACCGGTGAAAAAATCAACAGCCGCATTTGCGCGATCCTCCTTCCATACGGATTCATTCAGATTGACACTGTCGTAGACGAACGCGCGAAACATGAGGATACCGCCGTGCGGCTGCAGAGCGTTGGCGAAAAGATTTGCTCCTTGAGCTAGGGTTCGATTGTATGTCAGGGGTCCAGGTTGTCCTTCAGAGTTGGCTTTGACCAAGTATCCTGCCATGTCAGGCACGCGTTCATAGAGAGCGTCTGTAACATTAGTCCACCATGTGATAACATCAGGATTAATCGGATCGAACGTGCTGAGATTGCCGTAGACCAGATTAGCCGTTGGAGAGGCAAAGTTTAGAGCGATTCCAACTTGGACACCGTACGGTCGGAAAGCGTCCGCGATTCTTCCGAGTCCTTCCAGGTTCTCGGTACTCAAGAGAGAGGCGTTGGCGTTGACATTGTTGACAATAATCCCGTTGATGCCTATCGATGCCAGAAGGCGCCCGTAAGCCGAAACTCGATCTAGATCATCGACAACTGTGCCATTCGTGAAGAAAATCGACGGGCCACCGTATCCTCTCTCAATCGACCCATCCAAGTTGTCCCCTGCTTGTAGTCAGCACCGAAGGGCTGTATCAAAAGCGATGGAGCTTGGGGAAGAAGGCTCCCCCATGGTGGTCAAGACTCCTTGGGCAACTTACATTGATTCACCCAGCGGATGGGTGCGTCCGGGTTAGAAGCAAATGCGACATTAGAGAAGTTGCCTTGAGCGAGCATCGAAAGATATTGGAATGCACCATAAAGCGCTCCTCGCTCATTGTGGCCAAGGATTTGGACCGTCGAGCCTGTCGCATTGAGCCAGTACCCGTCATCCACGAGTCTGGGGATCTGAGGGGAGCCGCCAAAGCTGTTTGCATACTCTGCCACAGTGCCGACCAGGATGGATGACGTGGTGTTGCCTGGTTGGTAGCTGACTGGGTAAATGACCGAGAGGTTGTGGTCCAAGATGCCCGCAAGGCCTTTCTGTAGCTCTACAGCAGCAATATGCACCGGTCCATTCGCTGTGGCATTCAAAGAAATGATACTTGAAGGAAGACTCTGACTGGAACTAGGAGAAGAAACCGGTGCATAGCGCAGCCAGGCATCGATGCCAGTTTCAGCAGCGGCAAAGCCGGCGGCAGCAAGTACAAGTAACGAGCGCATCATGCTGGACTCGCTGGCGATGCAACTTGCGTGCTCACATGTGTCCCGGACATTCTCCAGACCATATATACTTACAATACTGCAGAATAGCCGGCATTTTGAACCCAGCGCCTCTCGTTTTGGGCTCAAAGCACTTCCCCGTACCCCAGGAACCAACGGCTAACTCGCTTTGAGCTTCTCCGCAGAGCGACCCGCGCAGTTCATTGGCTGTGTAACGTCGATCAGCCCTGACTGCGTCTTGAACTGGCAAATGATATGCTGCTCGGTCCGTTTCTGCCGACAGGAATATGCAGGCATTGCTCCCGGCAGAGGTGACATCAAGGCATCGGCTAAACCTCGAAAACCGAATTCAGGCTGAATGCACCGATCAAGAGCGGAGGAAGGAGGAGAAGGACTGGCGACGCGTACATATTGACGGTGTTCTCTCCTTTGAGAGCCATAGCACAGGCAAGGGTGCAGATTCGGTGCAGAATGATGAGGTTGGGCGTGAAGCTGGGAGGTTGAAGAGGGGAGAGTGTGAGGTAGTTGGATGGATATTGCGCTACAACACCTATGCTGCACCGTATCAAACCAGGGAAAACTACGGTAGAGCATAGATACCACATTGGCTCTCCCTCAGCCTCGAAGCCTCGTAAGATGGCACTCCTGCTTAATTGGACTCCTCCTTCATCAAATGGGCCAGGCGTGAGTGAAGCAATAGCTTGACTTGTGCAAAAAGAACTCTGCAATCCTCTGTCCTCAATTCTTCTACTATGCCCACCAATTCGAAAGAAAGTCGACAGTGGCAGGGATTCGCGAGTTGCGGGTATATATCTAATGCGACAATATGCATGGACGAAAGACGAAATGGCTACCTTGCTTCCCTAATTCCGGCATCACACCTTGCAAGACTAGTTTCGCTCATGGTTGACTTCATCGATTTCTCAGCAACTCACAGCTTTGGGACAAGGTATTGGAAGGTTCCACCGAGAAGTAGACTATTTCCTTCCGGGCACATCGTGTTGTCAGCGTTCCCTGTGTCAAGATCCAATTCAGGGGTCTAGAGGGCGCATATTCTGCGGCACCAACTCGACGATATATCCGTCCTGATACCAAGGTCTTCAGTCAGCGAGACATATTGGGGGATGTTGCGGGCTGGGGCCCACACTTACCGGATCTTTCACAAATGCAATCTTCTCAAAGACCTTTCTATACTCGTCATGGATCTCGCTGTCGGTGCCCTTGACCTCGACGCCGATGCCGCGCTCGTTCTCCCAGTCACTGATCGGGATGCTCTCCCTCGTGCAGACGCCCAGGTCTTTCAAAATCTCGACTCCGTGCTCCCTCATTCGATTTAGCGCTTCGGGCACGCTCGGCACGGTGAAGCCCAGGTGGCCAAACCCCAGATGGCCCGGCTCGTTGCCCGTCGAATAATAGCCGGGGTCCTGTTTCTCTGAACCGTGGACATGGTATAGCTCCAACAACCCCAAGGTATGTTGAAGTTTAGCGGCGGTGTCGGCGCCAAATTTCGCCAGGTCCGCCCGGTGCTCGTCGGTCTGTGGATATCCGAGGTAGTATATCGTGAATGGACCGACGTTCATGGTGAAAACGGTCCGCATCCCCATGATGTCGACGTAGAAGAGGATGGATTTTGCGGGATCGCGGATCCGCAGCATGAAGTGGTTCAGCTTGTACCCGATGGTGGGATGGTCGGCAGGAAGAGGAGGATCACGCTGCTGATTGTCGAATTGACCATTGGGCAGAAAAGCGCCATGAGGGAAGGGCGTGGGCTGTTTATGGTCGGAAGAGGATGCCATGGTTTGTCTCTCTACAAGGACTGCGTCTGCAAAGGCGAGGAAGCACCTGTATCTGGCTAATCAGCGCACGCAGCAGGTACCACTTTGCAGAACAAGTCTATGGCTGAAGATGTAGACAGAATATTTGAGTGTTATCGGCCTGCCTGAGGAACTTCTAACTGCACCACACTGCTGGCCACGGAGTAGTGAGTATCATTATATACAGCCCTTACAAGTCCGAATGGGTCACGCTCCCAGCAAAGACGTTCCTAGGGGCGACAACATGCGGCCAATGCAACTACCGAAAGCCATTCTGAACACCTTGGATGGGGGGGGGGCCGGGATTGACCCATTCTGCAACCCCATATCGTGTCATGGCCTTGCGGGGCATACGGAGTGGATGGAGGAGCAAAATCGGGAAATGCCGGTGAACAGCCTCATGAGCTTGTGTGCGCTTCATTCTATATAAACAGACCGTGTCAAGCTGCTTGGATATCAAAGAAACCATGGCAGGACGATTCTTCCCTAGCCATCTATGCTTCAGGATGACAACTTCGCGCAATATCATTCATCATGTGAATGCCATTTTCCTTTCTAGAGCTCGTCCAAAGTATAGGCGCCCAAAGATCTCATGTCATTCAACCTCATCCCCCTATTCTGCATCAACGAAATCCACCACTCCCCTCTCCGCGCTCGGCGATGACCCTGCTCAGAGTCCCTGCAAACCGAGTGACACGATCGGCGTCGTATTTGGCCGTCTCAATTGCCTGTAGCACATGCTTGATGCCCACTCCCACAACCTCGCTGCGCGTGATGTCCCGGATCTCTGCAATCGCCCTGGAAATCTCCCCTCCTTCAAATCCTTTGGATTCTCTCATGACAAATTCCAGTTCGTCGTAGGTGCGCACATTGGCGACGGGAATGTCGCTGTTAAAGTGCCGCCAGAAATCTAATTGTTGCAGGACTGAGCGTTCCGTCGCCGTCACAATGATCAGCAGGCTTCGTCCTGGTGGTGGCGCTTTGCGTAACAGTGCGACGAGGGTTTTCAGTATGGGGTTGGAGAATCGAGGGCCGATGGGCGTCCACTCGGTGTATTCTTCCACGTCGTCCAGGACCACGCACGACATGGGCGATTTGTATGCGTCCATAAACACCTTACTCAGGTAGGAGATCTTCTGGGATTCCGACATCTCCAACGTGTCCTTATTGCTGACCAGCTTGATGAATGGGTATCCGCTGTCGATTGCAATCTTGGCTGCAAGCGCCGTCTTTCCACAGCCAGGCGGCCCGTGGAGGCACACTGCGAAGAGCGGAGTGGAATTCGGATTGCGCACCTGTTCCACAAACAATTTCCCTTCCTCAAGTACATCCTTGATATACTGTGAGAAGTGAATGACGCCTCCCCGGAGGCAGTACGAAAGCTCCTCCTCTGAGACGCCAAACGCCGGTTTTACCTCTTCTAGAGCGCTTTCGAAATCGGCACGCTTAACTTTCATATCTGCCACGTCGTCCGTGATCCCCGCCATCGTGCCCACCTTGATATGTCGAGAAAAGGCAAACGACGTGGCGGACTTGACCAGACCGCCAATCTCGGCACCAGAAAAGTTCTTGGTCTTATGAGCGAGTTCCAGGAGGTCGACATCCGGGTCGAGCACCTTATTGTCACGCATCTTTTGCGTATGGATCTTCAGAATCTGCGCTCGGCCGTGTTCGTCTGGCAGGGCTATTTCCATGTGGAGCTCAAGACGGCCGGGCCGTAGAAGAGCATCGTCAATCATATCTTTCCGATTCGTCATGCCGATCAGAAGGATGTTGTTCAATTGATCCACGCCGTCAAGCTTGGAGAGGAGCTGGTTGACAACACTATCTCCCACGCCCGTGCCCCCGCCGGCACCGCTGCCTCTTTGCTTACAGACAGCATCCAATTCGTCAAAGATGATGATGTGGAGGCCGGATTCATCTCCCTTTTCTTTATATTCCTTCTCTGCATCGGCAAAGAGTTTCCGGATATTTTCTTCGGACTGACCGACATACTTGTTCAGCACTTCGGGACCGTTGATGACCTTTGGTTCTCTCGCATTGAGCATTTTGCCGATTTGTCGCGCAATCAATGTCTTTCCTGTACCTGGAGGACCGTAGAGTAAGATTCCCTTGACGTGCTGGATGCCTAGCTTGTCCACAAGCCCGGGAGGAAAGACGCGGGAGGCAAATGCTCTTCGGAAAATGGTAACGAACTCGGCATCCAGACCACCAATGCCCATATCCTCAAATTTGAAGTCAGGGGCAATGATCGAATTGGCGGCAGGCCGACGCGAGGATGCCTTGAGATTTATAGGCGTCTTCCCATCCTTGAAAAAGTTGATCTGGGTTTGAGGTGTCAAAATGCCTCGCGCATGAGGATCCGACGTTGTGGGCGCCGCTTTTTCACTCAAGTCGGCCAGTTGTACTGTCTTCACTGTGAAGTTGAGGGGAATGCTTTTAAGGTCCATCAGGAATCGCTGACCCGGGGCGAACATTTGGCTGTTAAATAACTAAGGACCAAGTCAGTATTAAACCGCAAACGAACCACTCCTGAGCATACTTTTGTAATCTCTTTGGCCAGATCATCTTGATCGTACGGCGTGTCTGTAGTCTTTCTCGTGCTGGCGAACCCAATTTCAATATCCATCGCACCAATGTATGCCTGCCCTCCCTGGCTGAAGGGATCGTAGACTTCTGCCTGCAGGAGATCCGTCAAGGCCACTCCCATCCAAGACCTTTGGGGTTCGGAGAGACCAATGCTGCCTCGTGGAAAAGCATCGAGAGGTCGAGCTGAAACGACATACATGCCGTTGATAAGCAGGAAGACGTCGGTGCCATCGTAGGAAGGAGGAACGTCTTGCGAGGAAACAGCCACGAGGTTGCGGAAGGTATACGAATTATCTGGAGATTTTGCAGGTTGTAGGGTCATGACAGCACTCCGACTTCTCGCAGGAGCTCCTCGACTAGGACTCTGCTGGTGGCCCATGGGTCGTGGAGGCATGTTTCTCGCAGGCAGGCCAGGACTGCCATACCCCTGTCGCGGAGAGTCGTAACCGTTCATGTGTGTATCGTAGCCGCCGCCGCCGCCGCCGGGGGGATAAGAAGGACGCCCTCCTCGCTGGGGGGATGGTTGCTGGCCATACTGATCGCGCGGAGGCTGCTGCCCTGAGCCACCGAATAGGTTGTTTCTGTTTAGGAAGGACATAGCTGAAGTGAGAAGTGTGAGATGGAAAGGGTGAAGGCTGGAAGGGGCGGTGACTGAACACCAAATCTCGAAACAGAGGACAGATTTACAGACAGGATTATCATAAATAGGCACGACAATTCCAGGACTGTTTCAAGACCCCAAACTGCGCCGCACCTGAGGCGGCGGACTCGAAGATGACATCCAACATCTCCGCCTCCCGATGTTTTGCCGCCCAGGCTGGTGGCGGCGGCGTGGTGGCGAGGCTCCCTCAGCCTTGTCTCGCTATTTCGTCCCCGCAGCAAGTTGTTCCACGAGAATCCAGGACTGACTACGCACGTCTGCGGATTGCTTGATTGGACAATGCCTCTCCATCTCCTCCAAAAGAAATCGTGGAACGTCTACTCCCCTGCGAACATCGAGCGGGTCAAGCGTGATGAAGCCAGGGCCCGTGACCAAGCCGCCGAACAAGAGAAGCACGACCTGCGGCGGGAGGCAGATGATAGACTGTCCCTTTTACAACAACAGAGCAAGGGCCAGAGCAGAAGCTTGAAACGCAAACTACCGGGAGAAGATGATACTGATCGTGATATTCGACTCGCCTTGGGAAACACATCCGCGGCCACGAGCAAAGAAGAACAAGACCATGCCTCCCTTGTTGGTGCGAACAGCCATATATCCCTGATACCTTCCCCCGAGAAACGATCTCGTGTCGATCAAGAACAAAGGAAAGATCCATACACGGTCTACCTCTCCGACGCTGTTGGCGGGCGAGATCGGCCTAAAGACGCATGGTATATGTCGGTCCAGCCAGAGCAAGAAAAATGGGGGGACGAGAATCCTCGAAAACAGGAACGAGAACTCACACGGCTCAATGCAAACGACCCTCTGGCAGCCATGAAGAGAGGTGTGAAAGCTCTCAGGGAGAATGAGAGACAAAGACAGGAGTGGATGAGGGAGCGCGAAAGAGATCTCGCAGAAGTCGAAGAGATGGGAAGGAGGGAAAGACACGATAGAAAGCGCAAAAAGATGGCAGAGCATGATGGGAATGACATCGAAAGTCTCGAAGACTTCAATTTGGACGAAGGATATACCAGACCAGAAAGTACTGGGCAACACCGAGAGCGCAAGGGCGAACATCGACACAGAGATCATCACGGACATCATCACCATCACCGTCATCGACATAGACGACGACACCGTGATCATCAGGCTGTGGATGAGGAGCATGGCCAACGCAAAGGGCATGGAAGCAAGCCGGAGGAAAGATGGTACGGACAGATTCAGCAGTAAAGGAATTGAGACGAGCTGACTGAATCAAAACGATATATTGCAGAAACGCGGCCACAGCTTTGTTTGCCTTAGTTGGATGATTGAAGAGCTACGCTAAAGGCCATCTGCGCAGCCGAGAACATTATATCCGCCCAGTCCTAAGACTCCTCCTCCATTGATCTGGCAGCAGGGTCAATACTTGCGCGATATGATCGGACTGAGAGTTGAGGTCGCCGTTGGCAGTGGCCGAGAACCTCTTGGAGTCTGCGCACGGCCTTCCCAACGCCCCGCGCAACTGTTCACAACGTTGATAGAGGTTGTCATGATATATATTGTTCATCATAACCTCCAAAGCCGACACCAGTGTCACTTCGATCTCGTCACCGTCCAGGCTGGGCTTCTCCTTGCGCTTCTCTGCCGAAATCCGCTCGAAAATTTCCAAAATATGCTTCAATGCCTTTGGGTTGGCATAATGGCTGAACGTACCCGCTTCGCTCTCCGGAAGAAAGGCCATGCCCACATTGAACAACATCTGGACGGTAATTTTGTGCAGACGCGACTCTGTGCCGTAGCTACAATAGCGGCGGATGGCCTGGTGCCAATTTCTGATATACAGTCGTTGCCGCCGGGCATCAGCGTCTGTCCATTCCTTTGCCGAAAATGCGGCAATTGACTCCAACAACAAGCCTCTTGCCTGTCTCAAGGAATGGACAACGGGAACATCGCCTGTCGTGTCTTCCACGGGGCCTGTTCCATCCATCAACGGATTGCTTGACGGAGGGTCTTCGGCGAGGACAGCTTTTGTGTACGAGTCGCACAATCGAACGGCTCGCTCGATCGGCGCCATCGTGTCCAGCATGGATTGAGGCAACTTGTCTGACGAGGCCTTGATCTCTCCCCAAAGGCGTGAAGCAGCTTTGATATGGACACCTGCCACTGCGTAATTCCGTTGCATGGTCTCGCAGACCCAAGCGACCAAGCATGCCACGGTCAAGTTCACCTTGTCGGGCGCCTTTGCGTTGGCCATCCTCGTGATGGCGGCATGATAGTGCCAAATCACACGTGGTGTCACTCTCGATGTTGTTGCCTTGCGGTACAGACCGAGCTGCTCGTCGACCAGCGCTGCCGCCACCATGAGATGCCGGACGATGGGGGATTGCCATGCCCAGCGAGGGACGAAACAGCACCAGAAATCATTGTCGGGCCCGAAATTGCCCAAGGTCGGCCCAGTCCCCCTCAACCAAAAATCCAAGCTGCGGCGCTCTTCATCCGTGTCGCCAAACAAGACATCGATGGTGGCCGCCAAATAAGGATCCTGCCAGGACGAGGAGTCTGGATTGCCGCCGCTTTCGCTCTCAAGGGCCGAAGTCGCGGCTCGTTTCTTGGGCTCTACTCCTTCAAAGATCCACGGCCTGGGAGGATTGTACCCCAGGCAGACTCGGCCGGAGCGAGTGCATCTGATTCACCAGGTGAGAACCACTCCGCGCTGATTGCAGGGAAATGTAGGAGAGCCAGGTCGGTACCTTTTGCAGCTTGGCTTATGCTCGTCGCATTTTATTCTTCTATGCCTTACGGACAATAAGCACACGAACAGCAGCAAGGAGAAAGGAAGTCTAATCACATACTTGCATGTCGTGCAGCCGCTCCGCACCTTGTGATGAAGCTGCTTGATACGAGGTTTGACTTCTGTAAAAGCGAGACCTGCTCTGTTGTCGTCCGCTTTACTTCGAGCGCTCTCGCCGACGGCGGGCAAGGATCCATTTGCCTTTGCCTTGCTTGGATGAAACATTAACGCTGACTTCCAGGACAGCTTGAGTCCCGCGCACTCACCCACGACGGTGTTGCAAAGCCACATCGCCCTTGGCCAACACGCGGACTTTTGGGAGTTGTGGAGTTGTTTTCTCGGTCATCGCTCTAAGATATCTCTCCCTCGAACAGTACTTGTGGACGTCGGTGTCAAGCGGCTATGGAGACTCAACATAGCACAGCCAGTGCTGGACATTTGGCAGTCAACTGGCGGCTACAGACGAGATCTAGTTGAGCGAGGATGGAGATTGAGCAAGATACCAGCCTGGTGACGTCTCCATATACCATTTCCATGCGGCTTAGAAGACGGCGGACCGTGCATCTCGATCATGGCTCGACCCCAGATGCAAGCGCTATGACCCACGACGTCAATCAGGCCTCCAGCATACACGACAGGGCTTAGTTATAGGCACGAATGGGGGCCAACTCGAAGCTCAGCACTGGGACCACCAGTGGTAACGTGGCACCCAGCATGGTCAACCACCAGATATCCGCGTCTCATTCAGGCATACCTGGACTTACTAGAGTTGTCACCTTGCAGGGGATGCTTTTCAGCTCTTCGGCTGGCCCCGCCTATCAACTCGAGTTGACACGGCGATTTGATCCTGGTACCTGGCACGGGAAGTTCGTATAGGACCCCCAAAGATGGACAAGCTCCCTCGATGCGGCTTTGAGCACGCAAGCATGGAACTAATTAGCGAATCAAGCCTTTTCCACCATTTCAGCCAACCGACCATCAACCTATCGTTGCAGCAGCGTGTGCTCAGGCGTTGACCCAGAACCTGGAACTGTGAGCATCAAGGCGGGGAAAGCCCCTATCAACCAATGCCAGCTACCGCATTTTTGCCTCCATCCAACAGATCATCAGGCGGGAATAGGAATAGCGAGGATCAGTCGAAGCCCCCCCCCCCCATCCACCCCCGTTCGAGCCGCTCTTGCATGGTACTGTGATAATATCTTCGAGCGCCGATCGTCTCCATCCGTATGAGGATGTCTCGATTGTAATCATATTGCCTGCGCGTCTATTGTCCTCATGCTCGGCACGGCCAGCAGATCCTAGGGCTCGCCGAGAGGATGATAAGGCCATACGCATCTCGTATTTGTGGAGAGCAGCCTCCCCCGTATTATGGACGCAATATAGGTACGGAGTATTTCATCCCATCATACTCGAGTGGGTTTCCAGCTACAGGACAATACGGGGATGGCGCTCCTCCTTCACCCTATCAAGGCCCGTGGCAGCTGCACCCAGCTTCTCCCTGATCATGGAAAGCATGTTAGAATAGAATCGAGGAGCCATGTATTCATAACTAAACAGAGGCGTATAAGTAAAGCAGGCATATATGCAAACTCATCATCAGCACATCAGCAGCAACAATAGCGCAGTGTATACGATCCCTTCCCTTCCCTTTAAAATACATATCTCATGCCGTCCCTGCCTAGTATATTACCATCCTCCCTGCTTTGTCCATGAGACCAGCCCACACACTGGTATGGATGTATCGGTTTTCGTTCGAGCTATTACCCAGATCTACATAGTGGATAGTTGACCGACCACCCGCCTGCCCGCTTCATGATTCGGTGTAGAACGGCAACCCGTCCTGGTCGAGGCTGATCCGAAACCCAGGACCCGCGCCGACGCTGCTGCCGCCGCCCGTCTGGTAGTGGCGAGGGCTGCTCCTGACGCGGCCGTCGACGCGGCCCTGGCCCGGCGTGTGCCGGATCTGGAGCGGGCTGAGTCGCGACGTCGTGATCGGCCTCGTCGGCGTGCGCGGTGCCCACGGCGTGCTCGGCCTCGGCATCACGCGGGTCGGCGTCGAGGGGAAGCGGCGCGAGGGCGAGGGCGAGGCCATCGCCATCCGCGGGTCGTAGTTGCCGTACCACCAGCGCTGCGGCGACGTCTCGGTCGAGGCATCGTACTGTTCGTCCTCGGGGACCATGTCCTCGTAGTCCGGGAGGGGGCTTTCTCCCTGCTGGCCTTGGGGGTTGGGAGGCGGGCCGTCGACGTCGTCACTGTCACTGTCACTGTCACTGTCACTGTCACTGTCACCGTCGCCGTCGCCGTCGCCGTCGCCGTCGCTGTCGTCGTCCACCGAGTCATCCTCGTCAAGCATGTCCATGCCCCCATCAGCTCCATCCTCCTCGGAGTAGAGACGGCCTCCTGCCGAGTCGTAGTGCAGCTCAGTCAGATCACGCGAGTCGTAGTCGATGGGCTCAGTGAAGGGATCCTCATCGCCCACTGCCACATCGGGGCTGCTGCTGGAGATCTTGGGCCTCTTGGATGCTCTCACCTGTGCCTGAGCGTCGCTGCCGACCTGTTGGACGTCCTCGTCGACCTGACCGAATGTTCTCTTCTGTCCTGCTCCCGTGGTGCCCTGGCCGCTTTGCTCCGCGGTGTCAACCCCATATATCCCGAGACCGATCCCGGCTCCTCGCGGGTTGTAATATTGAAATGCACAGTGTTCCCGGAGGAGGCGGACCTCATCTTCCAACGCCACGATCAACTCCTGCTGTTTCTTGTGCGTGTCTAGCAAGGACGCCTCCCTGTAGTGCCAAAGGCGCGTCCGCGCCTCGTCATGCTCGGCCGTGTCCTCCAGCAAGTCCTCGTACTCGACAAGCTGGGTCTTCAGCGCCGCAATTTCCGCCTGGTAGTTGGGGAGGACCATTGAGTGTAGACCCTGCTTGATGGTCTCCTGGTAGAAGAGGGGCGCTCCGTCCTCACGCGGCGATTGTCGAACGTCCCGAGGGGAGCTGGCCTTGCGATTCTGGCGTGCGTTGCCGAGTCCGCCATCATGAGCCGGGGGACGATGTTGGCAGGGACTGTGCTTTGGAGCGTCAGGAAGATCTCGGAGGGGACTGTGCGTCGGAACGTCGGGAAGAAGCGCAGGATCCAATTCAGTATCGCCGCTGTCAGACCTTTTGAACTGCCGCTGGCCGTCGCGGTCAACGCTGACTCCCCTCGCTGAGCAGAGCGTCCGCCCAGCCTCCATAGAGGGTCTCAACGAGATGATAGGAGCGAATCCAGTTTCGCCTGTTGTATAGTCCCCGAACGAACCGCCTCCCGCGATCTCTGCAATTGGTCCTGTGGAGTCACTCAGATCCATGTGGATGCTGGCGCCATTGCCTTTGTCGGAGCTAGGCACATAATTTTCCAGGACGAACGTTGGGAGATAGATCTCGTACTGACCGAAGTTTGCCTTGATGTCGATGAGCAACCGTCCTGGACGGGCCTCTTTGTTCACGGCAACCTTGAGTTGGGCAGATGAAGATTGGCGACCGTCTTGCGCCCCGTTGGCGGGAGGCTGGCTGCCTCTGCTCTGGCTACCGTCGTTTCTACCGCTCTTATCGTGGTTATTGCCGCCCTCTCCATTGCCCGTGTGTCTCGCGTTCGCGTCACCCTGTGAACCACCAACACCGCTCGAAGACGTTGCTTGGTCCTCGTCACTGCCGTCCGCCTGGTCGTCGACGACCCTTTCGTATAGAAGCACATAGGGCGTGAAGTCTCCCTTGTGCTTGAGAATGTCTTTGAAAGAGGTCTTCTTGACCTTCAACGCATCGTTGAACACGTACCAGCTGTCTCCGCGGCGGACGTAGCCGATATAGTGACCTTGATCTTTGTCACCTTGGTGGTTCACAATGGCCTCCAGCCGGTACTTGGCCGAGATGTTGGCAGGCTCCCCTCGCGTCTCGAGGAACGGGGTTAGGTCCAGCTCCTCTGGGACTGTCACCTGTGTGTCGTCTTTTTCCCACGTCATGTTTCCTCCACTGTCAATCACCACATTCCCATTTCTCCCGCGTCGCGGTCGGAAGCGTTGGAGCTGCACAAACAAGACATCAGGGGGAGAGTAGATCTTCCTCCAGATGGCGCCGTTTTCATTGTCTGCGTTGCGATTCGCCGTGTCGTTGCTGCAGGTGCTGCAGCGCCATTCGAAATCGTCCTTGGAATTCTTCACAAGGCAGTCTTCCAGCGTCACTGGCACACGGCCATCGGCCGAGGCTGGCAACGGGAGGGATAGTATCGTCTGCTCATCAAGCGTTGAGAAACGGGTTTTGACGTTGTGAATGGAGCCGCACTGCATGCACCGGGCACGTTGTGTCTGGGTGACTCGCAACAGTTCATGTATATTTACATGGACCAGGTCAACGACTTTGTCCAGGGTCGCTTGGTCCAGTCTGCCTCCATGATCAGCTCGGTCCACACCATCAGGCCCGGTTCTGGGAAGACTCACCTGCTTCTACGACGGTTCACCTTTTTGTTGATGAAGTATCTGAGCTGCTCAACGCTGAGGTTGATCAGCCAACCCAGGAATTCGGAAGCGCACTGATCTTCATTGGCTTCCTTCATTTTGGTCGTGAATCTGTCATCCACATCAATGGTTGTGGTTCTCATTTCCTTATCGCGGTGACGATCTGTAACATAGTCCCAAAAGACAGCCATGGCATTGTCGATGGTCTGTTGGTGAATCCGGCTTTCGTCCCAATAGGCTCTGCTCAGTTGAAACAATTCACACCACACATCGGTATAATCGTTGGGCAATGATGTCGCTGCTTCATCGTTGCTTTGCTCGTCGTCAGACTCCACCCCAAGCATTGCGTCGATGAACGGTTTGCTGTAAGTCTTGATCCTCAATCCAGCCCCCGTCAGATTGGGAATGTGCCGGTTTTCAATCCAGGACATGAATCTGTTGCTGTGCAGTAACATGACGATAGTGGCATTGCGATAGCAAAGACGACCTGGATTCATAAACCCCTTTCCTAGATCCGAGTGTACCCTTGACCTGGTGGCGGCGATAGCCTCCCGAGGCGCCCTCAAAGGCGTGGCGAACTCTGGCCCCTCTGATGTAGTCGGACTAGGGATCGGACCGTTTCCTCCCCCAGCAGGAGGAGTTGCTGCTGACCCTTGTGCTCCGTCCCCATCGTCCGCAGCAGCTGGGCATCCTTTCTTAACGCCCTTTTTCTTCGAGGAAGGTTTGGATTTGGATTTGGACTGAGCCTTCCCTGATGTTTTAGATTGTGTTTTGGTTCTTCCTGGTGCTTTACGTCCTGATCGAGTCTTCTGCTTAGCACCGTCGTTGGACTGACTCTGTGCTGGTGCTTTGCTTTTTGCCTGCTTCTTGGGTGCACTGCTGGTACTGGCCTGTCCAGGCGCAGCAGCCCGTGCTCTTGCCTGAGCTCTTGTTTCCACCATTATGAGATGTAGGCTGGAGGTTTTGCAGAAATGGAGTAGCAGACACTGAACAAGGGATGGGTAGCTCGAGAAGGAGCGAGAATAAGAATGAAAAGAAGCAACATGCTGGGACAAAGGACACTGGAAGGAGCCGTGCAAATGAATTCAAGCACCTTTGGACATGTTTGCGGACATGCCTGAATGGGTGCGGCATGGTGAACAATGGGCGCGTTGTGGAAGAATGAATAGAGCGAAAAGACCGCAATAGACGGAAACGGACGTGTGGCAGCACACAATGGAATGGAGCTGGTCGCAACATTGCACCGCGCGCAGAAGACAACATGATCTCAGGACTGAAATCGCACCACAATCAGAGAGCTTTGGTGTTGGTGTTCATGACATTGATGGGCGTTCAGAACGGTCGAGTCTTGCACCAGGTCACGTGCCATGCCGCAAACGACAAGGCTGCAGTATTTGGCCGCTAGAGTGGTTCAAAACCCACAGGACACTGTTTTCATAAGGATCAAACAAAGACGCTCGGTTCGTATCGGTCTCGTCGCTAAGCAATATGCAATTAGTCTTCTGCGGTTTCTGTCGGTCCCTCCGAATGAAAATGTCAAGGCGAAGCTGCGGGCTTCTGAGTTTTCCCGTTGCCAAAAAACCGTCTCCAATCTTCTGAATTGCGATGATTCTCCCCCATCTTGAAACCCGTAACCGGAGATCCATCATTGTCTGGTGAAGGGGTGGAAGGTAGGGCTGCGGTTGACACCGGCGCAGAGTCTGCTACTGCAACCTTCTCAGATGGCGCCGCAATGTCCACCGACGACGCTGTACTCCTTAGTGTTACCATATCCCCTATCTTGTGCAGTTGCCGTCTTTTTCGTAAGCAAAAGAATATGGCGGTTATTAAGGCGATGATGCCGAGAATCACGCCAATGGCGATACCCGCTTTGGCGCCATTGCCTATTCCAGTAGTGTGAGAGGCCGAAGAAACTGCTGTCTCGGCTGCTGCAGATGCGCCTGGCGAGGAGGACAAATTGGCAACTCCCGTCGCTGTCGGAGCTTGCTCGGAGCCCGTGGGGGTTTGTGTCGCTGAGGATGTTGCTGCTCGTGTAGCGGCCAAAGCGTAGGTTGTGGCAATGCCTTGGGTGCTGACCATCGTGAAGCCAGCTGCAGTGGTCGAGTCTGTCTTATTCTGGGCATCGCAGAGCATGAAGTTGCAATAGGTAGGATAATGCGGGATTTGCATCCCGGCTTGAATGGGCGCAATGGCGTATGTGCCATTGGATTGGACTGCCAAAATATAGTCAATCTCTGTTTCCAATACTGGCCAGGCGTAGGCAAACTTACTTTGGTTTACATTGGCCAATGCGAACTGATCCGAGCCTGGGCTCAGCTCACAAAAGATGGATAGGTCTACATTGTTCCAGACCGTCTGGTAGCTGACTTGGATCACATCAATGTTGTTCAAGGTCATCACCTCCGTTGGGTAAAGAAAGGCAGCATGCGGCGCCATATCTGTGGTCGGCGTCGGGGCCGTTGTGGCTATTGCACTTGAAGAGGATGTCGTCGAGCTTTCGGTTGTGGAAGAGGCCAAACTCGTGCTTGCTGTTACCGGTTCAGCATTGCTGGTGAAATCAGGGTGAGGATGCATCTGCGCCGCTCGCCGGACATGATGAAACAAGCCCTCTTGTAACATTTAGAGGACGACAACAGGTCCAGGATCGAAAGTCGCAGTTTGAGCTTTCGCAACCGTTTACCGGCATGGCCCTGGGAAGATCGCCATTCAGAGGGCTCGCTTGGGAGGAGGGAGGTGTCTCATGTTAACGGCAGCCCCGACTTTTGACAGATTACCGGCGCCGGACAGCCCACGAGAGGGTTTCGGAAATAGAAAGGCCCTAGTCCTTGCTATCGACGCCGCAGAGGAGTGGGAGGCATCCGGCGAGCAAGCCATGATTAGATTTCTCCCCCGATCTGGAGAATACGGCTATCGAGGGAGCTAGGGTTCGAGACATTGGTCAAATGGCGCTGGATTTTGGCGAAATTGCAGCCATCAGCAGCTCATCATCCCAAGTGGAGCTGCCAAGAGTCAATCTGGTTGCTTGTCAGCACGTGGATTTCGTCGATATCATGGCAAGGAAGAGAAATACTCATCCATCAGCGTTCATCACTTGACTGAGGGTGATGGACCTGAGCAGGGCGAGATGCGAGGGGTGAAAGTGGAATGAAGTGTGGATTGAAGGAAGCGAAGGACGCGTTCCTGGGGGTGGAAGGATGCAAGTTGCACGTAATGACTGTGGGGGGCCTTTGGCGTTACAAGCGGCTCCTACAGTAGCCAGGAACTACTCGGTACGCACCTACTACTCCGTACTTGGTGCGGGAAAGTAGTACGTACAGCAGGTGGTACCCGACAAGCGAGCTCGGTGCCTGTGGAGTGCCTATCAGTGCCTAGACCATCCCTGTGACTTGGGCATCTCCGCATCCTCTTAGGCGGCGTCATGCCGATATCAGACGCTCCCTCCAGCCCCGTATGGCACCAGCAATCATGTGGTTGATTGCGCCACCAACCACCCATTCTCGTATTTCCCTCCAGTCATGCCTGGGGCTGATGCCATGCATCCATTATGGACAACTTTTGGGTGTACAGTACGTGAAATCTGGGCAGGATTCGTCTTTCATGTCACCAACTATAGTCGCGAATCTCTGCATTAACGCCACGCTGGGCACGTTACATGAAGCCGTTCCTGAACATGCCCAAGACCTGCAAAACCTCTCTCAAAATGCACTGCTTCGCCAGCCCTGAGCCGTGGTTCCAATGGTCCCGATGCTCCCTTCCCGCCTCAGACCGTCCCCGTCCAGGTTCAACTTGCTGAGAACTTCTGCCGGGACAGTGGGGATATATTTCCTCGCTTGCTCCCTGTTTGTCCCGCCAATGCCGGCCCCATAACTGATGAGCATGTCTGTCGAGGTGGGAAGCGAGAACGGCAGCATCAGAGACTGATCCAATGTCAACGCATTTCGATTCATCGGTGGATCTGTGTCTGGCTCGACTGGCGAAGATATTGGAGGCACCGAGGTGTTCTTCTGAGGTGTGCTCGGCTCTTTGTTTACTGGCGCTGGCGTTCCATTCCGCTTTGCGGGTGTCGTGGTCCCCGACTCCGGTGCATCGACCATTGGTGTCAGCGGCCTCTTGATCAATGACTGCTCGCCTCTCTGCAATTGAGTCAAGAATTTCATGTGTGCTTTGGGTAGGCTTTTTTCGCCGACTTCGGCTCGATAATTCTTGACTGCGTGAATCAACTGTGTCGGAGTGAGGCGCTGGAGCTGGACTAACGTGCCAACTAGAGATTCATGGTCCTCGCCCAGCGAACTGAAACACTGCAGCCACTGCAGTAGCTGGATGATGGGTGCCAGATGCCGTCGCGCGGCATCGACTGTGGTCTCTCCGGTTGAAATTGTGGAGCCGTGCTCATAATGTTCCGGTTGTCGATTGTTTGTCCGTGCCCAATCTTCAATTGCAGACACATTCATGCGAATTTGCATCGCCTTGGTCCTCGAAAGGTATTTCTTGGTGGTCATGACCCGGTTGAACAACTCGGCACCAATCCAATACAGCAGCTGAGACAGGATCTGTGACGTGATGACCGAATGCACATCGTATAGGTCGAGCACAAATAGGGTCGAAGAGAGGAGGGAGGTAATGTTGCGCGGCGACGTTTGGGCTCGCCGCTTGGGTGAGGGAGGACGAAACCTCTTTTCTGGCGGCTCGTCCTTCGTTTTAGGCTTGGACTTGAAGACTTTCCATTCTCCTTGGAATGCAATGTCGTCCAGGCCGGGTATTGTTTCGTGGTCCAACATTGCAACATCCAAAACCTTGTTCATTCTCCTTTCCGCATCTCGGATAATGAGGATGAAGGTCTCGTTAATCAGCTCGGCAAGCTCGAGCTGATACTTGGATGTAGCCTGCACAAGGCCCGCATCCTTCTTCAGGTAATGCAGGAGCAGGGTCGCGTTGGATATCCAGAAAGCCAACATGGTCATGTCCCACTGGTAGCGTTCGATGACATCGTTAATGAGATCCATAGCTCTGGTAAGGACCTCGTCCAGAAGAGAGGCCGTCATGTGATAATGGGCATATCGCGCCATGAGAAAGATCAGGTTCGCTGGTATGGGCTTTTGCGAAGGCGATCGTTGCGGTGTCATATTAGTTATGATGAGGTCAAAGATGGCATCCAGCTTATCAGCTTGAAAGACAAACATCTGGTCGCCAATGCAACGGTCCCAGATGAACTCTTCCTCGTCGACCTCGAGATCAGTGGGTGACTACGAAAAGTCAGCAAAACACTTCAGGCGGCGTTCTCAGGTTGGCCTACTTCTGGTTGTTCATCGAATCCCAAGGTGGACAAATCGACCTCCAGGTTAGCCGCACTCTCTTGCATCAACATCCTTCGTTTCATTTCGTTCTCTGCCATCTCTTCCTCGAACCGATCCTGGGAGAAGCCCGAGTTGTAAAAGTCGTCTCCCAGGCTCGACGTCCCAAAATGATATCCATTTTCATGAAGATAATGAGAGAAGTCGGAGCCGGGCTGGACAAAGTCAAGCGCAGTGCCCCCAGACGAAGATCTGATATCGGGATCCGCTCCATGATCGAGCAGCATTTTTGCAATTTGCTTGTGTCGATTTGTCATTGCCCACATCAAGGCGCTCCACTGATTTCGGTCCTGCTTGTCTACCATAGCCCCAGCGTTCAGAAGCGCGGCCACAACCTCGTGATGTCCCTGTCGCACGTTAGTCTGATAAACAGCTCTGTTGTTGGGGCGCGACGCACAAAACAGCTAGCATATATTAGTGGTACTGTGCCCTCTTCATCCGGCTGGTTGACATCGACGTATTGTTTGGCCCGACCTCCGACCAGCTTCTGAATCCGGGCGACGTCCCCATTACTGGCTGCCATGTTAAGGCTCTTCTGGAGAATCTCCTTCTTCTCGCTGTCCGAGAGGCTGTCATCCGTAGCGATGGCATCTTCATCCTGCCCAGGACTCCCATCTTCCCTGTGATGTGCCTGAGCAGCCACCATTTCCATCAGGCGCGAGTCGCTGTCCTGGATGCGGGCAAAGGTTTCCTCATCGTCATAGGCTGGAGTGTCTAGATGGAGGTCGAATGTCAAGGTTCTGGCGGGAGTGGGTGCCGTGATATACTGGGATGAACCTATTCCAAACCGACAGGTTGTAAGTATTTGTCTCCGCGAAGCACGAGACCTGGGAGAGGCTGCTTGCCTTGCCAACCATCATATATCTCGGTTTCCTCGCCATAGCTGGGAAAGGAGCGGCGGTCATCTAGGGACGTCGGCAGATCGTCTGGGAGCTTGCGAGGTGTCTGCTGCGAAGGAGATTGCGGGAGGTAATGGGCATCGCTGGGAGTCCCTGGGTCACCACCGTCCATTGTGTTGGCTGCGCAGGGATACCAGCAGGGGTGATCTCATATCGGAAGGGGGGCTTTGCAGAAGGACAGGTCTCATCTGGCTTCTGATGTAGCAGTATGTTTATAGGCCGATGCCATATTCTATCGGACACTGAAACTACCTAGGTGCCAACCTGCAGCGCTGGGCTGTGCTGTGTTGTGTTGTGGTCCATGGTGGGAGGTTTAACCTGTTGCCCGCACTGGCTGTAGCCGAGTCGGAGATCTGTTCATCCTTGTTCCGTCCTTGGCACGACATGCCGCTTTTAAGGACGGCCACATACCATCTTTGCTCTCTCTTCAAGCCTGTCCCTCACAGTAAGCAGATGGTCGTGGACAAGTTGTGTGTGAACGGGGTAGATAGCACCAAAGACACCTATCTTGTTGCTCTGTTGCGTGATGGCTAGAAAGATACCTTGAGACAATCTTGCTATTGCCCTCTTATGCTACCATAAATGGGACTTGTCTCCTGGTATTGGTAAGGAATGCAACGAGGTGTTTGACAAGGCGAGGGATCCAAGAAGGAACTGTCCCTGGCTGAAAGCATTGTACGGGTAGCAACAGAGCCTTTTGGGGATTTGACCAGTATGAGACGTCGACTGTGAATGCAATCGAGGCAGCATTTCTGCTGTCCAATTTGCCAGACTCGCCTCAGCCTCGCCTCAGCCTTGTCGGCCAAGGCCTTCCGTTCTGGCTGTAATTCATCAGAAATGGAGGTCACCATGGATTTATCAACAACACACTCTCAATTTGCTACCGACATTCCCCTGTCGTAGTGTTCTATCCGGATCACGTATCGGATAAAGTCTCAGCGGATAGATAGCGGACCACAGGGACTCTTTATCAACGACGGTCCCCAATTACGCCTAGTCAAAACCAAAGTGGCCGCTTGCTTCCCCCTATTTTCGCCCCTTTACCAAGACTTTCTGCTCCATATTGTCGGTCACGAACATTTCCAGGAGAAACAAACCTACAATATACTTCCGGGTTCTGTACGTGGCCATGAGGTGCTCGCTGGGTGGCTCTGTTAGCCTCCCCGCTCTCGCTCTGGTTCTTTCGATCCTCGCAAGCTCATGCCTCGCGTCTTTGGGTGACCGACTTCCTGATTTTCGCGAATGTGTACAAGTACGTCCAGCCATTGAATATCGGCCCTCGAGCTCCTCGCAAATCCTAACGGCTCCAGGTCTGTATAGAGGAAAATTGTGATTCAGGGCGAGCAAGCATACGTGAGTGTTCTAGCTATCGGTGTCCAGATCTCTAGCTGAAATCCTACACCAGCTCTTCATCTGCGACTTCTGCTCTGGGATTGTCCATCCGAATGCGACTATACCTGCCAGCATGTCATCACCGATCGACGAAAGGCACGAGATCCGCCCATGATCGAGCCGGTGGTCCAGTATCATGGAAAGTGGCCATTCTACCGTTTCATGGGCATCCAGGAGCCGTTCTCTGTGTTGTTCTCGTTGATGAACTTCCTCGCCCATCGCAATGGCATGCAGAGAATTCGCGAGTCTATTCCCGCTCGCTACATTCTCCGACCATACTACTTGGCTTTTGGCTACTTTGGGCTTGCCAGTTGGATATTCAGCATGCTTTTCCACACCCGAGACTTCAACATCACTGAGAAGTTGGACTATTTCGCCGCTGGCGCCAGCGTCCTCTATGGACTCTATTACTCCCCAGTCCGGGTGTTCCGTCTGGATCAGAACGACCCAACAAAGCAAAGCATCCTGCGGGCATGGACAGTGCTTTGCATCCTCCTCTATGTCGCGCACGTTACCTATTTGACGGCTTGGAGCTGGGACTATACCTATAACATGGCAGCCAATGTCGTCGTGGGAGTCATCCAAAATCTCCTCTGGAGCTGGTTTAGCATCACGCGATACCGCAAGCTGCAGAAAACGTGGGCAGCATGGCCTGGGTTGATCGTGGCTTGGATCATCATGGCCATGAGCTTGGAGCTGTTTGACTTTCCGCCGATGGCTGGAATGATAGACGCACACAGTCTTTGGCATCTTGGGACCGTGATACCTACTATCTGGTGGTATAGGTAGGATGAGCAGGCATACGTCCCTTGATTACTCGTGCTGACTTGGCTATGCAGCTTTCTGATCAAAGATGCCCAAGAAGACCTCGCCAGCCAACGGCTCAAAGCATGAGCCTGCACCTATGCTTCAGGTTGTCTAGCAGTTGTCGCCAATGCCAAAAGCCTCCCACCGCTGGTTAGCGTAGCGACCAACAGCTAGGAGCCGGAATTCAAGATTCAAGACTCGAGAAGCCGAACCCGAAGGTCCCATTACTAGAGTACTTCGTTACCCCCCGAGGCCCCTAACCCCACCAGTCGGGGCCTTTTAACGCGAGCGGGAGGGGTTGGAGGGGTCACGGGAATGGGCTCCCTTCTGGCTTTTAGGGCTTCTGTGACGTGACCGGGTACAACGGTCCATGATTGTTAAGGATTCCCCCACGTCCTTTGGGCGCTGCCGGCGCCTCTGCCGCCTGGTGCGCCTGGATCAACCACACCTATTGGTCCCAAGCACACCGAGGGGGTCACTAGTCAGGCACGCGGGGAGTAACTTCTCATCTCGTGGCCCCTGTGGCTCGGCGCGGATGGTGGGCTACCAGGCTCTTAGCATGCCTCAGCCTACCAGCCTAGTTAGCGAATGCACAAACCGTCTTTTGGAGAAGTCTTTCTTACTTGCATTCGTCCCCGTTTCCATCTTCTCCGTCGTCGTAGATCACCATTTCTTCTTGTCTTTGTCTTCCTGCTTCTCTTCTCTCGCATTCCAGTTCTGAGCGGACAACATCTCGTCACATCCCAAAATTCCCAGCAGATTCTGAGTGGGTGCAACGTGTGTGTGCACAACTTGCTCCGCCTTACAACCATGTCCTACTCAGACCCTCGAGACTCGGTCTTGAACAAGCCAAAGCCGGTCATCCATCTGCCCAAAGACCTTCTGGATCGTATCACCAAAGGCGCTGAGCCATATCCCATCCAACCGGGGAGAAAGTATGAATATGGCACTGCAGGAGTACGTTTTCCTCTGCTTGTTTCGTGCCTGATTCTAACATGATTGTCTCTTCAGTTCCGCATGAAAGCGTATGTCCCTCTTCAGCCGCACGAAGCTGACACCTACCTGCTACCTGCCACCTGACCTTGCCTGTCATTTTGCACAACTGACAAAGAGTGGAATTTAGAAATGTCGGTTTGGACCATGTCATCTACACCGTTGGGCTTATCGCGGCTCTCCGTTCCAAGAAGCGCAATGCGACTATTGGTATCATGATCACCGCCAGCCACAACCCGGCGGAAGACAACGGAGTCAAGTTGGTTGACCCTATGGTATGTCATCATCCTCATATCAAATGTCGACACGATGGCGCTAACAGGAGGACTCTCAGGGTGACATGCTTGAGGTATAGGATTGCGTCGTTCACATCGCCTTCAACACGTGACTGACAATTGAAACAGCAATCATGGGAAGCATATGCGACTGTCCTGGCCAATACTCCCAGTGAGAAGCTTGGAGTGGAGTATGAGAAATTGCTCAACGAGACCTTGATCAGCAACATCAGCCAGCTCCATGAACGACCAGCGAAAGTGGTCTTTGCCCGCGACACTCGCGCTTCGGGACCGTACCTGGTCACCGCTCTCAAAGCCGCCTTGGACGCGGTTAATGTTGAGTATGTTGACCATGGCCTCATGACCACCCCGCAGCTGCATTACATTGTCCGCTGCATCAACACCATGAATTCTCCATACGCTTTTGGCGTGCCGACCGAGCAAGGCTACTATGAAAAGATGGCCAAGGCATTCAAGACCATCATGCACGGCCGTACCATCCAAGGACCTATCACTGTCGACTGTGCCAATGGCGTTGGAGGACCCAAGTTGAGAGAACTGATCAAATACTTGCCATCCGCGAAGGAAGGCGGCATCGACATCAAGGTGGTCAATGACGATGTGGTCAAACCGGAGGCCCTCAACTTCGATGTGAGTTGATGAGATGAGGTCTTTTGATCGGCGGCTGACTTTCTCAGTGCGGTGCAGATTTCGTCAAGACTAAACAGCGCGCTCCCCCAAGTTCCAACGCGCAACCAGGAGATCGTTGCTGCTCCCTTGACGGCGATGCTGATCGAGTGGTCTATTACTACACCGATGAGCAGAACACATTCCATCTTCTGGACGGCGATCGCATTGCTACTCTCGGCGCCGTTTTCCTTGCGGACATGACTCGTGTCGCCGGGATTGACCAGAAATTGAAGATTGGAATCGTCCAAACTGCCTACGCTAATGGAGCTGCCACCGAGTACGTGGAGAAAGTCCTAAAGCTGCCAGTCACAATCACTCCCACTGGCGTCAAACATCTCCACCATGCTGCTGCCCGATACGACATTGGTGTGTATTTCGAGGCGAATGGGCATGGCACGGTGCTGTTTTCGGAGAACGCGATCAAGCTCATCAGAGAATCTGAACCCAAATCCCCTGGCCAGAAACATGCTCTGGACTCCCTTCGTGCTTGCATCGACCTGATCAACCAAGCCGTCGGTGATGCCATCTCTGATATGTTGTTCGCTGAAGTCGTGCTTGCTCACAAATCCTGGACGCTCGAGAACTGGCGCAACACTTACATCGACCTCCCGAACCGCCTGGTGCGCGTCGTGGTCAATGATCGCTCCATTTTCAAAGCAGTCGACGCAGAGAGGAGACTCGAGTCACCCAAGGGCGCCCAGGAGGAGATTGACAAGTACTGCCAGATGTATGTCAAGGGTCGCGCCTTTGCTCGGGCTTCTGGGACGGAGGATGCGGTCCGCGTGTATGCCGAAGCCCACTCCAAGACCGAGGCGGAGAAGCTTGCCAGTCAAGTGGCCGAGGTGGTGAGGAAGTACGGTACGATGTAGGGAGAATAAACAGCGAAACGGAACGTGTCATGACAAAGATGATTTGCTCGGTTGGTTCACGAACATTCTCGCATGCATGAGTGTTGGACACGCCGAGATGACATGGAATGGCATAGCGAATGGCGCAATCTGAGCAGGATGGATGGATTCCCCAGGCGGAAATTTCACGAAGCATGAGATAGGCTGACGCGCGGATACCCCCAATACCAAAAAGTGCTGCTGTTTTCCTTTGCTGAGTAGTTGTTGCTGGACGCTCTCCACTGCTACGGACAAAGCCCAAGTCGCTGGCTGTTGTGGGATCTCATTCCTCGCATTCTCGCTCTATCAAACCCATCCGTTTTGGGTCAATATGGAAATCTCTCCAAACGGCATCCCACTTCGAGGATGACTAACAGGTCAACCCGCTTCACTCTCATTCTATGCCTCTCGGCAAAATAGCGGCCCTCTCAGAACACAGTCTTCTCAAGATATCATATGATGTTTCTGACTCCTTGTCATGAGCCCCGGGTCCTTCGGCAGTGTGGTCTAGATAGACTCTTCCTCATCCCCCCTCTCTGTCCAGCCTCCCACGAGCTCTGCAACACCCCTCGAGCCTTGACGCGCTGACCACGAGTTTGACGAGCGGCGTTTCCCGCAAACGATACACCCAAGACTAGGGCAGGAGACGAAGAGTCAAGGTAGAGAAGATGAGGATCGAGAATGTAATCCTTCCAGGAAGAGATCCGAGTTCTCGCTGGGATGTGGACTTTGAAATGAATACCATCAGAAGAATCCAACCAGCACCACCTGCAACAGGAGATTCATCTTCAGATCCCTCGCCGTTGCTTCTCCCACCCCTCTGCCATCCACATATTCATCTGGACAAGGCCTATCTATTGACATGCAACACTCAGCACCATCCGTCACAGCCTCCATCATCAGAGGAGGGGTCACAACATCCAAACTATGCCGATCTCACCCCTCAGGACGGTTCTTTCAGCGAGGCCCTCACATTCACCTCCTTGGCTAAACAACGCTACACGTCCGAAGATCTCTACCTGCGCGGGGCCCAGCTTCTGGCCACGTCTCTCGCGCAAGGTGTGACCTCGTGCCGTGCCTTTGTCGAACTTGACCATGTTACCAGCCAGGCATGCATTGAAGCAGGGCTGCGACTCAAGGACTGCTTCCAAGGGAAAATGAAGTTGCAACTTTGTGCCTTTGCCCAGGATCCGATCTTTAGCACCGACAACGCTGGGAAGAATCGCCAGCTCCTGCTTCGTGCGCTGGAGGGTTGTGCAGGCCATGTCGAAGTCCTTGGTACGACTCCCTATGTGGAAAAGTCAACCGAGGCGAGCCTACAGAACATTGAGTGGGCGATTGAGACAGCCATCAGCCGTCGCCTACATTTGGATTTCCACCTCGACTATAATCTCGACGAGACGCAAAAGCCCATGGTCTGGGAAGTTCTTCGGCTCTTGAAAGAATTGAATTGGAACACCCGGGCACAAGCTGGAAAAACAATCGTTCTAGGCCACTGCACGCGTCTGACGCTCTTCAACGGCGCCGAGATGGGAGAGTTGGCGAGGGAGATCCAAGACTCCAAGCTTCCAATCCATTTCGTGGGCCTTCCGACAAGCGACCTGTTTATGATGGGCCGCCCCGTGACGCGTTCTCAACAGTCGAAGTCTGCGGACCGCCCTCGCGGGACACTTCAGGTCCTCGACATGATCAAAGAGTTTGGCATCAACAGCTGTCTCTCTGTGAACAACGTGGGCAACGCGTTCACTCCTTGGGGAACAGGAGATCCTCTAGCTCTCGCCTCTCTTGGTGTTGGCATTTACCAGGCCGGTACCGAGGAAGATGCAAACCTCTTATTCGAGTGCGTGAGTTCGAGGGCCAGAAAAGCAATAGGCCTTGACACTGCGAGCGCACTCGACAACGCTCTGGATGATCCTGGCCAGGACCGGACGGATGATTTTGACACGACTGAGCTCAAAGATGGCCGCAGAGGCGAACTTCTGCTGATCAAGAACAAAGAGTATGTCTCCTGTCCGGGCCACCTGGGAGTCAAGATTCCCGCGCGCCAGCAAATCAGTGTGAGAGATGTTGTGTGGGATCCGCCGCAAGTCAATCTTCGTCAGGTTCTGAGATGCCGATAACGCGACCCGACATGGTGATGAGGACAAGAAGTGGTAGGACCGGGAGCTTTTCTCGAAGGACATTCTCCAATGACCCTCAACTTCCTCGACTCTCCTGGCCGTCGCATACTACCACCACAACATTGAATTTGGAGATCGAGATGAAGCCCCGTCTTCGTACCTAATTCCGCCACCACATCGATCCAGGACGCCGGGCAGCTGTGCAATGACCAGCCACCGAATTATTCGCCCTCTTTCACCATCCTTTGACGAGAACCCGCCAATTCCTTGCTCTCCGGGTTGATAAGGGACGTTACAGGCACGGTTCAGCCGGTGTAGGATTCGCCGGTGGGCTTGTTGATGAAATTCATGAGTGGAAAGGGATGCCACCACTCTCGTCATGCACTTTTATTGCTCCCAGCGAGGTTCGATCAGCCTTGGGAACAGCCACGATCAAATCTGGCGTACGGGACAACACAGACAGCGTACGTCGTTGTTGGGACCGAAGAAGACTAGTCTTCGAGATGGCCTGGAGAGGCTTGTGAAGAAATCAGCCGGCGAGCCGTAGCATTCTGGAGTGCAGGTTGTCCTAAAGTGTCTGAAACAGACGGCCAGCTGCAACAATAGTAGAAGAGACAATCTACACAGGCCGACCTATATAGACCGACGATGAAATGGAGCTTGAGTTGGCCAACAAGTGCTCGTAGTCACAGGCTTGTCCCTCTGCTTTTCGCTTGACTACACGACACTCGATGCTTCCCTCCTACATTGCTTCAAGTTGACTTGCTATCGGGAGCCGGACGGAGGTTGGCTCATTGACCTCAAACATGGAAAGAATAGAAAGGGAACCGAGTGGCATCTTTTCACAACACCACGTATTCGGTAATACCATTTTTCATTGTTTTCAGCGATCGAGGGAGGTCGTTTCTTTTCTTTTCCTCTGTACTACTTTTTTTTTTTGGCTGGCCTCACTTCCTCAGGGCGTTCCCCATCTTCTCCCCTCAGCCTTGGTTTAGGTACATTTCTTCACTCTACCCCCTCCGCCTGTCGGCCTCCTTCTTGATCCACTCGGCGGCCTCATCCTTGACCTTATCGTCCCAGCGGCTCAGGGCGCTGCGGCCCTCGGTGATGTCGCCGACGGCCCAGGTCATGCGGGCGTTGTCGAGGGCCTCGTCGACGTCGGTGTCCGGGCAGATGATGTAGAACTGGCCCTGCTGGATCTTGCGGACGCCGTACTCGGCCACCTGGGAGGGCAGCCAGGCGCCGCGGGGCTTGGTCTTGAGGGCCTCGTCGTCCGGCACGGGGCCCACGTTGCCGCTGAGCCCCGTGAACGTCCAGCCCGGCACGAGCAGGTGGGCCGAGACGTGCGGCGCGTAGATGGACGACGACGGCGTGCGCAGGTCGTGCGCCAGCTGCTCCGTCACCGTCTTGACCGCGCTCTTGGACGCGTTGTACGCCGGGTTGCCGGGCGGGTTGGTGATGCCTTGCTTGGACCCCGTCAGCACGACGGCGCTGGGGCCCGTGGTCCCCAGCACCATGGGCAGGAACGTCGTCAGCCCGTGCACCATGCCGAAGAAGTTGACCCCGAGCGTCTTGTGGAAGTATTCGGCGTCCCCCCACGGCTTGGCCGTCCGGATCGACATGCCCGCGTTCAGCATCAGCAGGTCGATCGTCTGGAACTTGCCCGCCAGGTCCGCCCGCACCGCGTCCCACGCCGACAGGTCCGACACGTCGAGCTCGTACGTGAGCGTCAGCAGCTTGTTGTCGATCGATTGGAGCGCCGACGACGCCGCCTGGAGCGACGAGGCGTTGATGTCCAGCAGCGCCACGTGCATGCCGCTGCGCCGACAGTGCTGCGCGAATGCGAAGCCCACCCCAGATGCGCCGCCGCTGATCAAGGCCAGCGCGCCCGAGCGGAAGATGGATGCCATGTCTCCTTTCTTTTCCTGGTCAATGGCCTACTGAGGCTTGCTTCTGATGGACAGCCGAGATGGAAAGAGTGGCTATGGCGAAGAGGAGGGGCACATTGGAGAAGAAGGTCGAAGGCGGAGATGCTCCGGACGCGGCAGGCCAGTTCAACTGCGCATCCAATGACGTCGAAGCTGCGGAATTGAACGACGGCGGGACATAAACACGGTGATAAGCAGTCGAGAGACGGAGACAGGGACAGGCAGATGGTGGGCATATGTGCGATTTCTTGGTTATTCGTGTACAGATCAGTGCTCTGGATCTCTCTGTAAAGGCCCCTTTTGGCGGAGACTCCACGCTTGGGCATCTCTTCTGCAATTACCGCAACGCTAATTCATTGGTGAAGGCTCGCAATGCTTTCTTTCCCCCTTTTTATCCCCGGGAGCCTGCTAACATTCTTTTGTTGGACTCACAACCCCCGCCTCCCAATGCATCGATAGTTCCCCAGCCTTGCAAGGCTGGGGAAATGCAAAAACAACACACGCACGGGTGGCTCGGGTGGAATGCCCATCCGCACGATAGGACCATCACTGTGACGCTTCAACTGCCTCATTCTTTTTGTCCTCGATCTTGGCCTCCTGGAGCTCCTTGGTTGCGTCAGCAACAGCGTCTTTCTCTTGAGCTTCTTCGCCCTCAGCAGAAACAGATCCATTCACGCCTGCATCCTTTGCCGCTACTTTCTTTGCATGGTTGTGACGACCGCTTCGGGCATTGGTCGAGGGAGTCGTGTTCGACGCTTCGAGAGCTTCTTGTTCGAGCTTCTCAATATCCTTCTTGGCCTTTTCGATATTCTTGGGGCAGAGAGTCAGCTCGATTTTCCAACAGTTACAATAGTACGGATCTCACCTTTTGGGTTTGCGCGTCCTGGTCCTTCTTCCACGCGGCCAGTTTCTCTTTGAGCTTCTCAACCACACCAGGAACATCGGCCTGGGTGCTTGGCGGGTCGACTCCAACTTTGGCCAGCTCCTCAATGATTCCAATGTTCATGTTGAGTTTGCCAGAGTCTGCGGGAGTGGGGGCAGCACCTTTCTTGCCTTTGCCTTTCTTCTTGCCACCACTGCCCACGAAGAAGTCTTCGTCTTCTTTCTTCATCACTTTCATGCCTTTGAAGCCAGACTCGTCAACAGTTCGTTGAGCAGTTGCAGCAAATTGGCCGGGGCCTTTGTCGCCTTCATCGGTGTGGTAGGTCGGGTCAAAGTGGCGGATGAGTCCTTCAGCAGTGCGGATTTGGTCCAGGAAAGCGGGTTCAGAAGCCTCCTCGAGCTTCTGCTCAGCAATGCGGCGGCGCTTTTCCTTCTCGTACGCATCACGCTCTGCCTTTTGTCGTTCTCGCCGTTGCTGGTAGACCATGTCTTCATATTCCTTGTAAGCCTTTCTCTGTGCATAATAGTCGTCCTTGACCTTTCTGATGGCTGCATAGGTTGCCTGCTGTTCTTCGTACAGGCGGTCGCGCTCGGCCTTCAGGGTGTCGTAGTTTTTGTTGGTGTCTTCGCGTGCAGCCTTGATTTCGTCGAGCTCTTTCTGATTGTCTTCAAATTTCTGAGACAGGGCTCGGGACTCGGGATTGTCAAACGACTTCTTGAGTTCGGCATTTTCCGCCTTTTTCTCGTCGATCTTCTTTTGCAGGTCATCCAGACCAACAAAGCCCTTCTTTTGGCGGCGGAGTGCAGAGATCTCGGCCAGCGCCTTCTTCTCGTCAACCAACTTCATGTGGCCTGAGTCGACTTGCTTGGTGATGCTGTCGATCCTAGCATCGATCTCCTCGGGGCTCTTGAATCCGGCACGGGTACGAGCTTCCTTTTGCTCGGCGAACAACTTCTTGATCAAGGCATCGTTCTGGTTGAACTTTTCCTGTTGCCCAGCCTTGGCCGCTTTGTGTTCCTGCTGCTTCTGACGAATGGACTTTTGGTCGTCGACCAGTTCTTTGAAGCGATCGTTGGCGGGAGTAGATTTTCCAGGACGGGCGCTGTCGAGCTTGGCTCGGATAGCATTCTGCGAAGAATCAGCTAAAGAGTCCCGTGTATGGTATCAGACTGAGCAGAGAGACGTACAAAGCGGGCCTGGGCAGCCTCGTGAACTTTTTCGGCTTTCGCAACGTCCTCCTTGAACTTGGCTTCGTCAGGCTTTTCAGGTCGCTTGTGGGCGCCATCGGTGGCAGGAGGAGTGTCGACGTCGGCCATTGTGGATGACAGTGGTCGCAGATACCAAAATATGAGTTACCGAAGGACAGGTCGTGGTAGAGATAGTCGGGGCGTAATATATATTCTTCTAATCCATACTAGGGCGTGCCGGTGAAGAGAAGGACTCAGTGAGGGGCACGTGGGAAGAGCCAAAGTCTCCTGGAGTGACAGCAGAGTAACACACGGTGAGAGTGGTATGGCTAGCCGTTGAGACAGGGCGATGAGGTCGTGGTAATGAGGATGAGAATGAAGTGAAGGTTCGTCTCCAGTCGCAGGTGCGGTTCGTTTCGAGTCGAGTCGAGTCGGTGTGGAGTAAAATTATTTTGGGAATTTCGCCTGGTGGTGACGGTGCCGTGGCATCTTGTGAATGGCGTTTCAGAGACTGTGATCGGCCGGAGAGAGGACCGCCATCGATCCACGCAGTTCACCGTATCTGGTACGGTGGACCAGGAAGCTCCCTGCATCCTGAGATCTGTAGTCGACCGGAAAACTTCGGTGCATCATAGACGCAGAAGGATCAACTTCCACCCACTTCATAGTCACCAGTAGTTATTCGTCCTTCCACTGTCTCAACGGAAATCTCCAAGTTATGAGGCCGACCTCCTCCAGAGATGTGGCCAAGAGTTTGCCCACAGTCGTGCTATTCTGACGAACGGGAACCGGGACGCAGGTGCCCGCAAGTTTGCTGTCCGATTGTTCTCTTCTGCCCTCTGCTAGCTGAACGTGTCGGGAGCGTGCACCAGACAGGGTATACGCAGCCTGTGTAATGATCGCCTCCAACAACAAGGCAAATCAGGCACAAAGGACCGTTGAGGTCGTGATCGCTTGGGACCGCACGGCAGACGATCTATGCCACGCTGAAGAGCAACACCGCGTCTAACCAAGTCCCTTTAAGAATCCGAGTCGACCTCGACGAGGGTCAGAAAGTCGTCTGCTGCAGCGTTAGCTGCATTCCATCTGCTGTTGGCACCAACTCACCGGTGTCTTGATGTCTTCGTCTCAAGCATGGTGTCTTGGAATCTTTGGTGCAGAGACTTGAGGGCCGACCGCGCCATGTCGACCGAAGATTTGGACGTCTTGGAGCGAGTGTGCCGAGCTGTCCTGGAAAAATGTTGGAGCTTTGCAACGCTCTGCAGGCCGGAGGTGTTGAGCTACGAATTCGTCTCAGAATCCGATCCTTGGTGCTCCGCGGAAGTTGCACTAGATCTGGTGGAAAAAGATAAGTGAACAGGGTTAGCTCGACGTCTAGAATATGGCGGAGCGAGTCTCGGCAAAAGAAGACGACGGATGTGGTCGACGGTAAGGTTCCATTTCCTGTCTCGACAATTACGGTAAAATTTACGATAAATTTCGCATCCACAGGTGGAATTGGATATCTAATGGGCCCTTGGTCTGAGTTGCGCTCGACTACCACTGTCACAAGGTAGCTTTGCCTGTGTTGTCTTCCGTGATTACTTCCACTGCACCCTTCTCACTGCAACTACTCTTTATTTCTTCCCCTTGGTTGTTCACACATTATCGTGTTCTCAACACTCTCCCAGGATTGTCTTCTGGACGTCATCATCATCATTCTCTTCTGTCACGCCCTTACAACCTTTCTAAGTCGGAGCTTCGAGTCGACATCGTTCCACCACATTTTCAGACCTCAGAATACCCAAAGAACTCATTTCTTACATTTGTTATGGCGCTAGTACCTCGTCTGCCGGTTGCCCCCGCTGCCCTTCCAGCAGTCGCTGCACCACTACCATTGACGAGTCTCCCCACAGAAGTCCGTCTCCAGATCTACAAGGAGGTCTTCAGCAAGATTGAACTTCAATATGACGTCTGCGAGAAAGTGGAAGGAACAGTGGGCCAGAATGGTCGCACTCAGTGGGTCGCCCGTATCTTGTGTCATACCCGGTTCAGCCCTCGTCAACCTCTCGCCATTTTAAGCACCAATAAACAAATCATGCTGGAGGCACAATCCTTTGCGATCAGCTGCCCAATCTTCGCTCAGGCCAACTATTCAGGCATAGTGCGCTCGCCGATTCGGTTGCCTCTTCCCATCCATGTGCGTGGCCAGGTTCGCTCACTCGCCACCACGGGAACTCCTCAAGCTCAACCATGGACCCTTCCTCTGGATGCGCGTCAGTTGCAGGCAAACGAATATCCGAACTTACGGTGTATCGAGCTTTGGCATCGTACAGAAATGTTGTACGTAGCCAACAATTTCATTCAACCCCTCTTGCGCGCGGGGATGCCTGAATTCATGCTGCCGCGCCACTCCATGGTGGACTTTGAGCAAGGGCGCCTCGGGGCCCTTGAACCGATGATTCGACTGAATGACGCCACCGTCAAGTTCCGAATCTGCCTCGTCAATCACCAGGGAAGCTTCGTTCGCAACGGTGACGAGGACAGATTGGAGGCGGTAAGCATCTTCTGAACAATCCAAATGCTCACGCTAATGTTCTTGCAGACCGTCGTCTGGAACCGACAGGGGATGCGGGTCATGGGCTTGACGCCCGTCAAGTCAAACAACACCGCGGCGAGAAATTGAACCGGGCGATACGCTACTGATCTGGTCGATTGTCAGATACGAGAGGACGTCGGGTGCAGTGGGAGGCAGCGATGATGGATGTCTCGCGTTTACCTCCTACGGAAAGCTTGGGGAGAGGGGAGGGCGACTTTGTCGATATTGAGCGGAGGTTGGGACCGGACCTTGATCCCTGAGCATGACTGCCGGCAGCTGAAACAAAGCTGCTCGCGAAACCAAGCCCCTAGATAGCAATCAAAGGATGATGATGGAGCTGCACACAATCGACCTGAAGTGTTTGACGGTTGGTCGATCGGTGAATCTATTTTTCCGATCCGATGCACAAGGCTGCAAGCCGCGACTTCATCCGCCGAGGATTATCCAGAATTTTTTCCTCAGCCCGCGGCTGCGCATCTACGAAAACATCCACGAAAACAGCCACTCTTCTGACAGTGTCTCGCTCTCTAAGATTTCATTTGCGTCATTCCCCTAAGTGCCATAAAGATGGATCTCGATGATAGGCCAAGGCTCTCAGTCGAAGCTGAAAAAGAGGTGACTAGATTATGGCGAACTTGGAGGACCGTGTTGGAGATGCTTGTGGACAGAGTATGAAAGAAACGAGTTGGCTCTACACCGTCGTGCCGAAACTGACATAATCCCTAGGGCTATGCTATCGCAGAAGATGAATTGAAAATCTCGCGCGATCAGTTCCAGCGCAAGTTTGGCGATCCTCAAAGCGGCTATGCTGAGTGAGTCTGAGGTGAACTCCAGACGATTACTTTCTGATTCTCACACTCTACAGGAGGAGGCTCATGAAACTCCAAGCTGTCCCTACTGAAGAGATGATCAAACGCGACACCCCTCGGGCTACGAAAGCCAATCCGAACCCACAAACCACCGCCGGCACGATCTGGGTCGAATTTAGTCCCGAAACAACCATTGGTATCAAACATCTGCGCGCGTTTGCCCAGCACCTTGATGCGAGCAAGTTCACCACGGGGATCTTCATTACCATCGGCCCAGTGACAGCTGCTGCCTTACGCGCCTTCGAGCCGCTTACCGAACGGGGAATCACCGCCGAATGGTTCCAAGAGCAGGACCTCCTTGTCAACATTACACGGCACGAATTAGTGCCTAAACATGTACTATTGAGCGCAGAAGAGAAAAAAGTGCTTCTGGACAGGTACCGCTTGAAGGAGACGCAGTTGCCCCGCATCCAATTCAGTGACCCTGTAGCCAAATATTTGGGCTTGAAGAGAGGCAACGTGGTTAAGATTATCAGAAAAAGCGAGACTGCGGGAAGATACGCTAGTTACCGATGGGTTTTCTAGTGATCACCAAGACTATTTCGAAAAGCGCGGAGTTTAGGGGCTTCGGCGAGAGGGCTAAAAGTGCATTGTGCGGCGTTTGATTTGGCTGGCACATGAAAACAGCCTGAAGGCTTGTTAGCACGAAGGGATCAATGTCACCTAGGTATTGTCGAACAGCATCGACACGCATCTTGCAATATCGAATTTTTGGAAGGCAGCACCAAACCTCCGGTTATGCGACTTTTCCTCCGGCTTGCATTCGTTCCTGGCTCTACACCACATGCCAAATCAAGAGCGTTGAAATGCAACGCTTCAGTACTTCCGCCATGCCCCAACGCTCTGCGTGCCACTCCACATTGTCGGTTGGATAGACCCCGTCTGCGATGAAAGCCCAGAATGAACCTCAACTACTCTTCTCGCCCAGCACGCGTTGACCAATTCTGACCAAGTCCTGATTCTGCAATGGGTCCTTCTCAAATCCGTTGAGTACTTGGTCCAACATGGCAGCCGAGACGTCCACAACGGTCACGCTAGGCAACGAGGCCACGAACCAGAGTAAGGTGGCTCTTAGCCAGTGAAAGATACTCCCTGGTTGTGTAATCAGTCCTGGTTTCGCTACGGTGGCCTCGATCTCGCCCGGGTGGGAAGACGCGAAGGCCAGGACTTGATTCTCGGTCTCGCCCTATCGAGGAAGTCAGAGCTTTCAGCGGCGGCTGTCTTGGGTGATCAAGCCAGGAACTCACGCGCATCAAGCAATATTTGGGCATGAATGTGGGTGTTTTTGTCTGGTCTCGTTCCGCAGCCATGCCGCTCATGTACAGGAAACGGCAGGGCGTCGATTTGCTTGCGGGGTTGCGGGCTTCAAATATTGCTTCGAGACCAGCCATGGTATACTCGTGGCAAACTCGATAGACCTCGTCCCACGGCATGGTTTTGGACTTGCTGGGCGTGATCGCGAGGGTCCTGGAGATGGAATTCAGCCTCTATCATGTTGCTTTTTTGGTACATGGAAGCGCAGCAAGACGGGAGTCACGGACCAAATACAGGCGTCTGCCCCCTCCAATTGCTCCTTCACATCGTCCGGGTACTTTGCAAAGTCTTCAAGCACCACGCTCTTCAACTTGGCCGTGTCCGCTCCGGGCCCCAGGTTGTCGGGGACCGTGATAGGGCGACGAGCCAAGGCAACCACCGTAGTTATGCTCGGGTTGTTCAGGCATTGGCGGATCAGCTCCGTCGCGACGAATCCGGTCGCTCCAGATATGATGAGCTTCATGGTCACACACTGGCTTCGAGATCTCGTTTCCCTTGGATCGCGATGCAGTGACACATTGCTGTCTGGGAGGAGATAGACGGGAAAGTTGTGCTGTGTACCAGGTAATAATGTGGATTTACGAGTACGGGCTCCGGTAGGGGTAGAACCGACGTGGGTGGGTGGCCTGAATAGCCCGGATTAGGCACATTAGCCTCGCTAATCTGCATTAAAAGTGCGAGCTAAGTGCACTTCCGCCCACCATGCTAACCTCTATCTTACTAGTGACTTGCGTAAATACGCCAAACCTTCCAATTCCAAGGTGCATAATTCTCGACATACCGCCCGACAGCCTCGTCAACACCACTGTGCAACTGAGAGCATTGTCATCAGGAGCCTGGCATCAAACTCTGTTCTATCTACATCGCGACATCTCGTCGCTGTACGTGGTCATGGCGTCAGCGAATGTTTGGTTTTCCCGTCGTTCATGAAATCTAATCAATTCTCCAATCCGCCTTGTTTCTTCAACTGCACCGCCCCCAACGACATATTTTTCAGCCTGATCGCAAAACTTCTTTTCGGCCCAATCCATTCACTCACCGTGACAAGGCAGACACGGCAGGAAAGGCGGATTTGACTGCGAGCAATGGAACTCTTTCCAATGTCGCCCTGGGCGGCGTTTCATTTCAAACCACTCGAATTTGGTACACTAACCCAGAGATGTCCGTCAGGCTGAGGCAACTCTGAATGTGGCTTGCATCAAGGCTTCGTGGCCCTGTACGATTGGTCAATGCAGCCGCTGGAGCCTGCTAATTATTGCCGATCTCCAGGTATATTGCGTCCGCATAAATCTCACGCCTGAAGCCAGACTCCAGCCTCAAGACTCCCTCGACGAGTGCGACAGGGCTTCAATCCATTTCTTTCTTGCTTCATTATTTGCGCACTCATCCTGGCCGAAAACCGGCTCCTCCACAAGCTGGAGCTGAGGGCTCAACGAAAATGGACACGGTATCCCGCGATTCAGCGAGAGTGGCCGTCTCTCAGCCTCAAATTGCGACACGAACCCACCTCATACCACATACCTTAAGATGTTATTCAGTGCCATTCCTCACTGTCTTGCCCCTTGGCCGCGTCATTGGCGCTGTCGTCCTCTATACCGCCACCGCGAGCAACGAACAAGATCACCTATCAAGCCCCCTGATCACCAACATGCTTGATGTGAATATTTTACCGAGCACCTTGATCCTGGTAGCTTTCCGTTACTTCTCCCTGAAGGTGGAACAAATGAAAGTCCCTACCGCGAAGTCGAAGAGCTCAAGGCCAGAGCAGGCTCGCGGCGTACGTTTCAGCTTCCTTTCTTGGCCCCGGAAACCCATATCCCATAACACAGAAGCTATACTTGATATGGTTTTTTGGACATGCTTTGTGTTCGCAATCCTCGCATTAAGCATGGAAACTATGACGCTAGCTAGCCGTCTTACTAATATTGAAGATTTAAAAGGGCAAAAAATAATTGCCTCACTTCGGAGGCTGGTAGACTGGCTGGTGACGTTTGTCATCTTCTGTCAAGCCATTCTGGTCCTCTGTTACACTTGGCTTGTATTCGGGGCTTCCGGGGTGCTTTCTAGGTCCTTATCTCGGGCCTGCGAAGGCATATTCACCACCATAAAAGTGATACTTTCAATAGTTGCTTGGCCATGCTTTGCGTTGCCAATGCTCCTATTCAGCACGGATACCATTACGCGAGCTGGCGGTCCTGCCGATGCCGATGCTGAACATTCAAGAGAGCAAAAAAAAGCTGCCTCAATTCGGACGCTGCTAGATTGGTTGTTGACGATTACCGTTTTCGGTCATCATGCCATTGTGATATTCTATCACATTTGGTTTATGTTCAAGCTTCGGAAAAGATTGACCTTGTTTGATGAAATTACCGCCTCTTCTGTCACTTTGGAGACCGAAGCGAGGCCACAGATTCCGATGCAAGAGATTCCGCATCAAACAGCCAGCATGGATACATTGTGGTACAGACGTTCGGGAAAATCACACAATATTCGAATTGCAGATCGTAACTCGACGCTGTCCGCAGGCCTGACCTCGATTGGGAGAGGGGTGGTCCCAGACGCAAACCAGCCTCATCGTGAAGAACCAATCTCCCAAAGTCGATCAAAACTGCACAACAAACCCCAACCGCAACTCGTGACCTGGAAATGTTCTTGTGGATCGAGCCTGTCAGACTATTATACAGATATCATACCAGGAAGCGTCCAGAGGCTGCAGGAGCAGCTGATAGAAGAAGCTTCGCCTCATTCCAGAAGGTACAGACTACTGTTTTCAAACATAGTAGCCTTGATCGCCTCCAAATTGACAACAAGGGCGACTTCTCCTCAACAATCGATTGATTCAAAGCAGGGGCCTCTAGAATCCCCATCATCATCATCAGCCGGGGTTCGAGCTCAAAGTCATACTCTCGGCTCTGGCGCTGGAGGACCTGCCCAAACTTCACCCTTTTATCTCTCTTCTCCTGGAATCCCCAATCCTCAAGAGCAGACACCGGCTTCACTAGTCCAATACCTTCTCTTGTGTTTTCCCGAAAGGTTATGCGGCTTGAGACTATACCACCAGCAACTTTTACAAACTCCTGGGTCAGCTCAGCTTCCCAATTACGTGGTGAACGACAATCAACTCTTCCGCCTATTGCGACGAAAGTATTCAGCCGAGCGGAGCAACAGTGTCTCGCGATTCTGGCCAAAGACAGTAATTCGAGTATCGCTGGCTCATTTTCTTGTGGACTCATCGGACCTGGTCGACCTTCGACACTATGCATGCCTCGGGGCGGCTGCCTATTGTAAATGCATTCCGCCGGCCCATGATAACTCATATCACTGCACTCCGCGGCCTTCACCGTATACTCCTCCCATTGGTACAAACTACCTGACACACCTCTTCCAGCACCCGGAATGCATCAAGAGCGGCAATACCCGCATACTCAACCAGATTCCTAAACGGCTCGGCCAATGTATCGCCACCTCTGGGGCCGAGGCGATCGAGGGCTGGGGGATAGAGTTCGAAGAAGGTTGGGACCGTGGCCGGCTCGGGAACGCGGCGTTTCTCGTCGTCGTGGCTGGAACTCTACTGTTTGCAGTGCTATGGGCCGTCCTGAAGCGAGATATACAAAGTGCGTTTACGGTCTCGGCGTATTTCGTCTCGATAGTGGCGATGGTGGGCGCATACATGGCTTCCACGGAGCCAAGGTTCGTTCACAAATGACACAAACACGGTAGATGACAGCCACGAACGATATAATTGACAGCGTGGCGCCCTCCAAGTGTGTCACCACCTACATCTAAGAGTTGTAGCATCAAGAGTCTACGCCTTGTATCATGGTATTCGGTATAATGTTCCTGCCCTGCCAATGTTTCCCCTTGCCCTGACACAACGACGCCAACGCCCAACAACCGTCTAATGCTCAAAGGATGATCTAGCCAGTCTTGATTCCTCATAGAGTGATCTCCAAGCAAACGTTGTTTTTCTTGTTTCTGAGTCTCGTGTTTATCCACAACAGCAGCCTCTTCGTCCTATGTTTATTCTTGAAAGCTGTTGAGCGCGATGTTGGACGAATTCTTCGACGAGTCTCCTACTCGGCTGTACTGTCGGCGGTGGCGGAAGGCCATGAACTCGAGACCGAGGGCCAGCACGGCCGAGACGATGCCGACGGCGATAGCAATGCCGGTGTCGTCGCTGAGCAAGGCACCCCTAGGTCAGACTGTGCGTTAGCGGCCATGGTTGCGTGTCAGCCGTGAGCTCCGTGTTTACTTACAGGATGGCATTGACCATGCCCGCGTAGATGAGAACGCGGCCAAGCCAGATGTGGAAATGCGAGGGGACCGTGCGGCGGCCGACCTTCTTGTAGTTGAGGTGGTGGATATAGCCCATGACGACCTGGAAGGAGAGGACGGCGACGACGCAAATCCCCAGGATCTGATGGGTCTCGTCAAACGCCGAGTATTCGACCCCGGTGATGCTCAGGGCGATCGCTACCGCCAGGCCAAGGTATGCCCCGACCGTCGCGAAGAGTTGGAGCATCCAGTGCACCTTGAAAGCGATCGACCATCGCCACCGCAGCCCGAGGACGCCCACGGGGAACACAATGACGAATGCAACGCCCAGGAGGATTGCGTGTGCGTAGACGAGGCCGTGGTAGTAGTCGGGCTGACCTTCTGCCGAGACACTGGACGTGCCTGATATGCTTGGGACGGTGGCGACTGCGTTCTGTGTCGCGGTCATGTCGACAAAGAAAACGCCTGCGGACGAGGGTCAGCAATACATCCCCACCGGTCGCGCTACGAGTGTGGTTAGACCGACCATAATGTGAATGTTGGTCGATTTCTGCATCGATGGAGTTCGACTGGACTTGCTCATTCGGCCCAACCGCCCATATCCATGATTGCTTCGTTCTTGTCACATCGACTTTGTTGAACTTGTGGCTTGAGCTCTGGTACCACTGTATAGTTGCTGTCATCTTTCCGTTCTCGACCTCGGAGTTGAGCACGGTTGCATTGACACCAGACACGGGCTCCGGCGTGTCGTGGCCACTGTTGAATGAGGATCAGTTCAGGGACTAGCGACAGCCCATCTATGTGGGATGTGGTATCTGGTACGGACCTCGAGGTTCTCACGCTAAGCGTGACGCCTGTACATGCTTGTCAGCGGCTGCCAGGGTTGGAGTACGCATATAAATAGAGACGGAAGTACTCACCATTGCCTTGGCCAGAAGGATATATAATGAACATGAGGGAGTCGTGCATCCGGTCGCCGGTGCCTACTGCGGCCCAGCCGTAGGACGTGGGCGCCGAGATCTGCATGTTGAACTCCTCGGCGGCGGCGTTGCCATTATTGCCGGTAGAAGATATGGCAAACCCAAAGTTCTCTGATTTCTCGTAGAATTGTGCCTGTTTGGCGAAAGAATAGGCCGCGAATGCTAAAGTGGTTCTCGGTCAGCTCGTTGAGGGTGGAAAAAGTATTGGTATATTTTGAGCCACTCACACGACAGGAGTCCAGAATATGCAACAAGTCTCGTGAGCATCTTCATGTTGGTGACCAGGAAAAACCCGTTAATTGTTGAACACCCGAACAACGCTCTCTGCAATTGAGGGTTCTATATGGGAAAGGGAATCCCAAGCTGCATGTTGACGGCGGCAAGGAGCTTATAAGTACCACATTGCCGTGGCGATCGAAGCCCCTGCCGAGCAAAGCTTGCGTGTGCTGTTCTTGTCCTTGCAGGCATCTGCATTGAGGCTGAGCGCGCGAGCGCGTTGGCTCGCTGATATCATACGACCCAAGGTCGTTGTTCTCCACTCGTTGGCCAATGAAAGCGTGTGTATTTGTCAGAGCTGAAGGCCATCGGCACAGCTGAGAATTCTGGACAAAGGGGATATTTTTGTGCCGAGAAGGACGAGATATCAGATTAGATATTGAGCTGAGGATGGTTGTTGGAAATGCTGCGTGATGCCAAGTATGGCAGGCGTTCCAGGTGCCAAGATGCTTCCCCAAGTAACTTTTCAAGCTTGTCGGACGCTAGCCTTTTCAGGCAGCCGTATGCTTGGCTTCAAAAGATGAGTAAAAAACTGCTCGGAGCTCATGTGCGACTCACCCCAGCCGTGCCGTTTTTATAACCACTCACCCCTCCCTCTCCCTCTTCCCACGCACCCCGCACACCTCCACACTCACCCTTCATCCTGACCCAGCTCCACCGCATGTAGCGCCAACCAGGACCTAAAGTTTGCGGCGCGGCGCCCGTTCCCTCTTTGACGCCTTTTTCAACTTGCGACCACTTTCCTGGATCTCAGCTTAGGCCGGCCTGGCCTGTTGGGAACACTGTAAACAACTGTGTAGTGAGAATGGCATCCATTTTTCCGTAACAACGATCGAGGATTGAAATTGCCGGAGCAGATGTCATGTGTATTATAGAGCCACATGATTCAATTCTCACCATATTTCTGTGTATTCATGCGCGAGGAATAACGGTTCCAACCATGTCATACACAAATTATATGACCCTGGAAGCCGGGCCTATATTAAGGCCTAACCTAATGTAATGATGTAGGCGGACATGAAGGCTTCTAGCCATAATGTTCTAGGTGATATTTGCACGGTTTCCTCCTTGTCATTTCTTTGATGGTAGATAAATGCACAACTCGTCCTCCCCTATCTCCACACTTTCGTACTCGACCTCTTCCTCCAAGTCCTCGTCGATTTCGTCTTTCGTCGCTTCGACAAGGACCAATGGCTCCTCCCTTTTGTCTCCGGCACCGGTCAGGAACGCGCTCTTATGGCTAAATAGCTCTGTCTCTACCCCTGCCCTTCGAGTTCGAATAACATTGAGCCGATACGCGAACACAATCCCCGGTGCCGTGTCGTACGAGTCGGTAACCTTCTTCTGGCCGTCGTGCTTCACTTCTCCCCCAATCTCAATGGGCACAGTCGCTGTGGGCGGCCCGGACCCCTCGGCTGTCACTGTAAAATTGGAGGAATTTCCCTTCGCTACCGTAAATGATGACGTGGCTATGCGCAGTCCCGAGACTATGTAGACGGCGCGCTTGCCAAACATGCCGGAGTCGATTTGGGCGCGCACGGCTGGCAGATTGGCAATTGCGGTCACCGTCTCTGGCATCAGCGGATCGGAGAAAGACTGAATTTCATGATCTGTTTCACTGTAGTCGATGCTATTACTCTTCCCGATGTCAGCGCTGGCTGATGCAGAGGCGGTTCCTTCGAACTTGAACCACAGGCTCTGGCTAGTGGACCGCGATTCTGAGCGGCTGTGGATGTGATTTGGTTCGACGATAGTCTTGGTGGTTGGCAGCTTGATATCGCTTGCCGTGCCGGAGCCTACAGCCGCGAGGACAGTGGTCGGCTTGAACCAGTGTGGAATTACCATGCCTAGACGGAGCGGCCCATCAGTGGTGAAGGTGAAATCCGGCGGGAGAAACCACGTTCCAGGCATCGCGGGCTCGTGTCGTTGCTAAGGGTCTGAACTGGATATTCCACGGGTTGGTTTTGAAGCATCAAAAGAGACAAGCTGAACTCTTGTTGCACGCCAAGCCATCTCGCATGAACCACCAGGTGACTTTTTGAAACTGTAATCCTTTGAGGGCTTTGGGCGGCCGAGGGCATCAATGGCCGCTGCGTATGAATATCTTGTGGTGATATAGTTTTGCCTCGCGTTTAGCGACCCTGTTTTCCAACGTGTCTAGCCTTCAAATGGTGCTCAGATGGAGATTTCTGTTTCTTAGACGGCGTGCCGCCGGGTTGCCATTGCTCATCTCCCATCTAAAGTGGCGAAGACATGTTTGGTTTCTGTCGTGTCCCGAACTTCAAGGGCTTGGTGCAACAATTCCCGGTAATAACATGTAATTCTTATTCATGAAACCAGCAGCTTGCTACGCTAGCATACGTGGACTATTCCTCGTTATTCATTTCTTCAACCACCCGGCAAACGGAAACAAAAACTTGCAAATCTTTCTCTTTCTCTCCCCAATACCATATGGGGTTGATAAATTGCTCTCGATAGCCAGTATTTAGCGACATGGCATGCAGCATCCGCTCCATCCCTCTCTTCGTGTAAAGCTTAGCGCACTCCTCTTCAGATCCCTTGAGTTTGAGCAGAGACGGCAGTGCTGCGATGTACGAGAGGGTCATGGCGACAATCCCAGCCGCAATCGCGGTAGCAATCGACGTTCCTGCGCCGAGATCCACTTTGGGGAAATGATCTTGGATTTCTTTGGTGATGGACGGCGGGATGTTTGTGCCGTAAGTGCCAAGTTTCATAGGCCCTTTTCCAGGATGGGTAGGATTTGACCGTAAGAAAACTCCTTCCGAATCGGCGGCATGGATGGGTATGACGTCTTTGTGACTGGCTGGGAAATCTTTCCTTCTATCCCACGAGTTCCCAGCGCTTGCGAGAAACAATACGGAACCATTACGATCCTTTCTGACTTTTTCGATGGCATCTGAAATGACCGTATGTGTCCTCCCGGGCTTATCAGGGAACCCAAAGGACATGGAAATGACATCAACTTTCCATTCAGGGTCTAATCCCGCGTGCTCGATTGCCTGGCCCGTGGTCAGCACGTTGTCAAGGAACAGCTGCGTAGCGCATACCTGGGCAATATTCTCCTCGTTGTTCTCCAAGTCATCAGTATTCTCTGCCACACGAATCAAGTAGATGTCGACTATTGGCGCAACATGCATGAGCAGTCGTGCCATGAATGTGCCGTGGCCAAACGTATCAATTTCTCTCTTTGATCCTGCAGCGGCGAAGTCCTTCCAGCGCTTAAGCCTGTTTGACCTTTGGGAATTTTGAAAGAAAGGCAGATCTGCCTTGCATCCGGTATCCAGGATCGCAACTCGAACGGGGTTTTCGATCTTCGCCAGTCGTCGACAGCGCGTTATGTGCCTCGCTATAACCTGGAGATCCTGAAGGAACCCCTCTGTACTGCTTGAATGGCCAGAGTGGAACGCAGGGTGTGTGCTAGTTTCCCTCCAGAAGCATTGGAGCTCCTCATTGTCCGCCAACATCGATTTGCGGCGTATTTTCTTCCGTATTGGGACCAATGGCATTTCTTCCGTGTCCTCGAATCCTACCGTAGCTAACCAAAACAAGGGGCGGACAACCTTTCGGTACAGAGCATCTCTCCTTTCTGACAGCGGCGAATCCTTGGCGTCTTCATTGTCATCACCCGAATGGCTTCGGTGTCGGGATTTTCGGCGTTCTGCAGTCTCTTTGAAGCTGGCAGAGTCCAAACAGCTCTCAACGGCTTCTATAAAGTAGTCCTTCCACCGAAAGCCATCCCACCTCGCATCCTTCAATTCCTTCACCTTCATCTTGGCTTTGACATGGGCCGTGTTTGTATGTGCGAGAAGGCTGAGTTTTGGGTCGTGTTCCAGTCCCAGTGCCTGACCAAGGCCGATTTCCAGAAGAACAATACCCAAGTAGAGTATTCGTGGATACCGATGAGTGTACTGATCCTTGTCGTAAAACTCTGCTGGCGATTCCTTGTACCGGGACCCGAAAGGGAACGAAATGAAGGCTCTCAGGGGGATTTTTTCTGACGGTGAGAATTTCCCATCGAGAGGGATGAAAAAGATGTCTTCACTTGTCCATCTAGCGTTCATTAGTTCCGAATTATAAAACCGCCAGAAGGCTCGAGCTATGACATAAGACAACTTGATCTTGTGCTCGACCGTAAATTCGGTCAGGTTGAACAATTCCGAAAGTGGGACGCCACAACCTGATATAATATGCTGAAGCTGCCCGGGTTCTCGCCGTTCGTAAAGATGGCAGTCTTCATCCAGATCTGATATGTTCAGCCAGTACTTTGTACGCAACAAACGAAAGAGAATATTCAGCATTTAGAGTTTGCCTCCATGCACTAGGAATCCCACCCCTTGTATTTACTGCATGAGAAAGGTGCATCTCTTGATGCTTTCTCAATTTGGCGAAAAATCACAAAAGTGGTAATTCTGTCCAAAGAATTGGATCGTTTTCTCCTCTCCCGTATAGCTTCTAGCCCTAGAAGGGAAAAAAAAGGGGGGGGGGGGGGTTGGTGAACAGGTTGCTGTTACTGTTTCTGGAACCCGTGGCTATCTTTCCCGGAATCTGAGAGATACCGCCCCAAGGAATTCTCCAGGTGGATCATGAGACAACGATATTCGAATGGGAAAGATTCAAGCTCGAGAGGAGCGTCTCCAGCGCCACCAAAATCCAGGAATAATGAGGTTTCAGCTTACCCAGATAAATTTTCGCATAGTTTGGATTTTCGAGATGCTTGCACATTTCACCATACTCCATCAAGGATGACTCAGAAGGATCAGAGTCGACTCTGTTGTCCTGCTGGAACTTCTGCGTGGCTTTTGGTTCGAGATCTTTTCTGCATCTTATTAGCTGATTTTGACTACCTAAGCCCTAGCAGGGTTTCTCAGGGAAGAAACATGTCTGTCACACTCAAGGGAAAGATGGGTCTCTGGTCGTCAGGGACTTTTAACACCTGGAGAAACGACAACACGTTTACTTTTCCCCATGCACTGCGTATGCTCAGGTGAGAGAATCACGTCTCCCGACGACTGGGAGGGGCTTTCGAAGATAAGCAATAACTTACATTGGAACGCTGATGGCGACTTCCTGCCAGTAAGTCATCTTCGAAGTTGCGATTATTATGTTGAAAAGGGCCAGTTGGTTTTTGGAGCGAAATCCAGAGTTGAGGCAGAGCCTGGTGAGGTGCCAATCATTTTCCGTTGAACCCTCGAGCACCGGCATCACATGATATTCTTGCACACAAGATGCATGGCTCTTGACTCCATTGAGGAGCAGCTTGTGAACTCCATCGGGATACAGATCCCTCGCAAGAGGCCTTAGGTGTGAGTAAGCGTCGAAATCAGCAGTAGTACCCTGCAGTTCCCGTGCATTCTTCGTGAGTCTGTCGGAAAGCTCGATAAAACGTGATAGGAAAGGCTCGATGGTACCGGGTCGTTCTTTGCAAAACTTGGTAATTGATTGCCGCACTCGATCTTTCGAATCTTCGACTTTAAACAGTTGAACGAGAACATCGCGCAGCTCCTGGGGGCTCTTCTTCAAATAGAGGCGTCCCCTCGGAGCTGAAAGCGTTTGCCACTAATTTTTTCATGACTTTACTTCGCTGGTCCAACGCTCGGGTCCGTGACTGAATTACCTTGCAGATTTCTAATAGATCATGCAGCGCCCGCAGAGAAAGATTTTGAGTGTCCGGCGGAAGTTGATAGAGACCCTGAGTCGACAAATGTGGTGCGATGTAGAAAAGTCGAGAGGCAATGTTGGCCGCTAAAGCGCTCTTGTTCGCGACGGCGATGGGAAAGAGAACATTGGATGCCTCCAGAGCCACTGAGGCCAGGAGTTCCGAGGCGAAAACGCGGTTTTTCGAATGCTCCATGATGACATGAGGGAGGAACCGCCTGGTGCTGCGGGAGCACAGATAGCGTCATCAGCAATGAAGATGACTTCGAGATGAGGCCGACAGAGCGAGCTCTTGGTGATAGGGTGAAAGGGCGACAGGGCAGGTTGAAGAAGGACTCAGCTTCAGCCCAGCACGTGGCCCCGCTTCGGGCCTGGAAATCGCCGGGAAACCTTCTGTATTCGGCTCTCGACAATATCCCAACGACGTCTGATGCCGCCAACATCTACAGGGCGAGGTCAGCAAGAATGGCTTCCGCCTTGGATCTCACTTCAGAAGGATCTCCGACTGGCGCGGTGGTGAGGTCATGCTTCGAGGAGTTCAAACAATGCATCCAACAGCTGGAGGGCAAAGACAAGATCCATGTCCAGACCAGATTTGCTGATCTGCGGCTCTGGGCTGACAGCGTTGGGGCTACCGCGCAAGCGAAGGCTTCTCTGGATTGGAGATTCCAGCACCGACCCAATGACCTTTATTTCATCCGGGGACATCTTTCAATGCTGGAAGGCTTTCTGAAGGAATGCTTTGCCGCGGCAAACGACAAATCTGATATCTGCGATATAATTGCCAATATCGACTCGACTGTGGACAGCCTGGCCTTCATAGGAGTTCAGATTCGGCGAAGTGGCCGCAAATCTCGACTTCGAAGAGCGGATGATTCCTTTGATCAGAATCGGGACGAGTATCGCAAGCTCAGAGCGCATCTCGCCTGCATCGTCGCGTCGAAGCCAACCAAGGAGGGCAGACCGAAAGACGAAGGGAAAGAGATCCACAGTATTGACTACTTTGCCAATCTGAAACTCCCACAAATCCAGGAACGCCTCGTCGAGGCCAACCTAAGACGGCGACATAGGTTCATAGAAGCCCAGAGACATTCTCACGGGCTGAAGGATCCTTCCACGAAGCCTTCTCATACCATATCCCAACAACAGTTTATCGCCATGGCAGCAATCCACACAAATCAGGAAGTTAGCCCGATGCAGGGCAAGAGGGAAGCTACTACAATGCGACAGAAACAAGCACATCCGACTGGTCCGAGGACAGACGTTCCCACGATGCCCGCGACATCGGCTTCAGGCATAGATTCGACATGGGGAGGACTTCGGAATAAACGTCAGCCCGGATCAACAGTCACTCGAATCACGGCCATTACGGCTGCTGCAAGATATCCCAGGGCGCAAACTTTATCGAATCCGGACCAGCAGTTGGTCAAATGCCCCTGTTGCTGTCAAGCCATCCCGGCCACTGAACTGGAAGACAGTCAATGGAGGTAAGAGTTTCTTCCACCGTTGGATCAGGATGCTAATGAAATCAGAAAACATGTGGCGAACGATCTATGCCCGTACACCTGCGTCCTCGAGGACTGTCCAACGCCGTACAATCTCTTTGTAACGCAGAAGGAATGGAACGACCATGTCATGAACGACCATCCCCCTCAATGGCAATGCCCTTGCTGCGAAGGCGACCCTCCTATGTTCAAGTCGCTCTCTAGCATCATAAGTCATATGGTGTCCAAACACCCGAATGTTAATTCTAACAATCTTGAGGACTTGTTATCAAGTTCAGAAATCAGTGTGATGGGAATTACAAAATGCCCCTTATGTGATTCTGAGGGGCCTCAGGACTCGCCAGATCTCGTCGAACATGTTCTGCATCATGTACATGAGTTTTCTCTCCGTTCCCTTCCTTGGCCCATGGATCCAACTATCAGCCTAGAGAAACCCGTTGGGATATTCGATATGAGTCATGCAGAGAAAATCATCAGAGATGATACAGGCAATGAACATATTTTCCACATTGCTGAATGGGCTGAAACTGTGGTTCCAATCTTCGACCTGAGCCGCGGGGTCAAAATCTTCAATGATCCTGAAGGCAACGAGCTCGATATGGACATTGCTGGGTGGCCCGAAAACACTACACTGGAGGGCGAACTATCGTTGCAACTCTGCGATATCGACCAGAATCCACCAAAGACCAGCGAAGAAGAGTCGACGCTAGACACCCCTTCCAACAAGGATTATTTCTCTCAAAATGAGTATTTCGCGGATGAATCTAGCGATGGCCGGTTTCCTTCTCAAACCTCTCGCTCGTCCCAGCAGACGCAAATTATTGACTTCTTCGGTGAAAGCTTCCTTGAAGATCAATATGCGGATGACTCTTCCGAACAAGACCGCGACGTCAATGAAGCCTCTAGACCTCAGCATATGACGATTCGGTATAAGAGGACGAGTGAGATCAAGGATCTTCAAGACGACATTAAATTGGCGAGACGGAAAGTCGAGTCGATACCGGAAGACCACCCTAATTGGGCCGGATGGTTAAACACTCTCGGGATTCGACTCAGCGATAGATATTCAAGAACGGGATCATTGGCAGACCTCGAAGAAGCCATTCAAATTATGAAGACAGCAGTCAAAGCGACACCAGCAGACCACGCAGACAAGGCGGAACGGTTGAATAACCTCGGAATCCAATTCGGCAAGAGATATACCAAAACTGGAGAGATGGCAGACCTCGAATACGCCATTCAAATCATGCAAAATGCCGTCGAAATGACACCAGCAGACCACTCAAATAGAGCAGCCGTTTTGAGCAACCTAGGGAATTCCTTCCGTCATATGTTCGAGTTGACTAGGGGTCTCAACGACATAAACGAAGCCATCGGTTTCGGCGAGGAAGCTATAGCTGTTACTCCTCACGACCATCCAGACAGGGCAGCTATTTTGAGTCACCTGGCAAATTCCCTCTGTCACAAGTTCAAGCGGACTAGTGATCTCCAGGACCTAAACGAAGCTATTAGTATAGGAAAGGAAGCTGTGGCTGCTACTCCTCACGACCATCCGGACGGAGCGGCTATTTTGACTAACCTAAGCAATTCTTTCTACCATAAGTTCGAGTGGACTCATGATCTCCAGGCCCTAATCGACGCCATCAGTATAGCAAAGCAAGCTGTATTTGCTACTCCGAACGACCATCCAGACAGGGCAGCTATTTTGAGTCACCTGGCAAATTCCCTCTATCACAAGTTCAAGCAGACTAGTGATCTCCAGGACCTAAACGAAGCTATTAGTATAGGAAAGGAAGCTGTGGCTGCTACTCCTCACGACCATCCGGATAGAGAGGCCATTTTAAGTATGCTTGAATTTGCAAAATCCGGGTATGATTAATGGTACAACTACAACCTGTCCTTTCAAGCATTGACGACAGGTTATTCTTACATGCGTCTATGAGTAATTTAGGGTTAAGAGTTGTGAGAATACCAATATCGGAGCGTGTGCCGGAACGAGGGGCAAGGTGTTCGGTCTGACACGGATGGCATCTGAAGGCTATGCGAAGGAGGGTTGCGGGTCAACGTCAGTGGTCCCGGCTACACTGAAACGCGCGCAGCAATGACATCGCCGCTCCTGCTGCTGTCCATGAAATAGCGAACGACAAATGCTGTACCGATGCTACGGATGGGAAGACATGAGAAGCCGGCCGATGGCGTTGTTTGGCTGTATGACCGCTGTGTGCCACCCGACCGACCTCGATGGCGGACGTATCGAAGTCTCGTGGTGCCACGTTTGGAAAGGCTGGGACTTGCGGAAGCCTGCAAATGCCGAATTCCGTTATGTCCAGCTAAGCCCTAGATTCCGCTTTTCGAAAAGATCTGAAGAGAGCGAACGGGCTGATCGGCGCCTGCTCTGGTGCTATACGGATTACTGCGAATTCCGAATGGCGTTGAAAATGAGCGTCGTGGGTCGATCTGCGAGCATTGAGCTCAAACATTGTGCTGAGCATTTTATGATCTTTCACGACCTCAAGCAAAGCCCGGTTCTCTCTCCGTTGTACAAATGTGTGAAAACCGAACAAAATTGTCTCCTAGTAGGGTCAAGATCGAAGGCGGAAGTAAAGGTCCTTGTGCAACCTACAAGCGAACGAATGTGAAGACGTAGAGAAAAGAAAGGAAGAAGCGGCGGCGCACACGACTCGTACCAAGACGACACATGTGACCATGTTGGCGCACCAGCTAATCAAATCACGGGACGCATCACGTGAGCCGAATGGTCCTTTTTCAGCAAGCCAGAGGCACCCGGGGGTTTTCCTCGTCCTTCTCGTTCCAACCCTCTCATGTTGCCTCGTTTGGATCAGGAAATATGGACTCTGTGGACAACAACTTGATTCTCAGTCTTGCAGCTCGTCTCCGGCACCGGGTGGAAGAGGTCGAGCGGGCCTACATCTCTGCGGCGCGAAATATTCGCACCGTCTTGCGGCGACAGAGTATCAACACTAGCCATCCTACGCCAGATCGCCCAGTATGCAAGTTCGTCGGCGAAGAACAACTCTTCAAATGCCTAGGCATATTTTCAGTAGCGGACGCTCTTTTCACCTTGGCCCGAATATACGATGAAGCTCACGTGGCCCTGTGCAAAGCGATCGCCGCGGCACGAAGAGGCAGAATTCACAATGAAGGCTTTAGGCGCGACCCATACATCGATCTCCGAGTACTAACAGATCAACTCCATGAAGCCGACAAGGCTGTTGAAGGCCAAATCGTACTGCACACATCCCTTGGCAATGATTCCCGACTTACTGCTACATTTCAGCCTCTCGAGCCCATGTCTTTTGACAACCTTCAGAGGCTATCATCACTCGCTGATTTATTACCAGGAGAGACAACTTTCAGTTTGAACTATGCCGGAATCGGAAGTGGAGGAGGATCTGATATCATTAGCGCTAGCCTGTTAGGCCACCTGTTGCGAACATTCTCCAAGACGATGAGCCTCCTGATCTCTACACGCCCTTTGGCAATAGGTTCGCGGGACGAAAAGAGCTCTAAGCTTATGATTAAACGTGAAGTATATAACCATGGAGGGCATGCTACAACATACGGGAGACCCGTTCCAGGAACCTTTCGAATCACGGAATATACTTCGGCAGAAGGCTGCAACCTCGAAACCATTCCACTCCCCTACTATGCTCAGATATTCATGGTACTCGACCAAGACAGGTCCAGGTTGGAGATTCCTGATGACGACAAGGCGGATCTAACGGATCAATTCTACGCCGTGCTCAATCAATCGATGGACCCCATCAACACGGTTCTTATCGTCGACACAGGTGGAGGCGTATTTGGTGCCGCGACAAATGGTGGTGGAACAACACCACGTCAAGGTTTTCGGGTTCAGAAAGCCATAAGTCCATTGTCTCCCGAATATAATCTCGTCACTGCTGTGATGGCCCCAGGACTCGATGCTCCACATGACGCTCCAGAGACGGCTCTCAAAGCTGGCGGCGTCGTCTATAGGCCGACGGGAGATGAGAAAAGGATGCTTCTCGATGTCTTGGCCAACAGGTATAAGATGGACGGCTCGGACCCAAGCAGGATTAGCAAGGCTATGTTAGCGTTACGGGCGCGACTACGCGGAGTTGTTGGCTGGACCTCGTTGGATCTTCCGGCCGCCATTGTTGATACGTGGGACAATCCTTGGAGTAGCTTTGTCTACATTCGAGAGTGTTTAAGCGATATCATCTTTATGCCAACGACAAAATTGCTGCCTCTCATTGAGCCATTAGATGGAGAAGGAACCAACTTGTCGCCTGTCGTTGAACCATTGGAGGGGAAAAAGTATAGCAGTATGGTCTGGAGAAGACAGCCAAGAGGGTTCCTGGATCTGTGGATTGCTATTGAAAGCAAGGGAATAAGCTAGAGGGCAGAAAGAAGGATATTCACTGTCGAAGAAAGTATCGTACACATGGGAGCGCCATCCAGACGAGGCTGCGTGTTGGCTTATTCAGAAGGGTAACTGCGGCGACTGAGTCACAGGTGATCGCTCACGCCGCTCGGGCGAGCCGGGGCTAAGTATAGGGCGGCATCACCCTACGCCGGAAACAGGGTGAGGCGCCAGCAGTTTTTACTCGTCTTGGCGATTGGCTAAGGGATTTTCAGGGTTATTCAGCCTCGTTCCCCCGCAATGTACGGAGTCCGAAGGCACGCACCAACACCTTCGGGCTCCTGGACGGACAGTCACAAGGATGGGTGAGTCTTGAAGTCGCCTTTGTCACGTGTCCGTGCTCTAGAGTGTTCCCTGCGGACGTTCATGCTCAGGTACGGACCCGACACCCTGGACAAAATATGGTGAATTAAGGCGCCGCGATTTATGCTCCCAAGCCGAGCCGGTTCCGATTACGCCTGTTCCCTCCGGTTCGCCCACGTGCCCATAACCCTCCGGTTCAGGGACCAAGAGAACGCGGAGAGTGACACTGGGGAGGCCATAGGATGGAGTACATATACAGCTACCTTGATGCCTTGTCAATTCATATGTATCGATTAACCAGCTGTCTCTAAAGTTCTAGCAGCTACGACCACACCAGACCGACGGCAATATGAGCAAAGTCGAAGTCCAAAACATCGAGGACATCAACAATGCCTTCAAGGCCGCCGTCCAGGGTGTTATCGACTTCAACAACTCTTTTGATTGGCCTACGGCCCATACATTTGTCTACAGGGAGATAGATGGTGTTAAGATCGAAGCAGAGGTTTGGGTGCGCGAGACGCTTCCGAACGGGGACTCACAGAATCTACCAGCCAAGCGACCTATCTTTCTCTACATTCATGGGGGCGGGTGGATGGCAGGTGTTCGCACCGACTTTCCGAAGCCGATCCTGCATGAATTCCTGTCAAGGGGCTTCGTCTTTGTCTCGATCGACTACCGTCTGATTCCCGAGGTCGATTTTATCACCGGCCAATTGGACGATATATGTTTCGTTGAAGGCTGGCTTCGCGAGAACCTCCAATCATCTTTGACAGATCGAGGAGTGCATGTCGTTGTCGACAGCGATGCGATTGTTGTGGCGGGCGGTTCTGCCGGTTCTCACCTGGCGTCTTTGACGGTAGGCTCCCCTACAACGGCCTCCCAAGGTCAGACAAGGCAACCAGGAAGACTGACAACTTAAAATCAGCCTAAACTATGGAAGAAGAAGCCGCGAGCTCTGCTGCTCATGGCTGGACCAACCAACCTCTTCGACTGCCGCAGAATTGGTCGACCGATGGGAGGAGGCAAGCTCAATGAAATCGTCGCGCAGTGTCCCATGGACCCGTCACCAGAATTTATCAAATCGGCCATGTTTGACAAGCCCCAGACCAACACCAAGCCAACACTCAGCATCGAGGCTTTCCTGGCGCCCCGTGCTATGCTGGGTGTCTCCATCTTCTTGAACGAAGTCATACCCGACTTCCTCGTCCTCGGGTTTGTGGATGGAAAGTTGCCCAAGAAAGGCAGTGCCCCGGAAGACAAAGTCAAATTCCTCAGTAGGTTGACCCAGAGACCAAAAAAAAAAACATCCCGCTCTCTTCCCCTCTTTTCTGTATCAAGCGACCCTCGACCCGCTGACTAGATGATTCAGGTGCATTCTTCGGCGACCTCAGCGACTGGCCACCAACGTTTCAAATGGTTGGCGACAGTGATGAAGCTTTCGAGGCCTCGCAGTTGACGCAGTTCCAAGACAAATTGAAGCAGCACAATATCCCCGCTGGTATGCTCGTGGTGCCGGAACAGTCCCACGCTTTTGAGAACATGTCCAAGATCGGCGACCAGTTGCACTTGAGATACATTCAGCCGGCGTGTGAGTTTGTGGCGCGTTACGCGACGGAAGACAGCAAACAAAAGTGAAAAGGGCCAAACGTCCCATAGGTTAGCTGGTGGCACCTTTACAACCCGATTGAGTGTCGCAAATCAAGCAGAGACACCTGGCAGAACAATGAAACACCACTCTCAGAATCGCAATTCCATTGACTGAGAGTAGAGCCGCGCCTTCCCACTTCCTATTCCTAATAGAGCTGCAAAGGATGTGCGTGTGTGTCAGGATGATATTAACATTGTCAGCATGACTCTCCTGGCAACACCATTCCCAAGAGGTTGTAGTCTCCAAATTAAGCCACAACTGCAGTAAGATACCTTGGACTTCTGTAACTGGCATCTAGATTGATTTATAGTGCTGGTGACACTGCCACGGCACGAGTGAGCCTTATTGGGTGCAAAACGCCTCATCGAATTCATTTGCTTATACCACTATATCCCTGCACGCGGGATGTTGACGATCTCGATCGTGAACAAATATGTATTGACAGATATTTACTTCGGTCCTTCTGTTACCGCTGTTTTTCTTCCTCTTCAAATTCCCCCTTGGGCTGTAGACCACCCAAGTATAGAAACCTGTCGTCACACCAGCTTCACATCGAAGTTTTCACACGCAGTCATGCCTTATACTCACTATTTCTTTCAATTCCCTTTCAATTCCGATCTGCGAGCCTCAAGCGGAGGGGAGAATTTAGCAAGCATAACGGAAATAAGGGTTTTCATGGTCGGTAAGGTCAAGGAATGCGGCCTGTTCCCTGGTGATTGTTGATTGCAGAGCCTCCGCGGCGCCGGGCGCCTCCTGTGCGAGATCGCGACGACGGTTAAATCGCTTGTAGTACAAACTGCGCAGAGTATTCTCAGTCAGTCGGGTCTGGGGGTGGTCCACACAGTCGTCATCAAGTAAACTTACAGAAGTGCTACCAGCGAGATCTCTCCTGCGACCATTGTTACCATGAGGATGATCATTCCCGTAGGGTAGCCTTCACTGGCTTCGCTGCCCTTGAAGGCAAAAGGGCCGGAGATCCCAGCCACGCAGGAGATCATGAAAATCATGGCTTGTGCGGTCGTCTTCTTGGTGTAGCCGGCAACGTTGGACGCCAGAAGGCCGAGTGTCTGGATCAGAGAGCCGTAGAAGAAGACAGTCTGTCAACATTAGTATAGTCGGAGGCCGGGGGTGAAGTTCAGACGCAAGAGGCGCATACAAGATAGAGAGAAGCCAGGAGACCCCATTTGTTATCCCTGGGCAGCTTCCAGAGGAGAGAATAGGCAATAATCGTGGGTATTGTAAAAGCCATGGCGATTATAATGCGTGACTTTTTGAACATGTTCGCGAGGAACCTGATAGACGGCACAAATTGCGAGTCAGCGACATCCCTTGAACTCCTGTACAATACTGAGTTGCAGGTGTAGACTTACCCAGAGATTGGCATCAAGATGATGACAATACCAGAGCATGGCATGTATAGTTGCACTGTTTTAAAGTTGGAAAAGCCAAAGCCGCTGAGTACGATGGCCCCGAAACTGGTACGAGTCAGCATGGTAGTGAAAGGACAAAGGCAATGGCTGACCTTCCAAGCGCTGCCGTGGCGAAAGCAAAGGCAAAGCTCGTCACGCACAGGAGCCAGAGCTGTGGATCGACAAGGGCTTCCCGAACCTGACCGGGTTTGAATTTTCGGGTGTGAATTCCAGTCTGATTCTTTTGAAGCCGCCTCACGGCAATATTACGCTCCCGTTCGGTTAGGAAGTGAGCCGTCATCGGAGAGTCTGGGAAGTAAATGCCAAAGAAGATGGAGTAGGCGACGGTCATAGAACCCAGCAGCAAATACATCCATTTCCACGGGCTCTTCTCGAATTCTCCCTTGATAGAAGCCGCACCGTAATCCAAAGCTTGGCCGACAATCGCTCCAATGGAGGCACCACACATCCAGAGTGCAATGCGAAGAGGCTGCTCTTCGGTTGTCCACCTGTCGGTAGTCATTCAGCGCACGTAAACCAAGGGTATGAAGCACGACTCACCACATTGAGCTCAAGAGGACGCATACCGAAATATTAATCCCTTGGAAACCGTAGAAGAATCTGATCATTGTTAACGGCGCGAGCCGAGATGAAGATCGCGGCTTACTTTAGAACCATGGTGCCCGCAAAGTTGCTCAGGGTGAGGAAAAGAAGTGCAAGAGATCCAGTGTACAGGACGATGGCTGTCAGGACCTTTCCAATCGGGAGTCTCTGAGCAAGCAAGAGAAGAGGATATTGTGCCTGCGATACGGGCAGTTAGTCTACAACCATCATTGGAGGACTCGACTTGGACGATGAAATACTTACAATGAGATTTCCGAACGTCCCTATCGAGTTTGTCCAGGAGTATTTGGTCAAATCCATGGTCAATGGATTGAGGCTGGTGATGGTGTAGAGTTTCAAATCTTGGATCAGACCGAATATTGCAGCAACTCCATAGGTTCCACTGTCACAAGAAGTCAGGATATTGGCAATCAACAACTATAGGTTCAGTTAGTCATTGGTCGTGCGGGAACAGAGAGCAACAATGCCTGACCATTACGATGATGCGGAAGTCGATTTTCCGGAGGATTCTTTTCTCTTCTTCTTCTGTCCATTCAATGGCACTATGCTGTTCGACGAAGCGATGGGCATCGTCGACCTGCTTGTTGAATTTGATCGGCTCTTGCGTTTCTTCGTCATGTTCGACGACAGATGCAGCTATCTTGTCTGCCGAGTTGACCATTGTGAAAATATCTGGTCGATTCGAGTAGTGTTTGATTGTCGACGTTCGGGAAATCTATTGCCTTGAGGATGGCAGTAAGGCAGGAAGTAGGGTTCTTTCTGATAGAGCCACAATCTCCCTGCTGACAGGGTCCCTGGGGTGATAGATATTCCCCACGGGGTAGCATAGAGATTTGAAAAGGATGAATCAGACTGCTTCCCATAACTAATGTCGCGTGAGACAGCCCTGTGGGTGGAAAGCCGGATCCGGTCCTTGAACCGGTCCTTCCTAAGCAGGCGAGATACATAGAGCGGAATTTAGAGTGGAGGTGGCGTTCAAATCATGTATTTCCGGTTTGAGATGATACCTGCCACCGGGCGAACCCTGTGATCATTATCAGACCAGTCTATGGAACATTCCAATCTGTTGTGTCGTTGAGGAATTCGGTCAACCAGGCTGTCGGGTCCCAATGAGATGGATCGTTCAGGAAACTGTCCGGGGCCAGACTTTCCTCGGATCGAGTAACGTGGATAACCGGCACGGGATCTGCATCCTGCAGCTGCGGACCGGAGTTCAAGTCGGCCTCGTGATGACTATCCTGCACGTTTTCACCTTGAGATTCTCTGCGTTCAAGTTGACGTATTTGCGACACACGCCGTCTGAGAGAGCGCGCAAGCTGGGCCGTGCAGTGACTGGGGCTGAATGCCAGATCTGCCATCAGGTCGGCCAGTGCCTCAACTCGATCCATGGCATCTTTCAGTTCAGCATATACGGGTTTGACGTGTTGGTGCACTTGTACAACAAACAAGGCCACGAACGCGATCATGACAAAACCAAAATCACTCATGTACCTCAACGCGTCCTTGCTGACAGGTGAAAGATGCAATGTCCAATCTATGATTTCAAGAGCATACTGCACGCACTGCTTGACAGATTCTCTTTCGCTGCCGCTAAGGTTTCCGGTTGATCCTTGGATAAATCGAAGGGTGTAGCTGATGATGCAGAATCTCGCATATCGAAAGTGAAAATCAAGACCGAGTCCGAAACCTCCTGCAGAAAAAGTCAGAGCAGAAGACAGATGAATATGGCAAATCAATGCATCAAACCTCGGGCTATGAATGCGTTCCATTTATTACACCAGGCTTGAATCTCCATTTCTGCAACTTCCAATGCGGCCGAGGGAGAGCAGTCCAGGCTTTCGAGGCTTTCGGGAACACACCACCATTCACTTAGGCGGCAGTCTAGGAGGCTCGCCTTTCTCGATCGATTAGAGTTCTGGGCGTTTTGTGTGACTGGGCTCTTCCTCTTACCTTCTCCCACAGTAAACATAATTCGACCTCCCCAAGGATCCTGGAAGTCTGAGCAGACTTGTCGATTCCAGCCAAGAGGCTTGTGGCGATACGAATGGAAGCGTCACCTCGGATGCTTGGAGGGCTGCTGTTCAGAATTGCAGTGCTTTGCGTCTTTTCAGTGAGTGAACTCGCCGTGTAGGGATTTGGATACTTACTGGTGGGCCATTGTGTATAGCCAGAGCCAATAGGTGTACTTTTTATACTCTATCGTCATATTGATGTCTTTTCTACCAGATACCAAGTCGGCCTTCACGCCCTCCACGGATCGGTGAATGCCGATGTTGATTGCATGTCCCTCAAGCAGTGCCTTGAGCACTGAGGTTGGAATGGGGTGACGGGTGCCGGTACCCGCTGGCGAGGGTCGCGCATACGCATAGAGTATCAGCAAAGCACGAAAGTCTTGAAGATCCTCAGCTGAAGTGCCGATGGGGTTGGTGCACTTCTCGAGTACGAAGTCCGAAACCAGTCCCCGGAGCGCATTTGCCGTAGAGATGCCACCAGCAAGGAAAAACGAGGTCACATAACAAATGCAGTAGGCTAAATTCGGGTGCTGGTCGAGCAAAGACTCTGCGTCGAAGTCTTCCTTGCAGAGGACCGGAATGAAGTGCAAAAGTCTTTCACGAAATCTGAGCATGTTAAGATGTCAATACGAAAGCAACAACGCGCTATCACACATACATGTAAATGAATTGCTTGATATCAGTCCTGGACAAGGGCAGGTGTGCCTTCATTTCTGATCGGGCATTAACTCTTAGATTCAACTCGGTAAGATCACTGTCAAGGCCTGGAGTCCGAGCCATGGCTTGATTTATTCGGTTGCGGTGATCATAGGTGTCACTATTCCCCACCACTGCTGAGACAGGCGACGTTGAATAGATGGATGGCAGTTCGCCTGCGTCAGACATAATTCGCTCTTCATGTAAAAGAGTATCATGACCGCAATCTGTACTCAATTGACTATCATCCGCTGCGAG